TGTCGAGATGACCATGGAGCCTAGGGCGGTTCGATGTGGGTTGGACCAGGTGGCGGCCCGAGGTGGCCGTGGAACCGGGCCTGCACAAAGGCTCAAGCTTGCATTGGATCGGAGAGGAAAAGGAGAACTGGGGGAGTTTGCCCAGACATTAGTACCTAGTTTGCATCTCACAGTGAGAAAGATGGACAGCGGGATGTCGTGCATGTGGTGTGATTAGTGCTCAGCACCGTTTGGCCCGAGGACAACGAGGGGGCTCTACCTTGGGTACTATGTTCTCTCTGCACCGTGATCTTGCAAGTTGTTCATTGATCCAAGTGCCGGACGAGGGCAACTGAACGACATCTCGACTGCACTGTGGCGCCACCCAGGGCTCTGGACATGTCCATCTGTATCCGGGGAGCCTCCAGGAGTCTGTCTCTCCATGCCGTGTCATGATTGTTGTTGTATGCACAACCTGCCGCTGTTCAATTCTCCTCGCTTGTGGGATTTGTCCTGCATGTCATGTCAGTTCTCCCACCTACTGTACCTAGTAGTGTCATATCACCAGGGTAGGCGTTTAAACGCCGCGCCCCATGCGAACTCGTATATCAAATGTTACAAATCGCATCGGCTGCCTGCTGCCCGCAACAATCAGTGCTGGTGCATTGAAAGGTGGAGAGCGCGAGAGCAAACCTGTGCATCTGATAGGATTTGGTATGATTCTCGTATGGGTGAGAGCTTGAAGGAAGCAAGCACTTCTAGGATTCAAAGGTACTAACAGTGGAAAAGAGGGCCATGGCGATTCGTGTCACCGCATTCAATGGATTAGGTGTAAGTCGATTCGCCCACGGCGGCGAGCACGGGACCATGAACTTGTATGTATGTAGATGGACAGCGTCGCAGGATCGACATTTAGCCAGGTGCAGGTTCATCAAAATGCAAGTCTTCTGCTGGGAAATGAACTTCGATGCTTGAGCACGGGGCAATGCGTCTTTTTGCCGAGATTTCACTTGCATTCTTCCTTGACTCTTGAGGCTTCTCTTTCTTGCCTTCTTTTTCTTAGCAACCTACCTACTGACTGCGTACGATACAAGCATCTCCATCTCGACGCCGGCATCCCCGAACTGCTTGCTACAGAGTCGCATCTGCGTAACCTTGAAGCTGCCACCACAATCAAGCATACCCTCCCTGGGCGCCTTGCCATTCCTTTCCCCTCCCCTTGCCTGTCCCGAACTGGCCTGGGCTATGCCACTTATTGCTTGCCTTGCGGTTATTTTTCCGCCTTAGCCCGCGGCTCGGGCTGCTACCTTACCTTGAAAACTTGCCTTGCCTTGCCCTCCAGGAACGCGGACTAGGTTCCGTCCTTGCTTGCGTTTTGGCCTGCAGGGCCAAGACAGAGCGCGACAGGGTATATAAAGCACGGAGCAGGTACAAATAATCCTCCGTGACGGGTCTTGGCGGGATTTTGTTCGAGCAATTTCCTGTACATGGCTCTTATGTTCTTTGCCCCTGTGGGGAGAGAAGACGCCTAGGCATCTTCAACTTGTGGAAGATTGTCTGTAACAGCACACGACTTCGGTCAGGTTAAGATTGTGATATCAAACAGTGCCGCTTGAATTAGAGTCAAAGCCATCTGGTTAAGGCACTCTACCAGATAGCCGAGGCATCCCACTACTAGGATAGCAGTGTAAAGGCAGATGCTAGTTAAGAGTAGGTAGTAGATGATAGATGCCGTGCCAGCATCCGAACCAAGATCCATCCAAAATCATACGTTTGTCTACCAGGTAGGCTGTTGTCATATACCAAGACCAACACGCGACCAACGCCATTGAACTCACATCGACGTATAGAAAACTGTTTACTTCTCTGTAAGTGTATCCTGAAAATTCGTTCCCCAGTGTATTGCTTTTTTTGCTTTCTGCCACTCCCACCTGGCTGGAGCCTGTCACATGCAGACCACGAGGTCTCGACTCGACTCTTACATCGCCTTGATCGTACGAGAGCCACTCTCAGGCGATTGCTCGACAGCCTGTCCCGACAAGTCGTCTCTTGATTCTAGGTATTTCACCACATCTACTACGATGCTGAGCCGTCTGTTTCGATGCTTGGTTATTTGCGTCTGACTGGTATCTTCGTGTGAACGTGATGCCTCTCTTAATTCTTGCGTCACTGGCTTTCTGCAACAGCCCTCGAAAGGGCCAATGTGGTGATTTTCCGGGTCCTTCCCAGCGACCTGCATTAGCGGAACTAGCAAAGCAAGAGCACCAGACCCGCAGAAGGACATTTCGTGCCTTTCCCGTGCCTGCGTGCGCTCGAGAGAATCCCGGGCAGCTCTAATCGTGCTACTACTACGAGGGCGTACAGTGCTCCGCCAACTGTACGAACGAGTACCCTGCCTGAAATGCTGCTCTCTCTCTTCAGGCCCTCTACCTCAAATACATACATACCTTGACCATGCTTCTGGAGGGGCGGGCAGAAACTTTGGGAGGTGCGGCTGGACATTCAGCCAACGCTCGAAAAAAGGAAACCAGACAAAACCCAAAATCCCCATCGACGATCATTGTGTCGACTCCCGACTTCCCAGAGGCGCCGTTCGGGACTCGTTGCACTGCGGCCTGCCTTGCGCTGATACCTAGTACTGCCAGACTGCGTGTTGCATGGCTGACTTGGCGCAGAGGCGCATGGGAAGAGAACCGCCATCATGGAGACCAGTAAGCCTTTGCCACCTTAGCTCAGCAGCCACAGCGATTTCAGACGAGAACCTTATAGTACTGGAATCGTATGAACTTGGTGGAAGCGAGGGTTGATACATGATCAAAGGCATAGTACTAGATACCAGGCAGCAGATGGCAGGCTCTTGAGCTTGGACTGTTGGAGCTGGAGTTGATCGCTGCCGGTTGCGGCCAGCTTCATCCTGCGGTATTCGTGCCCAGCATGTCAGTCAGTAGGTAGCTTGCCGCCATGCCCGCATGCAGACGAGTACGAGCAGGTAGAGAATGCAGGGAAGCCGGTAGATACAGACAGACACAGACAGACACACAGACAGACAGACATGAGACGAGACGAGGACGACGGCGACGAAACCCCAGTTTTCGGCCACCCAGACCTTCACTCAAAATCGAGGGATCGCCACCCCGCAAATTCGCATCGCCCGGTTCCAGAACCCCCCCCGCCTCGAGCTGTCCCCCAAGCCAAAGTCACCTGGCCTGCTCCAACTGGTCGCCGGCACGGCACAGAACGCTGGCATCGAGATTGGCGTGGTGATGCTCGCTAGCACAAATCTGCGGGCTAGCATGGCATAGCGGCGGGCGCCTTTCATTCGCTCGGCCACCGTCAAGGCGCGTTCCAGACGGCCAAGCAAACGGCCAAGCAGCCAAGGTACCGGACAAGGACGGGATATGGGGAGAAAGAGGGGGGGGGAGGGGGCCGGACAGCTGAAATGGCATCACGCGATCCCCTCTGCTGCCGCGGATGGATCGTCCTGCAGCTCTGCAGAATTACCCGGCCGCTGAGAGGGACGGAGCTCCAGTTGGGGGCAGCTCAACGGACCAATTGCCTTGGGCGGGTCCATCATCAATCGACGCAGCATCTCCAGCATCATGTCACAAGACGGCAGTGCTGCAATACTGTGCGGCCATGTACACGTAACATACAGTATTGGTGGCCCACAGCAAGAAGGCTACCTACGCTATCGGGACGAACGCAATGGGGATAAGCACTGCAGTTCTGGGGCAATGGGTTGGGTTCGCATCAGATCAGCCTTTTCTGGGGTACGGTACGCATGCCTCTCCGGACAACGTCCACGCGGCAATGACATTGCCTGCAGAGGCCCTCGATCAATGGCCGTCATGTGGTGACTCGGTGGCGTCTCGAGCTGGCCGTCCCCGCTCGTCTGCACTGTGCCGTCGAGTCGAGACTATTTCGAAGCTACCAGATGCAGCACAGCGTCCAGCTCCAGAAACTCCCGGTCTAAGAAGCTACCAGCTGGAGCTTAATCCGCTGGCGCGGCATTGTAGCCCTACGGACAGCTGCTAATTCTCGTATGGACCACGCCAGAGGGGCATTGGATGACTTGGCTTCTGGATAGGCACTGGAAGTCATCGTAAGGAGTCGAACCGAGGATGCCAACGGCAAGCGATCCCTCTTGCAGGATGGGCATCTGGAGGTGACCCGTCTCAGGAAGCTTGGTGGCCTTCTCGGTTCGTTGATTTCTTACTTGTATGTCGAGACGTGTTCAGGTGGTCGACCCGAGGCGTCCAAGTGGCGCTCAAGTGGCGTTCCCATCAGCAAGTTTGGCAACAATACGGAAGTCGATGCCAATGACCTTGAAGTCGAAGCCGACAATTGCACGCTTGCGGCCAGTGAGAGCGAGCCCAGCCCAGAGTGAAGACTTCACCTTGACCAATCGAGAGCCCGCACCGCAGAATCGGGAACTCGCTGTTCTCGCCACAGCTGCTACAGGGATGGATTTCTACAGCAGCGTTGCTTCTTTGTCTGACTCCAGAAGGGGGAGGCTTCAAGATGCTCATTTGTAGATAATCCCAGCAGCGACGAGAGTTAGCACGATGCAGCTGCACCAATGACGTTGCTGGACCGCCGTCTGACTTGCATTTCGACGGTGCACGGCCACCAAGACTTTTTCGCCCTGAACGAACATGTTCGTCGTGCGCCAGGATCCCTGTCGACGGTTCACTGGCGTGTGATTCACTAGAATCTGAGAATTGCGATTCCAGGAACTTTCGTATTTTGACGCCGGACTGAACAAGCTTTGGCCACACGAGAAATGACGGAAGCCTTTTGAAGTTGAAGGGCAGGGGAACCTCCCAGAAAAAAAAAGGACCAGGCATTGTATAAAAAAAAAAAAAAAAAAAAAAAAAAAAAAAGTTCGATACCAGGCGGGGCAACTAACCTCAAGTTTCCATCATTCAACACTTTGACGCATTCCTTCTACGCGCCTGTCAGCCCGAGAGGACAGAATACGGCAACCTACTGCAAACAGCCTTTTTTTCGAACTCGAGCAAATGGCATCAGAGGCTCTCGGCGAGGCTGACACGAGCTCTGCTTCGAACGCGCCGTCGGACAAGGCTGCGGCTGCGGCTGCGGCTGCGCTGCCAGTCAGCGACAACGGCGCCAACAACCAGCAGACGCACGCGTCGGAATCGCAAGCAGATGCGAATGGCCAGCAGCAGAGCAACGGCGGCGACAAGGACAGCAGCGGGAGTACAGCATCGCAGGGATCGTCTGCTCATAAGGCAAACGTGGTGTTATGCGGCGTCTGTGGAAGCAATCCTGGGAAATACAAATGCTCACGATGCCGTCTTCCTTAGTACGTTCCATGTTGCGCCATGCATTTTCGCTCACAACGAGATGGGAAACGATGAGACGCGAACGAAATTGAGGATCTATTGCTGACTGTCCCTCTACCTAGCTGCTCTGTTCCATGTAGCAAAGCCCATCAGCAAAACCATCCGCCAGACGCCCCGAAAGAAGAGCCCAAGCCGACGAATCAGTCCTCGAGCGAGCCGCCGGCAGCAAGCGCAAACGTGCCTCCGCAGGCTGCCATCGATCCGACGAATCCCTTTAGCGTTCTGGCGACATCAGATAAGCTCCAGCTCCTCTTCAAGAAGTATCCCAACCTACCAAACCAGCTTCTCGAGATCCACGCGGCGACTCAGCCGCCGTCAGATGGCCCAGACGCTGCGGCCAGAGCCATACCCGCGTCGCTCAGGGAGGGCCTTCCAGTGAACACGGGCAGGAATACTTGGAACCACGACATTGGAATCAAGAACGGCAAGGCAGCGTTACGAAGGGCGCGCAAGGCCGACGGCGAAGACGGCGAGGCGATACGAGAATACACCGAGCTGATTGTGCACATCATGAACGAGACGGAGGACAGGAACAGCACCGCTGCCTACGTGCAACGACAGGTTGCTGAGCAAGACACGGCCCTCATTGAACGTCTACTTGCCGAAGAGCGACGTCGCGCATAAGCCACCACGGGATAGAGCATCAATCTCTAAACGAAGAGAGCCAGGAAATCGTCTGAGAGTATACAGAGCTCGGCGGCCTCTATGGCCCTATGGGTATATTATATGTTTGTTGGCAAGCTCCAACAGCATATGCCGGCCAGCCAACTCTACCTCTTTCCCGACCTCTTTCGATCAGACTCGCTCGTCATCATCTCTTCATAACGGTGTACAAGTCCATCTCTTTCATATATTAAAATTACATCATCCTCATCCAGAAGTCATTCAATCAAATCATTCAAGGTACGTAAACTCATTTCAGCCTGTTCACCTTGGCCGAAACTCCTCTGTCATCCGGCCCTGGCTAACGCTTGAATCGCGCAAAGAGCCCTCCCGACTTTGTGGGTGACTTGGGCCGTTCAGCGAGCGACTCGGCGTCCTTCTCTTCTGTCGGTGAAGACAGCTTGTCGGCCTTCTTGGTGAAGCCCCCGAGCTTTGTTCGCAAAGCCCATTTTGATTCGGACTTTCGCAAAACGTTGGGACCCGCCGCGCTTTTCTGCGACTGCTGCGGCTGCTGTGAATGCAGCTGCTGCTGTTGTTGCTGCTGCTGCTGCTTTTGTTGTCGAAGGATCGCGGCTTCGTCACTCTGGGTCCAGTCCACACGATGCTCGTCGGGATTGGCAGGCCCGGTGTCAGAGTGATTTGCCGCGGAATAGTTCTCCGACGACGTATGGGAAAGCTCTGCAGTCTCGGCATCTCTTGAAATCATCATGCCGAGGATGGCACCCATGCTTCTCCTCCGCATCTCCTTACTTGGTTCATCGAGGGCGTCTAGGCTCTTGTGGTGGAGGTATTCCTTGAAATTGTGGGGGGCGGTAGTCGCGGGCCTCTCGTCCACCTCGGCTGTGGCGGCGAGGATGTGAGGCTGTTGGAACTGGTTCCGCTCATATTGCCTCTCCCTCATGCTCTGCGCCCTTCGGAGAGCCTTGGTCTGCTCCGCCGGCACAAAGTCTGATGCTCGTCCAGCGGCTGCATTGGGGCCCTGCACGTGGGACTTGATGGCCTGCCGGGACAGCTTGTGCACGAGATGCTTCTCCGTCACCGTCTCGGTGGTGGTGGTTCGGGCAAACTGCGAGGCAGCAACCTGCGGGATGTGACGATAGTTGGACGGCGGCGTATCCTCCGAATTCCTGTTGCTAGACGACGAGGTAGAATTTCTCAAGCCGGCCCTGTGCAGCCTCTCCGTCTTGGTCTTGGGAGCATCTTGGCCCGCGTCTCGAGGCGCAGTTGGAATCAGTGATTTGGACGCCGTGGCCTCCTTCTTCTGTATCTGCGTAGAGGGCGCCGTCGGCCCCATGGGGATCCCGCGCTGGCCGGGATGCAGGGCGCTCGCGTTGCGGGCCACGGCGGCGGCATTCGCCTGGCGCTCGGCGTCGAGGGCCGCCCTCGCGCGCTTCTTCCTCTCGGCATGGGCCTTTTGCTCGGCGAGCACGACGTGCAGCCTCCTGGTCAGATCGTCGGGGTCGAACGGCTTGGGGCGCTGTGCCTGCGGTTTCGGGATCCGGAGGATGTTGTTGTTATTGTTGTTGTTGTTGCTGCGCGAGGCCGACTTTGCCGGGGCAGCTCTGTACGGGATCGGCTGGAGGGCTGCTGCCTTTGCGTCGTGGACGTAGAGCGTTTCGTAGAACATGGTTGATTGAAAGGGGGGGAGGGGGGCTACGGGTGATACTGCTGCTCTCTAGATGCAGCTTCTAGAGCCGCATTCAACGAATAAAGATGCTCGTTGGTTGAAAGGAAAGTTTTGTGCAACGCTTTTGTGTCGTTGTGGTAGACGGTGAGGTAGGTGTGTGTTGTCTCTTTGTTGTAAGCTTACTTCTGAGCCGAGGTTGTCGTGTAAGAAGAAGGCCCGCACAGACTCTGTGTGGTTCGGTATTAGAGGACCGTGAAGAGGTAGAAAACAAAGAAAAGGCCTGGACAAAGAAAGGAAGAATTCCGAAAACCCAGATAGACTGAGTATGCGGGAAAAAGGGAAGAAGAAAAAAAAAAAGGGCACGTCTTGGGTGAAGGAAAAGATACAGGGTTTGGAATGGGGGAGCATCGGAGCAATATTAAGTACTATAAATATAAATGCCGAGCTTTTTCTGTGTTCGTGGGCATGTGTGTGGGCGTGTGTGTGTGAGTGTGTGTGTGTTATGGTAGCAACGGGAGAGGAGAGAGAGGATAGGCGAGGGGGTGGGTTAGAAGGGTTCCAGATATGGAGAGAGAGACACATACTTTGTTGCTGTGTTGGATTAGTACTACTACAAAAGAGTGCCGTTGACGCAGAGTTTGAGATTTGTTTGTCTTGTGTTTTGTTGCTGGTTGCGCTTTTGCCCTTTGTTGTCATGCAGATGTGAGAAGGGAGGGAGTCAGAGGAGGGAGATGGGCGGGTCTGGAGGAGGAGGTTCGGATGGAGTTGTTGGACTAAATCTCTCTGTAATGATGTGGGAGAAGAGGTTCGAGAGGCATGTGTATGAGATTTGTTATTAGTCGATGTGAGGAGGTAGATAAGTAAGAGCTTTGTATGCAGGAAGAAACGGGCTTTGTCTAGGAAGCCTGAAGTGGGCAGATGTTGCGCGAGTACAGACGACGAGAGATGAAACAAGGTCCCCAGATAGGTACATACATAAGGGCAGATGAGGTAACCAGTGCGACCCGTGTGAGTAAAAAGGGACAACTTGAAGTTCAGTGAGCAAAACAAGAAGAGCAGGAGAAAAAAAGAAAAAGAAAAGAAGAAAAAGAAAGAGGCTCGTAGGTTTTGTTCCCCTGCTTTTTGCTCATCTGCCCACAAAAAAGAATCGAAACCAAGGCAAGGCACGCGATCACGAGGGACGTTTTGGCGGGATATGCTAAATGAGAAGAGGGCGAGGCACCGGACACACACATCTGCACGATTGGGGCGCTTCTTACTGGTCAAGCGTCCTTTTTTCTTTCTTTTTTTTTTGTTCTGCGCTTTTGAAACGCTCACGGCAGAGAAGGGGGGGATTCCCCAAAAAGCTTGCATTTTGATTTGAGAAGATGCAATGCTGCATGATGCTTGGATTGGTCCAATTGGCAGCAAAGAGAACTCAACTGACAAGGGGGCGGGAAGGACGAGCGAATTTTGCGGAGGTGGCGCCGACTTTTGGAACGGGGATGGAGGGGACTTTTAGTCAAGTCACTTGGACGCGGGCATCAAACGGTCTTGCAGGGGTTTGTGTTGATTTTGGCTTCTTTTTGGTTCTGCGGGATATGGGGATTGCTGTTCACTTGTTGCGTGATGATCCCGTGGTGTGGTTTTGTGCTCGCTAATGACAGGTTGGGAGCTGGGGCTTGTGGTGTTGTTTTTTGTTGAACTGCAGATTGGTCTTGGGGAGGTTGTTTTCAGCATGAGGAGAAGCGAGACGTTTGACGCTCGATGAGTGCCGAGCAGCGGTGCTTGACTTTGGCACGAATGGCATAATTGGACGAAAAGTCGTGGATAATAAGCGACGAGGTTGCAACAAAAGAGGAGCGTGCTAAAACAGACGGCCATCAAGAGAGGCCCAAAAATCGATACGAAGCCAAGATGGACGCAATGCAATGCGACGTCCAAAGACGGCCAGACTGGTTATTGACCACAAACTCACCTCGATCGACATTTCAGCGGCTGTCGCTCTTCTTCTTCTTCCCTGCTCTTTCTCTTCTGTTTCTCGGGCAAGTTTGGCTGGTCTCTTGACGCGAGATGTGTCTGCTGCTCCATCCTTCGGTTCTCGCGCCTGAAGGCGAGGATCAAGATGCATGCATTTCTGTTCTGGGGCGGTCCAATCATTGGGGCGGGTTGAGGTGGTGCATGACTTGACCTTGAAGGTCGGGGTTGAAAAAACGACGCCGGCTCTTTTTCCCTTAGACGCCGAGCCAATGCAGGTTGTTTTTTGGGGCCAAATCTGGGGGAGATTTGCATCGGGAGCCGAGCTGTTACTTGACTTACTCGTGCGCTTGACGTGGATTGCGGGCAATGATGATCTATCGCGAAGAGGTCATTAATACTGCGTTCTCTTACGACCTTGGAGGTTTGTATGTGAATCGTGCCCGTTCATGATGGAAAAGGGGGGGAAAAGGACGCCATGCCGTTATCACTTGGCGTCCCGATGGAACGTTCGGGTAGCATCAAGGCATCAATCAAGATGCTACTTGCCGCTTCGGAAGTGAGCTTCGCAATTTGGGTTGGCGGAGATGCATGGTAGAGGACGATGTTACCCATGCGCTCCGCTGGGATACGACCGGCCGTTGGGAGTCTCTACTACAGCTGAGAAGACTGGGCATCCATGGAGCCGGTGGGTGAATGAGGCTCAAACGAGGGATATGGAGATTGCTGTGTGAGAAAGATGGATGTTCTTTGTCCAAGTAGTGGGAGCTGTGATGGAAGCTTGGGAGGTAATACACGGGCAGATGGCGCGGCATTGATGATCGCGTCTCCTAGTAAATCTTCTGAATGACCAGTGTGTCGAGCTCAGCTGCACAGAGACGCACACCCTCTTCAGCTGCTTCGTTTGCCATGTTCAGCTCTCTTCAGTCTTCCTTCATCTTCAGGTCATCTTTCAGCTGTTATATCGAGGGTTAGTAAAGCATCACCAGACACGAGTCAGCCTGTACATGTAATACATGGCTTCAATCGGTTAATGATGAACCAGAGGCAGATGTCATTGCTCCTTGGCCAATAAGGGAGACCGGCATACCTCAAACTCCCTCTTCAGACTCAAATCATCAATTGGTAGGAGCCTTGAATCGACGTAGATCGCGTCGTCGTCCACGACTGGCCCCCAAGCCCCATCATTCTGCGAAAAGGGTGCTTACAAGCATCAAGCCCGAGATGATGGCCCCATTTGCCGTCCCTTCCGCCCTCAGTCGATCCCATCCATATGCCGGCTCTCGCCACGTGTTTTTTACAAGGTAGACTCGGCTGTTCATTACAGTATCACTCATGGTAAGGCGAATGTCTACGGCTGGACGATGCGAAATTCTGTAGAGACAGCGGCTCTCGATGGAGTCGTGAAGCTTTCGTCGGAGAGATTTGTTGTCAACTATAGGTAAGGTAGTGGCTGTTTGGCCAGACTGCCTGGGCATGCTCTCCTGTAATGGTACCTCAAATTGCATCAAGAATAAGGATTCCAGCTCGGTTGATATTGTTAAGTGGTCCCCACCCTGATGACTCAGGACCACCCTATAACACCACAGGCCTTAGGCCTGTGATACGCTTATAGCCGTTTATTTATTTTCCTTCTTTCTCTCTAGCTAGTCCTTTATAAAAAAAGAGAGTTTATTATTACACCTTTATTAAGTTATAAGCCTTATACTCTTTTAAAAATTACAGAAAAAATTATACTTAAACCTTTAAGTTAGTAATAGATAATGCTGTTATTATTATACCTTTAACCTAATGCAGGTTATACCTTTAATCTAATATAAATCGCCCTTTTTTTTTAACTTAAAAAATTAACTTTCTTCTCTTTTATTTATAAAGACTTAAAGACTTTATTTTACCTATATATTAATAAGATAATTATTACCTAACCCTTTAAGCTAAGATAATTTTAAATTTATTACTAAAAATAAGGACTTTAACTATAATAATCCTAACCTAAATTTATAAATAATATAGCTTAAAATAGTATAGCTAATATTTATAAAGGATAATACCCTTAAAGCTTTATAAGCTAACTTCTTTTTTTTAATAATACTATTAAAAGGCCTTAATAACTAGAATGCCTAAAAATAAATATTTAAAATTAATGCCTACTTAATAGGTCTTTAAGATATTATTAAAGGAAAAGATATTATAGCTAAAAAAGCTACTTAAGCTAAGAAAAATGCCTAAAAAAAAAATAATATACTAGTAATAAGATTTATCCTAAATAACCTATTAATAAAGATTTATATAAAGCTTAATTATAAAGGCTTTAATAGTAATAACTTAATAGTAAAAAAACTCCTTAATATAATAAAAACTATTATCCTAAAAGCCTTAATAAAGGGAGTCTTTATTATTATTTAAAAGTTTAATTATTTAAAATATAGCTAATTTAAGTCTTTAAAAGTATATATTAATATACTAATAAGAGCTTAAACTTATATTATATATTAATATCTTAAAGCACTAAAGGCTTAGTTTATAACTATAGCTTTTATAAGCCTTAAATATATTAATAAGACTTAGTATAAGCACTAGACTATAGATCTTTATTAAGGTAAGGAAGTTAAGAAAGATAAACTTATTAAGTTCTTTTACTTATAAGTAAATAAGAAAGTAAGGACTAAAAAGACATTTAGTACCTTTAAACAGCCTGCCCTTTTTATATTAAATAATAATTAGTAAGGCAAGTCTAATAATAATAATAAATCTAAGAAGCTAGAATATAGCTATATTATTTTAGTAAATAAAAAGCCTTATATACCTAATACTTATTAAAGACTTTATCTTAAGCTTTAATTAAAGGATTATTACCCTTAATTTTATTTAAACTTGCATTAAGGTTTTTATTTATAAAAATAAAAACCTAAAAATAATAAAAAAGAAAATCCTAAGCCTATAATAAAGAAAAGACTATTTAAAAGCACCTTAAATATTATAAAAGCAGGGTAATTATTTATTAATATAATAATTACTTTAAATATCCTTATTAAGCCTAATCTTTTTAAAAATAATAAAGATAATATTATTAAAATTATATAAAATAACACTTTAAACTATAACTTTACCTTAACTAAATATAGTATTAACTAAGATAATATTATTATTAACTTAGGCTATAACCTGCACTATTTTAATAACTTAAAGTAATTTATTTTTATTTAAATACTAAATAAAGCTAATATAATAGCTATATTTAATAAAAGCATATTAAAGACTAAGGGGATAAGCATTATAATTATCTTACTGCTAAATAATAAAATAATTAAACTTAAGAATATTACTTATACTTCTTAAAGTGCTATTAATATAATAAGCCTAAGAGTTCTTAAATAAAAAGATATTTAATATAACTTTATAAAAGGATTACTTATATAGTAAAAAGATAAAGTAATTATAATTATAAAGGTTTATTAAAAGTATAATATTATAATTTTAAAAATAATAATACTACTAATTAATAAATATTATAATTTTATAATACTTCTTATTAAACTATTTATTATAAATATAAAATATAGTCTTATATATAAGAGACTAGGCTATATTAATAAGGAATAAGTCTTAAAAGCTTGCTAATAATTAAGAATTTAAGTAAATAAAATAATAATTAAAGACTTTTATTATAAAGCTTACTATTTAGTTAAGTTTAAATTTATTATTAATTATATATTATTAGCTAAACTTATAAAATTTCTTTAAATTATCTTTTAAAATATAATCTTTTATATACTTATTAAATATAAAGGTTTTAAGATCTTACTTTATAAAATTAATACCCTTACTTACTATTAATAGCTAATCTTAGCTATTAATTATAAAAATGCTATAAGAAAACTATAAGGCTAAAAGAACTAAGTAAAGGTCTTTAGCAGTAGCTATAAAGTTTAAGTTATAGCATTTAATAATATAAAAGAGTTTATATTATAAAAAATATAAAACTAGTCTTATAAAAATAAATTTATTATTAAAACCTTTATAGCCTATACTTTTTAGCAGAATAGTATAATTAAATAGGCTAGAAAAAGCCTTATAAACTTAGGATAAGTAACTTATATTAAAATTAAATTACTTAAAACCTTATAGCCTTTATATATAAAATCTACTATATATATTTATAACTTACTGCTAATCTTATTTAATAAGAATAAGATCTTGCTGCTAGAAAAAATATTTAAAGCTATTTAAGTAGAATATAAATATAATATTAAATATATTAAGACTTAGGGTTATATAGTATATATTAAGAAATATAAGAATTAGTAAGTTAAGAGTATAAAAATATACCTTAAAGTAATTAAAGAATATCTTATTAATATTAAAGGCTTAAATAGCTATATTTATAAGGTCTATTTACTAAAAGAAGATAAAGTTATTAAATTATAAAATATATAATTTTAAGAGTTAGGCAGTAAGATATTATATAATTAAAAGGAACTAGAAATTAAGTATAAAGCTATACTTATTAACCTTAAGATTAAAAAAGGAGGCTAGATAGTAATTAGCTAAGTAGCTAAATTATAGCAGGCTTTAAAATAGGCTTTTAATATAATTACTATTTAAAATACCTTTAAGGCTAATAAAGTAATTAATAATAATACTAGAGCTAATAAATCTAAGTATTTTAAGGCTAATAATAAGGATATTTTTTAATAATAATTACTAGTAAACTATAAGAAAGGTAAGTATTTTTAAACCTTAAAGCTTACTTTATAAAGAGATTTATAAAATAAGACCTCCTTAACTAATTAAGACTATTATAACCTTTATAACTAATATTTAATTAAACCTAAAGCTATCTGCTAAAATACTACTATTACTATTATCCTTAACTTATAAAACCTTATAATTAATACTAAAAATATAACCTTAGCTATACTTAAATAAGCTAAATTAAATTAAATAAATAAGATATATATAGCTAATTAATAATAGTATTACTTTATAAAAAGTATTACTTAAATTAATTATAAAGCTTTATATAAAGAAAAAATAAAGAGATTTATATTAATAGTTAAGACTATTAAATAGTAAGAGTATAATAAATTTATAAAGAAATAACTAATCCTTATAGTATTTATAACTCTTAAAGTTAAGTAATAACTTAATAAGGGCATAAAAGTTCTTAAAAATTAAAATAATACTAAAAAGAAGTATAACTATAAGACTAAATAGTTTCTTATAATAGAAAAATAATATAATAGTTTAATTAAAAAATAGACCTAAAGCTTAATTATACTATTAGAGGATATTATAATCTTTTATAATAAATAGGTATATAATTTAAAGTATTTTACTAATAGTAATCTTATAATAAGGGCATGCTTAGTTATTTAAGGAGATTAGCTTTAAGGGATAGACTATTTAATAAAGGAACTTTATATTATAATAGCTTATTTTATATTAGTTAAAGTGTTTTATTTAATTATAGTAATTAATAATCTTAAATAGTAATAATTTAATACTATTACTATATTCCTTAATACTAATATTAAAAAGGAAGTTTATATATATTAACCTTAAGGCTTTAATAATAAATTTAAAAGAGTTTATTATTTAAAAAAAGCTTTTTATAGTTATTTAAAGGCTCCTTTATAATAGTTTAAAAAAGCTATATAACTTTTAGCTATAATTAAATTTAAACCTTTTAAATTTAAGCTTTATATTTTTAAATATAAAAATAGCATTATTTTAATTTTATATATAAATAATATAATAGTTACAGCTTTAAAAATATTAACTATTTATAATATAGTAATATAGCTAGAAGGTTTATTTAAAATTAAGAAACTAAAAGATATAGCTGTCTTTTTAAGACTAGAAGTTTATAAAAATTAAAAGAATAAGATAATTATACTTAGCTAAGGCACTTATATTAAGAAAGTTATTACTAAGTTTATTTTAATATTTTAAAATCTAGCTAAGACCTTATAGCTACTTAAGAAAATAATTCCTTATAATTAAAAATAATAAAAAGTTATTATATTAATAAAAGAATAGCTAAAATAAACTAAAAGCCTAAACTTTATTTTAATAGGTATAAGGCCTAATATTATATATACTACTTAAAAGCTTTATAAAGCTAATACTAGTTTAATAAAATACTATAAGGAAATCCTAAAGTATCTTTTTTAATACCTTTAAGGCATAACTAACCTAGGGATTTAACTTAGTAGTAAATATAATATTAAAGACCTTAATTTAAGGGTTTATATTAATATAGCTTTTATAAATAACTTAGCTAAAAGATTTAGTATAGTAGGTTATATTATATTAGTTAGTAATAAACTAGTTTACTAAAAAAGTAAAAAATAGATTATTATTACTATAAGCTTAACTAAAGCTAAATTTATAAACCTTACCTTAGCTAAAATATTAGCTATTTAAATTAAGAAGATCCTTAATAATTTAGGCATTAAAGACTAGAAGCTTATAATCTTATATACTAATTCTTAAAATACTAGAATTACTATTCTTAACTAATATAATATAATATAAATAAAGTAAATAGATATTTATTTTAAATAAATTATTAATAAAGTAAAATAAAAAGATTTTAAAATATAGTAAATTAGTATATAAGAGATAACTGCAGATAGTTTAATAAAGCCACTTAAAAAGATTAAGCATACTGAATTTATAAAGCTTTTAAAGATAGTTAATACTATTTAATAGTAAAGATCTATCTTAAGTTTATATATTTATTTAATAGCAGGGGTAATTATAATAAGTATACTAACTCTATTACCTTAGCTATGCCTTATTTCCTATTTCCTTTTTCTTATATTAATAAGAATTTAAACTATAATAGGTTTATATTTAAAATAGTTTAAGAGTGCTAGATTTATAATAAAGAGTAGTATAAGCCTCCTTATCCTTCCTAAACTATAATTATTAAAAAGACCTTTATTATAAAAGGCATTTTATTTACTAATTAAAATAAATTTATCTTTTATACTTTTAACACTTTAGGATATAAGTATTTTATTAAACCTTAATTATTATATTAATAGTATTAATATATTTTTTATAAGAAAAGTATTTTATTTAATAAATAAAAAGCTATTTAAGAGCTTTTATTATTATATTAATAACCTATTTCTACTTATTTTTATTTTAGTAATTTATTTCTATTTTAATTAAGGAAGCCTTATACTTTAATAAGTAAAAGTAACTTCTAGACTTTAATAACTAGAAAACCTTAATTTAATTTACTTACTTTTATTAGCGCTATTTCTCTTTAATTAAAGAAATAGCAGCTATTTTTTAAATTTATTTTATATTCTTTATATATAGTAAAATAGCCTATATCTTATAATTAGCAAAATGCTATTAATTTCCTAGGATATTATAATAGTGTTATAGTGTGTTAGTCTTAAAGGGGATGTGTTAAGTGGTCCCTACCCTAATAACTTAGGACCACCTTATAATACCACAGGCCTTAGGCCTGTGATGCGCTTGTAGCTGTTTGTTTATTTTCCTTCTTTCTCTCTAGCTAGTCCTCTATAGAAGAAGAGAGCTTATTGTTGCACCTTTGTCAGATATTACTACTTTGTATCCTCATGTAGGCCATCAGACGCTTTGTTAACGCTTGTCTCACGATGTCTTCGTGTGCAATCCGCTACGTGTACCTGCTCCAATCCGGGCATCGATGCCTAGCGACAACCGCAGCAGTGCTGTTTGAGAATCTCTGTTTTACATTCATCTCGTCAACCGCTCAATCAAACTGCGTGATGACGCTTCGTCAAACCGTTGGCAAGTGGCCCCAAGTTGTTTGGATCTACAAGGAACCTTGTCCAACGACTGAGTTCCGAACAATTCACAGCTGAACAAGGCAGGGCTTGAAATGACATGATGGACAGCGCGCTGCTGAATAAACACCAAGACCCTCTCGCATTGTGCTTCATACAAAGCGCAATCGCTGTTGTTTGCGGGCAATTCTGGCAGGGAATCGCCCGTATCGCGTGACTTCAAAGTGCCGGGTAGGGCTCTTCCCTGAAATACGAGGCCCAACGAGGTTCCGCAGAGCTGGAGACATGCTGTAAGATCCGGGCTCGGTCAAAAAAGAGCGGGCATTGGAATTGCCGAAAGCACATCCGCGCGGATTTGATCAGCAAAAAGGGTGACCAAGCTGCTCCCTGCTTCACTCTCTCTCTTCCTTGCTTCACTCGGCCTCGGCAGGGGAACATATTGCGTGACTTGTCCATCGAGAGATGCTTGTTCAGCGCGCACATGTAAGCTCTCTCTCTCTCTCGCTCTCCATCAGAGCTGCCAGGGACTCCCTAGGTAATAAAAGCGCGGCAGACCTTTATTAGCCTCGCCTCTCCCTCTGTTGCCGGGGCCGAGATCAAAGCATGGCTCCATCGCCCCGAGCTTCGTTTGGTCAGCAGAGAGGCGTGGGGTTTCTGCGTTGCCGATCTCAACTTCCGTGCCGCCAAGTGGCTCCCGTGACACCTTGAGCAATGAGTTGGTTGTCGAACCTTTTGCAGGAGTTGGTGATGGTCTCATCAGCGTCTACCTAGTAGTTTCAAGATAGATACCTACCTTGAACGATACCGCTACTACAGTTTAGGCAGGTATAGTAGTGGTTAAGTTGTTCGAGATGTCAGTTCTCACCGGCGGAGTGAGCCGTCCCATCTGGAGCACGACTGCAGTTCTCATTCTTTGTGCTGGGTTCGATTGGGGTCATTTTAGCTTGATGACAGGTATTAATGGAGGGATGGACCCTTGGCGCGATTCCGCCCAAATGAATCCGCAACAAATGCGTGGCCCCGACGCCACGTGAAGATGAAGGGGGGGCTTCCGAGAGATTCCCACGTGCTTTGAGGGGCCGCTTGGGTGATGAACCTTGCCGCCTTGGGGATGGAGATGGGGGGGTGATTGACATTTGACGGGAGAGTCGGGCTGTGCGGATGGGATTGTAGAAAAGTCCATGATCTTCGTTACGGAGTCTAATTATTGATACATGCTTACCACCATCTGCTAAAACTGCTATAGATTGCTTTGTAGTTAATACAAGATGGCGATGAGGTTGAAACTACCTAGTAGATAGGAAAAGGGGAAGAAAGGGGAAGAGAGCAAAGCACGAGACGAGACGGATAGGCCTAATTGGTCTAAACAGCTGCAAGCGCGGAATGAATCGACTGACTTGAGTACCTACTTGGTGAGCGACTTTGCCTGCTGACAGACATTGCGCTGCAATTGGGCAGCTCGAAACGCCCATCGCCAGTGCGTCGCTGTGGCGTCTTTGTTTGAAGGGGCGGGACGAGGGTTTTGGGATGGCATCTGAGTCGGGTCTTTGGGGGCCAGAGCCAGACGCGGTTGAGGGGCGGGAAGTATCAGAGGAGACGATGCTGGGATGGAGTAGACATGTGGGAGCGCGGGATGATAGTGGGTGGTGAGATTGTGAGAGAGCCATGGCTCGGGGGCCTGGATGCATCCATCTATCGGTGTGCGTGTGCTTTCGTGGGTGCAGCGTCTGTGACACTTGTTCGTGAAAGAGGGCACGAGGTATGTATTTCCGGTGTTGATGGGATGCTCATCTTGTTATTTACGAGGCTTGGTGTTAGTGTGCTGAGGTACCTATCCTGAGCAATTGCTCTTCAGATGTCCGCCTACTCTCTACAACTGGACACATGGCATCATAGCCCACTTCCAGATGCCACCATCAAGTGGGCAACTTGAACTGACAGAGATCGACTGAACCATCGTCGCTACGAGAAGCGGAGGCAGTGCCATGTATCCAATCCCGTGTTCCCACACCTTGACGTGGGAGGGCAGGGAACCAAGGCCTTCTACATACGAGTAATATGGCCAGGTCGGCGAGCTCCCCCCCACCGTCACGCATGAGCTCGCGCTGCTCGATGCACTCCACAGTCCCGTATCTGTCTGCAGTTGTATCATGACTCGGGGACCAATATGTGTAGATATGTACGTGTATCAATCTCTATCGCCGAGTCGCTGCTCTGCCCACGGCCTTTTGCTGCCGCCATCTCCCTACAAGTACAAACTTACGGCCCCTGCCGCCGGGGTCGCATGCAGGCATCATCATCCTTCAGCAGGTCTCTTCGAATCGTGGTCGTCGGTTCTGCGCCCCCTCCTCCTCTCGACGGCTCAGCGCTCGTCTGGCTGTCGTGCTTTACTGCATCCAGCACTGCCAAGCTGGCACAGAGCGGAAAGGGTCCGAGTCTCGCCCGGGATGGTCAGGATCGTTAGTGTCTGTAGTACTAGGTAGTTGCGGCAGCCGTGGTGCAGATTCTCATGTTGAGTGAACGAACCCCTCTTTGCGGATAGATAGGTATGGTGTTCCCCAAAGCGAGAGTGTGGTCAGAACCTTACATGTACCTAGCATGCAGCTTCATGCCCGCGAGGCTGGCGGGATCTTTTGCTTTTTGGCTGCTGGATATACGTATTTGCCTGTAGTATTACTGTACCTATGCACCATGCTGCAGTGATCCCTTGGCGTAGGTGTCTACCTATCTTAGTAACTCAGGATCAGCAACTACCTACCTACTATAGCAGTTGACTCCCATATGCACTCGTACGCGATATCTTGGTGTGAAATCATCACCAGATGACAGTTCTTAGCCTCAATAGCACGACTCGTCTTGCCCCGTTTGACACCGATAGAGCTAGCTACCCACTAGCCCCAAACCCGCCTGGTGCGGCCCTGCTACAGCACTAGTCCGTGACCGAGCTCGTCTTTTAAGGTGGGTGCAGGTTCAACGCTCGGAGAGCATGGACTGTCTGGAGCCTTTGCTGAGGGCGATTGTTGTCGTTCTGACCTGTGCTCAGACAATTGGACCTCAATGGCAGATGCCCATGCTTGGCTTTGGGCTGTTTGTATCTCTACCTGTACCTGTATCACCACGGCATTGTTCCTCTGGCCTGCAGGCACTAGGTAGACCTGTACCTAGTACTACCTGTAGGGCCAAGAGCATCGACTTCAATCAAAGCTGGTGCTCCCGGTGTTACCAGCCCAGGTACAAGTACATCCATCCATGTGCCGCACCCGCACCCCCGAGGGTCGCAGTCCCAGGCCCAAGTACCTGCCAAGGTAGCACTGCTAAGGCGCTCCTTGACAGATCCTCCCTAATCCATTGATCTTCTCTACTGTATCCGCCTCTCTTTCTCTTCCCTCCTCCTCTCCCACAGCCGCGGCCGCGACGCCTGCATCTCTCCCCGGCCACTCCAGCTTCTCCATTTCGCTCTGATCCTCGCGAGTGCCGGTGTGTGTTGGTAAGTGGTGTGCCTATTACCAATCTCCATACCTCCCTTACCTATACCTGTACCCTTTGCCTGCCAGCACGGCTACCTAGGTAGGTAGTAGTAGGCCGTTCTTCTTCGTCCTCGCTAGCGGCCCCAATGGCACGGATTCGCATCGACTATTGCACCAACATCAGCCTGCAACAAAAACCAAAGGCCCTTATCCGCCTCCTCACCTCACCACCATCGGCCCATTTCCAGATCCGTTGACGCCCTCATTCCCTCGTCCTCCCATTCCTTGCCTCGTCACCTCCCTCTTTTGTTCCTGCTCTCATCCCTCCTGTCCGCTCCCTCGCCTTGCTGATCCCGCTTTTGCTCTCCTCCCTCTTCCTCCGCCTCTCCCTGCGCCTGCTGCTGCTGCTCCCCTCACTTCCACCCACGTCACAGTCTCTCGATATCACCACATATCCCCCGTCATCGTCGTCGGCGTTTCCATCGTCGTCACCACATCCTCCTCCTTGCTTCTGTAACCTCATGTCTGCGCCCGCGCCGGTGTCGCGTCTATAGATTTGCGCCAATGGCCCAGCCGAGTGCATCCCGGCAGCACTTTGCTTACATGGCTACTACAGACAGCAGCTCCTCCGGATCCCATCAATTGCGCTCCGGCTCCGAGACCCCGACTGCTGCCGCCACAGCTCGACGTCCTCCAGTTCTCCAGACCCGCGATTCCACCCTCAGCAACACCACGACCAGCACCTCGAGCAGCGGCGGCTACTGGTCCAGAGTCTCGACGACTTCCACTGATCAGAGCTTTCCCTCGCGCACAGCCTCCGACGCCGCCCGCCCCCCGACTCCCAACCGCGATTCCATCGTCTCAATCGTCGACGATCCCTTCTTCCAGAACCTAGACACCCCCACCGCTGTCGCTCCCGATTCATACAAACATCTCGAGTTTGAGTCAGAGACATTGGCCGAGATCCCCGTCTTCTCGCCCGAGGCCTCTCGCGGCAACAGACATGTTCAGGAGGGGCACCAGAAGCAACACTGGCCGCCTCCCCGTCGAGAGTCGCTGACCATTGGATCTACACCAGTTTGGGTACGTTGCGCACGGAAAACCGAAGAATTGCACATCGGGGACAGAGAAAGAGAAGGAGAGGACATGTAAAGCCCAGAATATCCATTCCCCTCGCCCAATCCAATCATGGGATCAAGACGCCGCCGCGACGCAATTGGAGCGTCATGGCGTGCATGAGTTTGATGCAGCTCTGCATACAGACAGGCCAATCTGATGCTCACTCACGCTCCTCATCTTACTTCCCATGAGCACTCCGTCTCCACTCAATTAGTTCTGCTCACTTCACCTACCCCTGCTTGCACGCTGTCGCGGGGCAGCCAACCAGGGGTTCACTCTAGAGCTCAACCTTGGCCACTCCGTACATTGATGAGACATTCCTCTTGTTTTTTTTTTCTGAGACCGCTCCCATGCTGACAGTTGTCGCCATTCCCAGACACAGCCATCCTCCGCCATGGATAGCTACAACATTGCCATCATTGGCGCCATAGGCGTGGGCAAGTCGACGTTTGTCCAGCGAATCCTGGGCCTCTCGCGCCCGCCCATCTCTACCGCGTCCAGCGTTCGCATCTCCGTCGACTCCGCCTCTTATATGATCACCCTTCTCGAGCTGGACCTGGACTCCTTCGAGCTCAACACGCCACAACCCATCCAGTGGCCCAAGCAGATCAACGGCCACATCGTGCCTCGCGTCGACGCCGCCCTGGTGCTATACGATGTAACAAACCAGGACACTATTCGCGAGCTTCCTCAGACTTTGGGTATGTTTTACGAGCGGTCCCCACGGCGAATGGCGGCTTGGGAACAGGACGAGACGTGCTTCTTGCGTAGCGCAGCGTCAATGTCCGTGGTCGACAGGAGCTAACATGTCACTGCTGCAGCTGCTTTGACGAATTCCAATATGCCTGCCATGCTGGTCGCGACCAAATGCGAGGCACCGCAAGAGGACCGGCAGGTTGATCCCGATGACTTGGCCAACCACGCCCTCTTCAGGTCCTGCCTGGCCCACTTTAAGATCTCCTCGACAAGCCCCGAAATTGATCGCGGCTGTCTACATGCCATCCTCAAGGCCGCGGTGTCCCATAGAAGGGGCACGTTGCAGAGTATGGCCCTCCACGATGATACATGCCCCTTATTGGGTGGGTGCCGGAAACGTGCTGGTACTGACGAAGCTCTTCTTATGCAGATGAGATTGGCGAGATGGGTGCTGCCCGCAAGAGGGCGCAATCTGCTGCGAACCTCGAGGCCACCGACCCCAGCGCCGCTCGGCCCGTTAGCGAAGGACGACATAATCGTGCGAGCTCCGACTTTTCGCTGCTCCGGGGCTTTGCGGCTCCATCTGTCGGCACTCCCGTTGCAGATGGCCATGTGCAGAAGCAGGCGTCCAGGAGTCCACACCGAGGTTAGTCCCGCTGTTGCTGCTGCCATGCAGCTAATATTGCCTACTACGGAAGACCGAAATACGGAGTGGTGCTACGGAGCTCGGGGAAGCTTACCGCAACACCCATACCCTTGATACCCTTGAGCATTGATGGCAGGTCTTGTGGGTCCAGCGCTGACATTTGCCCCCCCTTAGGTGGCCGCGGAACTGACTCCTACCTCGACGCCGACGAGTCCGACACTGATTCCCGTCGATATTCAGACGACATTCCCATCCTGCAGCGAAGCGATGACGCCGTAGTAGAGAAGCAGCAAAAGATGGCGGGCGTGCCCTTTGACGAACTGGTGGACCGCCTGCTGGCGTTGCGCCTCTCCAGGGCGGACCTCAACTTCTCCGATGTCTTCCTCTGCCTATATCGCAAGTTTGCCGCCCCCGGCGAGCTCTTCTCTGCCATCCTGATGCGGCTGGATCGCGTGAGGGACGACAAGACGGCCCATCATCTGACCAAGACGGCGACTCAGCTTCGAATTATCGAGACGGTAGCCAAGTGGGTGTCGCTGTATCCCGGCGACTTTGCCCGTCTGGCTACGCGCCGAAACCTGGACGAGTTCATACGATATCTTTCCACGGAGCCGATCTTCTGCATCGCCGCCCGGCAGATGCATCGGAACCTCACCCTCCACGTCATAGAGGACGATGATACGGGCTGGGCCAATGCTGACGACGCCGACGACCAGCTGGCCAGTGACATTCTCTCCAAAGAACTGAGCGAGCTTCCGGCTGGATTGACTGCCTTACAATTTGGAGACGAGGATAGCAACTTTGACAGGCCGTCGGTAAGCTCCGAAAACCTCAACAGGGTGGTTGGCAGCGGCGGCCAGATACAGCTTTACTCCTATGAGGACTACGAGAGGGAGGCCGCCACCTTGGACCCAACCGATCACCTGCCGATGAACAAGTTCCGATACCGCATCTTTGTTGAGATCAAGGATGACGAGATTGCAGACGAGCTCACCCGCATCGACTGGATCATGTTCTCCTCGATCCGAATCCGCGACTTTGTTCGGCACGTCAGCCTAGGAGCCAGCCAAAAGGAGAGCTGCAAGAGCCTGAACAATGTCAATCGCATGATCAACCACTTCAACCACGTCGCCAAGTGGGTCGCCAACATGATTCTCCTCCGGGACAAGGCGAAGCATCGCGCCCTTGTCCTCGAGAAATTCATGAACATTGCCCTCAAGCTTCGACAACTCAACAACTACAACGGCTTGGCCGCCGTCCTGGCAGGAATCAACGGGACAGCCATCCACCGTCTTTCTCAGACTAAAGCTCTGGTCTCGCCAGAGACTCACAAGAAGTTTGCCAGATTGGTCATCCTGATGGGGACCCAAAAGAGCCACTTTGCCTACCGACTGGCCTGGGAAAACTCGCCGCTGCCCCGCATTCCTTTTATGCCTCTGCACCGCCGTGACCTAGTATCTGCCGAGGAGGGCAGCAAGACGTTTGTTGGGCCCAACGGCGACCGCATCAACTGGAAGAAGTTTGAGGTGCTTGGCGAAGTCCTCTTGCCCCTCATGAAGAGCCAGGGGTCGCCGTATCCCAACCTCTCCAAGAACGACAATGTTCGAGAGCTGATCTTGGGCTGCCATATGACGACGGACGAAGAGGTAAGACATGGGAAACCACGCCGCTTTTCAATTCCAAGGCTCTAGATGCTAACAAGCTTCACAGGAGATCTACCAGCGAAGTCTCGAAGTGGAGGGCTCGTCGTCAGGTGGCGGAGGCCTGGAGCCAACCAAGAAGATCTTTCCATGGCTTAAGTAAACGTTGACGCGAGGCGTTACAGGTCACCTTACGGGCAATCAAAAAGACTGGGTAATTTTATGTTTTCGACACGACATCTTCTATTTTGGGTAGCGACACTATTTCTGCAGGCTGGGCGAAGGATGGATTTCAGCAAAGCATATTAGAGGCGAGATTTTCTTGTTGGATCTTTTCATTTCTCTCCGCTTGCTTCCTTCTTTTTTGTTACTATTCCTCTTCTCTACTTGTTCCTTGTTTATTCCGGTCCTTTCCAAAGACACATATCACATGGCATCACTGCGGTCGTTTACGGTACCTCCCCATATACAAAGCCTACCTTATCTTAGTAATGCAGGTTGGAAGGCGGTGGACAACTGCCCCTTCCACATCTTGAGAAGTACAACTTCCTCTTTGCGAGATCCTGTGACGGACGACATATTTGGAAGGCACCTTGTACGTAATGACCACTAAGGTATCTCGAGGCTTTGGCGAGGCACTCGAAATTGACAAATATTGCATCTTTGTCCACCTCACTTATCGCTTCTATATCTCGTCCGATGTGTTGGGTGTATAACGGCATTGATGTCCCTGATTATAGGGCGAGTCAATATACGTCTAGCCACTTATACATCAAGTTTGCAACGGCAAGGAACAGACGCCATGCGACTCGCCAGTGTCAATCTACCGAAACTCCATCTTGCCAGCCACGAGCAGCGCCTGGACTTTTCACTTGAAGGCTCACTGCAATTGCGCTTTCCGAACGGGACAAAGCTTCCAAAGACAAGTAGCGACCTGTTGAAGTTGGCGAAGGAGAAGCACCTGTGGATTGCGCGGACTGGCTCTTGCTATTTCCAGCTTGATGTCTCCGTCCAAGGCGAGCCAGTGTCGGAGGAGGATCATGTTGCAAAGCTCGTGGAGTGGGTGAGAGACTGTGAAGTATACCTTATGGACTTGCGTGATCTTTTGGCTTTTACGACCTTGATAGCTGACTCTGTGGCTTGTAGGTTTGGAACCGAGCGGGGATTACATTGCATGATCAAGAAAGAGGCGTGGGCGAGCCTATGGGGCGGATAGCCTTTTCTATACAGCATCCGGACTTATCCTCTGCCTTGGTCACTCGGGGAGATGCGTTGACGGCGGAGTTTGAGTCTGTGACTTGTCGTGTCAACTTTACTTTGATACAGGATGAGCCGTCTAAGAAGAAGAAGCGATCGCTGAAAAGGAAGAGGGAACGCTGGCCTGATGAGAGTATCGAAGGCAACCAGCTGGATGGTGTGTCATGTGATGATGATTACCTTGCCTGTTTGAGTCCGGATGACCAGAGAGCCATCGATGAGTTTATACAGAGTCTACAGATGGTGCCTCACAAGCCAGGAACGAACAGATCTACACCAAAGGCCGCTCAGGGTGCTCAGGCCCTTGAATTCTCAGATCTATTCAGACCGCTATTCGAGGCTGCATTGGAGGTTCTTGTTCTTGGGTCAGCCAAGAAGCACAAGGGGGTCACTACGGTGGATTGCAATCGAGCCGAGTGTTTGACACAACTGGCGCCGGCAGTCTTCAACATGTCGTATCTAAAGGTGGGTTCTTTGGAGGTAGGTAGCTGATGTGCTCTGGTTCGAGCTGATATTCTTCTCAGGTCATATCTGATCGAGCTGCTCTGCTACCCACCATCGCTACATCGCTTGCTCGTATGAACAACGCCGAGTCGCCAAGTCTTCGGCAAAAGGCGGCTTCATTTGCAGCTCGCGTGGCTGATCAGAAGTGTGGCCAGTACGACCGTGTCGTACGGGGAATCGAGAAGAGCGCGTGGCATGTCTTGCTGTCAACGGTCAAGAAAGTCAAGCCGCCTACTCATTCAAGGGAGGTGAACCACGGTGTCGAGAAACTGTCGCAACTTGTGGAATTTAGGCCCGATACAGAACTGCCTAGGCCCAGCATTCTACTACCAGCCGTTGAGATGGCAGACAGAGACAAAGGGGCTGTCGTTACCACAGGATCGGCTATGCACGACGAGATGAGATATGAGGAATTGACGTCGCCGCTACTCCAGCATCGCGGCCCCGGATGGCTTGAGCCCAATTGCAGTCTGCCACAGACACAGGCAGCTAATGCTACAGAAAGCGTGTTCGAAGCTGAGCGGAGTTACACCTTCTTAGCTGCGATGGAGGATCCCTTTACGACGGAGGCTGCCGTGCTGAATTACGATCCACTGCCTATGGATATAGGATCTACAACTACGTTTGACGAGTGGCTATGCACGGGTGAATCTGGTTCAAGATACTGGGGGGCTTCGTGGCCGAAATATGTGGATGTAGATATGAGCATCTATGAGTCGTGAGAAGAACCAACTAGATTGCTGTGCTATAACGCCTCGAACATGTAAATAAATATGAATAATTGCAAGATAGGTAAAGGGTGCTCCATTCTCCGTTTCTCCGATCAAGACATTGCCGGTTGCCAAACTGTCCGATATACAGCGCACGAGAGCAGTACCTCCCACTACCTAAGTGGTATATTGCAGAGCAGCCGTCCTCACCGATATGCGTGTCGTGTGGAGGGTATTCATTCATAGAAAACAACAACAGAAAACAACGAATCACACAATGGATTTTCCAAAAGGACTGTCTTATCAAACTTTCCCCCCCCAACATTGAACCCCTTTAATTCCCACCCGCCGCCCGACGAGTATTGTCCGAACCGGCGCCAGCCCTGAGCCTGCCCAGCAGCCCTCCAGCTCCTCCTCCTCCTCCTGCTGCTGCCGCTCCGCTGCCGCTGGCGCCGGGCTTGCCGCCCTTTGCGGCGTCGGGCTTCTTCTTGCGCTGCGAGGGCTTGAAGGTGGCCCAGTGGATGAAGTAGAGGAGGCCGCCCTCTGCGAAGAGGACGACGAGGACGACGACGAGGACGGTGAAGAGGTAGGGCTGGTCGTTGAGGACGGCGACGGCCTCGTCTGTTGCGCCGATTTTCTTGAACCAGTCGAATTGGCCCATTGTTTTTGACTCTCCTTTTCTCAAGAAAAGGGTTGGAGGTCGGTTTGAAGAGGTGAGGGTTGGTTCTTGTTGTTGGGGTTGAGTGAGAATTGTGTAAAGTTGAAGTTGCTTGCTCGGTGGAGTTTGGAGTGCTTGAGGCGAGGTGTGTGAGCCAGTCACGGGCGCCTTTATTATTTGGAGAAGGGTAAATAGTAAATAAGAAGATAAAACGGAGAAAGATGAGAAAGATTAAAACAGAGTGAATGAATGACAGTTCGGAGAAGAATTGAGAGAGAGAAAAAGAGAAGGATTGGGGATGGGGGGAAGAGGAGAGAAAACAGGCGACTTCGAAACTGGGACTCTCCTGAGACGTTTCACGATGGGGACGGGGGGGTTCTTTGATGTTTTGGGTGTCAGGTGAGGGGATGATGGGTTTGGAGGAATTGGTCTTTGATGGATTGCGTTTTGGGGGAAGCCATCGTTATGTCTATCTGAAATGGAATGAAGAGAACCTGTATATAGAGGGAGTCTGTCTACAACATGAGATGAAGGCATGCGTCTTCGGAGCTTTACAGAGCTGCAGGACCCGTTTAGGGGTCTCTGGGGCTACCTTAGTACCTCTGGAGGTGGTCATTGGATAATAGGTAGGGATTCGTTCCCCAGATGGACGAGTTTCATGTGAAAAGCACGTGCAGCAGTCCACAGGGCGTACTGTGGCTTGACGTGCGCTCACCAGCCACACATCTGCTGACTCATCAGCAAACCACCATCGGTGGTTCTCAATTGGGCAATTCGCAGAAAAATCTCATGGGTCGTGAGACACAAGGCCCGTCGATTCGAACGAAGTTCCCGGCCTGCGATCGCTTTCTGCCCCAGCACCCCTCACGAGGGGACATTGACTCTACCGAGATTCCTCAATCCGGAGCCTCGCCTGGCCATGAGCGTCGCCCGTCCGGCGCGCAGCCTCCTGCGCAAGTGCGTCGCCTCTGCCCGCACAGCGCAGACCGTCGGCTGCCAGCACCAAGCCCAGCCTCATCAACTCCAACTCCAACAGCAGCAGCAGCAGCAGCAGTTCCAATCGCAGTCGCAGTCGCACTTCCACACCTCGGCACCCCGCCCGACGAAGCGGCGATCGCGCTTCCGCAATGTCAAGGCCGAGGACATGGGCTTGCTGAGCAAGGACGGGCTCGACAAGTACCGCCAGGAAAAATTCCCCGACTACACCCCGGAGGAGCTCGACGCCCTCAGCAAGAAGTACACGCCCGAGCAGCTCGAGGCCCTCAAGGCGGGCGAGGCGGCCATCGACCCCGAGGACCTCATCTTCCAGGGACGGCTGCGAGACGACCCCTACAGGCCGCAGTACATGGAGGACTACACCGTGCTGGACCCGCGGTACGACGTGAAGCCGGAGATTGAGGGCACGCCCTGGGAGCCGCAGTGGTTGAACCCTAGCGACTGGGCGGATAAGTACGGATCGAAGCTGGCGGACCTGACGGACAAGAAGACGAGCGACCAGCTGACGAGAGCCATGGTGCGCGCTCTGCGGCGGGTCAAGGAGAGCAACGGCGAGGAGCTGATTGATCTCACGGAGGAGGAACTGGTGGACCTGGAGAAGGACCCGGAGCTGCTGAAGAAGTATCTGGTTGAGGAGGACGGCGATGACAAGTCGAACGGTGAGGCTGTGACCATTACCCAGGAGCAGGCCATGAAGCTGGACCGCGCCATCGACGAGGAGTGGAGGAAGGAGCTCAGCAAGATTGGCGAGGGCCCCGACTCGGGCGAGCTCGAGCCGACCAACCTGGAGCTGATCGAGGACGGCCCCGCGGGCACCAGCCGGCTGCATTCGGCCGAGGCGCCCGAGCTGGGCAAGGTCCCCGGCGTCGAGGGCCTGTACAAGTCGGCCGCCGACCCGGAGGACGAGGGCCAGGACGACGACGGCCGCTACCAGGAGATCAAGCGGCTGACGGGCATGTCGCTGCGGGACATCCAGTCCATCTACCGCAAGGTGCTCGTCACGCGCTGGGTCACCAACCAGACCCGTCTGGGCAAGGTGCGCAGCACGTCCATTGTCGCCATCGCGGGCAACGGCAACGGCCGGCTGGGCCTGGGCATCGCAAAGTCGACCGAGGCCGGTCTCGCGGCCGAGACGGCGCAGCTGCTGGCCATTCGCAACATGAAGCCCATCCGGCGGTACGAGAACAGGACGATTTACGGGAATGCAAAGGCCAAGGTTTCGGGCACCGTCGTTGAGCTGTTTGCCCGTCCTCCAGGTGAGAACCTCCTTTTTTGTTTCCCCCTCACTTTACTGCTTTTTTTTTCCCCCGTTTGATCTGTGAGAGGGGAGGCATGCTGACATTCACGCGCAGGCTTCGGTCTCCGCTGCCCGCACCGCATCTTTGAAATGTGCCGCGCCTCGGGCATCCACGACATCGCGGCGCGCATGCCGCGGTCCAAGAACCCGATGAACTCTGTCAAGGCGGCGTACGAGGCGCTGATGAACCAGGTCGATCCCGAGGAGATTGCCATTGGACGGGGGAAGAAGATGGTGGATGTGCGAAAGGTGTACTATGGAGGCAATGTATATTAAATCGGCGGGTTTGGACAGAGAACGGAAAAATAAAAAAGAAATGGGGGTTCTGTAAAAACAAAAAGAGGGATGGCTGGTTGTTAGACATACAGAAGGGGAGGGAGCGGTGATGTTGTTGAAACGCACTGCTCTGTGTACAAGTACGATGATGCTGGAAATGAATATACATGCTATAAGTAAACAAAGACCAAGACTTGCGATGAACGAGCATTTAATTCATCCAAATAAGAGGCAATCAATTAGCATACATAGCCGTAACCTCTTCCATATAGGGTATCATTCATCAGTCTCCTCTCAAGATATCTCGTCCTCAAGACACGCCTCAGTCAAGCACGTCTCTCTTCTCACCGCGCATCACAGCTCTTCTTCTTCCTTTACATGCTCCCGCTCACCACCATCGCCGTCACCGCCGCCATCACCGCCACCGCCACCGCCCCAATCAATCTCCTGCTGCAGCACAATGCTATACACGCTCGCCTTGAGCAGCGTGAACGCGAGACTTGTCTTGCGCTCCAGTTCCCGCAGGCCATCTAGGATTTCAACTGTTGGGTTTGAGGCTAGGTCGTCCAACAGAGTTGCCAGCTGTGTAAACGCGTCTCTAGATTAGCATTTTCTCACCCTGACTTATGTTGTCGCGTCACCGTCTTCAGGAACCAAGGTGTAAGAGTAGTCGAATGATGGGGGCTTTGTCGGGTTGAGTTGAGACGTACAGTCTTCATGTTGTTTGCTAACCGGTCATATTCTTCCAAGACCTCCTGCTCCAGGGGAGAGAGCTCTGGAGGCGAGAGGAGGCCCCCTGTATGTGGCTGGTCCATCTTCGTCTGAATCGACCCTGCTATTGGAGATGAAAGCAAGCACGGCAATTGCGCGCTATACGTGCTGTTATAAAAGATCAAAGCCGTGAGTCGGGATGATGGTTTGTTTTGACGCCTCTACCCTTTTACTGGGCAAGGTATTATCGATTGTCGTTGAATTCAGGCGAACTGAGACCCCACCAAAGGCACTGATAGAAGCCGCTATCAGCACCTGCACCTTTCCTCTAGTACAGCACTTCCCCCACCAAGCCAAACGTGGACGCCCCACTCATCCTCGCCGCGGCAGTAACTTTTTTTCTTCGTCGCCGAGCTTGCTTATCCATATCGCCATTATCAATAAGGCGGCAAAAAAATATCAAGGACCGTCGCCGTCATCCGAGACACGAGACAAAGACAAGTCACCTCCTTACAACTCCCGCCCTTTTCCGCTGGTCCATGAATCTCTGGAGGTGACGCGCAAGATGCCGTTGATGGACGATGGCTTCGAGGCCCTGCTGGAGCCTTTCTACAACGGCAAGAAGCTGACGGATCCCATCTCGACCAAGGAGGACAAGTTCCAGCTGCTGCCGGCGTTCCTCAAGGTCAAGGGTGAGTAGCCTTGTCTGGAGTCTCTGTGAGGATGCCGGTGCTGACGCTTTATAGGTCTCGTGAAGCAGTACGCAAAGCCCTATCCATATCATCCGGCTGCATATGCCGGCGTCTACTTACTACGTCTGATATACTAAGTCTTGCGCCAGGCACATTGACTCATACAACTTCTTCGTCGAACACGAGATCAAGGAAATCGTTCGCGCGAATCGCACCATCCGAAGCGATGTCGACAGCAACTTCTGGCTAGAGTACGCCCAGACGTGCCCCCTTCCTCTCCCGCTGCCATTGTCAAATGGCTAACACCAAGCGTCTACCTAGGTTCACCGATATTCGAGTCGACCGCCCTCGCCGACTGGACTACAATGACTCCAAATCTCGGACAGAAGTCACGCCGATGGAATGCCGACTCCGCGACATGACGTACGCCGCGCCCATCTTCGTCGACATTGCGTACATCCGAGACAAGCAAAAGATTGTGCGCAAGAACGTGCCGCTCGGCCGGATGCCCGTCATGCTCAAGAGCTGCAAGTGTCGCCTCAGCGGAGCCAACAACTCCCAGATGGAGCAGATGAACGAGTGCCCGCTGGATCCCGGTGGCTACTTTATCGTCAACGGCACGGAAAAGGTCATTCTGATTCAGGAGCAGCTCAGCAAGAACCGTGTCATTGTCGAGGCCGACGAGAAGAACAATGTCATCTCCGCGTCCGTAACGAGTTCCACCCACGAGCGAAAGTCGAAAACGTACGTTACGCTGAAGAAGGATAAGATTGTCCTCACCCACAATATCCTGGTCGAGGGCGTGCCCATTGTCATCGTTCTCAAGGCGTTGGGTGGTCTTTCGGACTACGAGATTATGCAGCTTGTGGCGGGCTCGGACGGCAGATATCAGGACGAGTTTCTTGTCAACTTTGACGAAGCCGCCAAGGCCGGTATCTTTACGCAGCAACAAGCCCTGGAGTACATCGGATCGCGCGTCAAGATGGGTTCCAAAAAAGGCCAGTTTGGCGCTCAGGCCCGCCGCAACAACGTCGAAGAAGGATTGGATGCCCTAGCTAACCTCATCATTGCACACGTCCCCATTGAAGGACTTGACTTTTACCCCAAAGCCATTTACGTGGCCATGATGACGCGCCGAGTCCTCATGGCATCACAAGATCCCAAGCTGGTGGACGATCGAGATTTCGTTGGTAACAAGCGACTGGAGTTGGCTGGCCAGCTGCTCTCGCTCCTCTTTGAGGATCTCTTCAAGAGGTTCATGAGCGAGGTCAAGATGTCCATTGACAAGTTTCTGAAGAAGAACAATCGCGCTGTGCCGCTGGACGCTGTGCACATGATTAGCAATCATGCCAACAGCATCGGCTTGGGCATCAATCGGGCGATCCAGTCGGGGAACTGGACCGTCAAGCGATTCAACATGAACAGAGCCGGTGTCACTCACGTCCTCAGTCGACTCAGTTACATCAGTGCCCTTGGTATGATGACACGAATTAGCAGTCAGTTTGAGAAGACACGGAAAGTGAGTGGACCGCGAGCTCTTCAGCCGTCGCAATGGGGTATGCTCTGCCCGTCCGATACGCCCGAAGGTGAGGCGTGTGGTCTGGTGAAGAATCTTGCTCTGATGACGCACATTACGACCAACGTGGATGAGGCGCCTGTGATGCGGTGGATCTTCACCCTTGATGTTGGCGTCGAGCCGATCAGGAACTTTTCTGGTGCTGAGATGCACCGCGAAGGCTCCTACATCATCCACGTCAACGGCACCCCCTTTGCGCTCACCAGATACCCCAAGAGGTTTACGCACAGATTCCGCACGATGCGACGACGAGGCTGGATCTCGCCGTTTGTCGGCATTCACACCAACTCACATTTCAACGCAATCCACATCGCGACAGACGAAGGCCGCATCTGTCGGCCGTACATTATTGTCAAGAACGGCAAGCAGAAGCTCAAGCCGGAGCATCTCCGTCTCCTCCAGCTGGGCAAGGTCACGTTTGACGATTTTTTGACAAAGGGTATCGTGGAGTACCTGGACGTCAACGAGGAAAACGACGCTCTCATTACGATTTATGAGGACCAGGTCACCATGAGCACGACCCATCTGGAAATTGAACCGTTCACGCTTCTGGGTGCCGTTGCCGGCCTGATTCCCTTTCCTCACCACAACCAATCGCCTCGAAACACCTACCAGTGTGCCATGGGTAAACAAGCCATTGGTGCCATCGCACACAACCAATTCAACCGAATCGACACTCTCCTCTACACCTTGGTGTATCCTCAACGGCCCATGGTCATTACCAAGACTATCCAGCTCATCCATTACGATAAGCTCCCGGCCGGGCAGAATGCCACCGTCGTTGTCATGTCATACTCTGGTTACGATATTGAAGACGCTCTCGTCTTGAACAAGGCCTCAATAGATCGAGGATTCGGGCGCTGTCAGGTGTTCCGCAAGTACACTACGGAGCTCCAGAAGTATCCCAATGGAAGAAGAGAACGGATAGGAGATCCTGTCAACGAGATCGAAAACGGCGTTATGCGAAGAATTAAGAAACACGAAGCGCTGGATGCCGACGGCCTGGCCGTTGTCGGGCAGCGAATCCACTCAGGAGAGGCCATGGTCAAGAAGGAGACTCCTCTCGACATGACAACTACCGGCATCGGCCTCGATCGTGGCCCTAGCGAGTACCGGGACACGGCAGTCTCATATCGCATCGCCGACCCCGCGTACATCGACAAGGTCATGATTTCGCAGACGGAAAAGGATACGACGGTCATCAAAGTGCAGACGAGACAGACGCGAAGACCCGAGCTCGGCGACAAGTTCTCATCCCGTCACGGACAGAAGGGTGTCGTGGGCATCATTGTCGACCAGGAGGACATGCCATTCGCCGACAGCGGTCTGTGTCCTGATATCATCATGAACCCTCACGGTTTCCCCTCCCGAATGACGGTCGGCAAGCTGCTAGAATGCCTGACTGGCAAAGCATCCATTGTCCACGGCCGCAAGGAGTACGGCTTTGGCGATGCCTTCCGGTCCCACCCCGTGGAGCAAGTGAGCAAGGTCCTGGTCGACCACGGCTTCTCGTGGGAAGGCAAGGACTACTTCACCTCGGGCATCACCGGCGAGCCCCTCGAGGCGTACATCTTCAACGGCCCCATCTACTACCAGCGCCTGAAGCACATGGTGCAAGACAAGATGCACTCTCGCGCGCGCGGTCCCCGAGCGATCCTGACGCGCCAGCCCACCGAAGGTCGATCGCGAGACGGCGGTCTGCGTCTGGGCGAAATGGAGCGCGATTGCTTGATCGCGTACGGCGCCTCGCAGCTGCTGCTGGAGCGGCTCATGCTGAGCTCGGACGGCGTCATGATTGACATTTGCCAGCAGTGCGGGCTCTTTGGATATAGGGGCTACTGCGGGACGTGCAAGAGCACGAGGGAGGTGACCAAGATGCAGATGCCGTATGCGGCCAAGTTGTTAGTGCAGGAGCTGATTAGCATGAATGTTGGTGTGAGGCTGCAGTTGGAGGATGAGTTTCCTCATCCTACCTAGCTGATGATCTGACGTTTTGAGGTCCGATGTGGGTTGTAAGTTTGTGTGTGATGGGGGGTTTTGAGGTGGTATATATAGAGCAAAGAAAAAATGTATACATGCAATCTACACAAAGCAACATAGGTAGCTCAATAGAAGCGGATCATATTTGATGAATTATGATGTTTTTTTTTTCTTTTTGTTCCTGCAGAGTTACAGTTTCGGCATCTCGCGTCACTCCATTCTACGGCATATAGATCACCACAGCCTACTTGACCTTGGCCTTATCCCTCTTGACAGACCTCAGCCCCGTCATGGTAACCTCATATTCAGTGGCATTCTCAATGCCCTGTCCCGAAGCAGCCACATGCGGCGCAAACACCACCTTCATCCACCTCCTCCACGTCTTGAGCGTCGGCGCCCGGACATCAACATCATCATCGTCATCGTAAACAACAACAACATCGTCCGCAGAAAGCGGCGCGGCGATCCTCGTGGGGCGACCATACACGGGTCTCTTGTAGAGGGCCACGCGGCAGGAGATTTGGGTGGACCAGACGAGGCCCAGGCTGGGCGTCTTGAGGGAGGTCGAGCTGCGCGGGTCGTCGCCCCAGCCGGTGAACCAGCGCTGCTGATGGTCGAGCGCAAGGGCGGGAAGGGAAGGCTGTTGTTGTTGTTGTTGTTTTTGGTCGTCGTCTGGGTCTGGTGGGAAGGAGAATGGCATGGAGGAGGTGGGCGTGCTGGAGAGGTGGGGAGGGATGGCTGATGACGAAGGGGGCATGTTGCTGCGTGATGCGAGGGGGCTCTCGAGATGGGGGTGCGCCGTGGTGGTGTTTCGAGTGATGGCGGAAGAGCGGTGGTAATGGTGGTGGTGGATGGAGGAGGGCGTGGAGGATGAGGCGAAGCGGTCGGCGACTTGGTTTGCTACCACGACGGCAATGTTGTGCCTGCGGGCGAGATCGCGCAGGAGGGCACCGAGTTTGATGAGCTCGGCGCTTCGGGCGGCCATGTTAGAGCCGTGGGAGAAGCCCTGCTGGCGCTCAAATTCGGCGCGGTAGTTTGCGGCCACGGAGTCGATGATCATGAGGCCGATGTCGTGCCTCGACAGCAGCACGGGCACCTGGTACTCGAGGATGTGGTCCTGCGACTCGAGGTCAGGGGTGACGGCGCTGTGGATGGCGTCGAGCGTGGCTGGTGTCCCTGCGGCGCTGGCTTCCCGGAGGATGGCGTTGCCGTTGAGCATCTGGGCCAGTCGCCTGGTTGCGAGTCCGGATTCTGTAGAGATGTAGAGGGCTTGCTTGCCGAGGCCGTGGGGGGGCGGGAGTTGTACGGCGAGGGAGAGGGAGAGGAGGAATTGGGTCTTGCCGACGCCGCTTTCGCCGGTGAACTCGGTGATGTGGCCGGTGGGGATGCCGCCTCCGAGGGCGGCGTCTAGGCCATCGTCTAGGGTGCTGATGAACTGCTGGCTTGAGGGGGGAAGAGATGCTGATGGCTCCGGTTGTTTGTCTTGAGTTGAGGGTGATGATGGGGTGAATGGTGGTGCGAGGGGTCTGCTGAGGGGGAGGTCGTCGGTTAATGAGGCTTGGATGGCGGCGAGGAAGCGACGCAGGTCGATGATGGGGATTTGAGTCCGTTTGGCGAGATCTGCCGGGTGGGTGGTGAGGAGGTCGGTGGTCGTGAGGCCGTGTCGTTCGATGGTTGGGAGGAGGGCGGCAAAGGCGGAAAGGGGAAACGACGGGAGGATGTGGAGGAGGTCCGTCATTTGTATCCACGTCTCTTTGTGACAAACAGATACAGAGCACTGGATACAGATCTTAAGGCCAGCTGAGCTGGTGAGGCACTCTCTTTGACAAAGAGAGTGCAGGGTGGAGGAGTAAAGGGTGTAAGATGATAGGGCCAGAGGCTTGCCAGCCCGAAGAGGGGAGGGGTTCTTGGGCACCCCGTTTGTGCGGGTTCAGCTGCGAGGGTGACTTGAGCGCTACTTCGTGCCGTACCGTCCCTTGCTTTGCATGTGGCGTTCTGAGACAAGATTCTGGTGTTGTTTGAGGTCTGTTTGGGTGCGCTAATGCGGCTCTTGGGCGTGGGTATAAGAATGAACGATGCCGCTATGGTGATGGATTTGGGGGTGCTGCTGTCTCGTGTTGTGCCTTACTCCATGCGGCGACAAGGATTAACACAAGGATATCTGAGTATCGACTTTATAACATGAGTCGAGGTAACTTGTCAGCTCCGAAAGACGTCTGGCTGGAGTGCTGTTGATGCTTGATGTGGTTACGTGATGTCGTCTTCGTGTCTGCGTGAGCAAATCACGACCTGGTCCTACTCACGCACTGCTCCCTACCCTACACTGGAGCTGGCTCTTGCTTAGTAATACGCATAACAGTCACTCTGTACCTAAGCATACCTCCAAGGTTCTGACTTGTTGACTTCTCGCACACAGAAATCGCATCTTTTCCTTTCAAACTGCTTCTCCGCCCGACGTCGTTCCTCAAACAGGCTGATCCCTGTCATATGCTCTTCTCACCACTCGATTCAGCCTCACATTCTTATCGAGCTTTGGCTGCTGGAGCTACCGGCGCAGCTTGCAGGGTCCTATGCGGAGCCAACCAGAGAAGCGACGGTTCACTTCTGCAGCCAGGGTCTTTGCTTTTAGCTCGCGACGGTTTTGTGAGCTACAGATGGCGGTAAAAAAGAGAACAAGAGGATACGAGTACTGAATGGCCCTATGGAGAGCTTGCATTGCGTCTGTGGAGAGTCCTCGCCAGGCAGCATTTTGGGAGCCGAAGAGGAGATGGTGGTGGAGCGGGTGTCTGAAGGATGACTGAGGCGGGAGAGCCTGAGGACAGGGAGTTGGACCAGAAACCAAGAAGCATTGTGTGGTTGAGTCTCTATCACTGATGCCAACGGCAGCACTCGCAACTCGTCTCGAATCCTCTTCTCGGAACCGAGACAGAAGCCAGGACCGCTCTTCGACCGCTCTTCCTTCGACGGCCGCGATAGGCGTGGCAGACGCGGACAGGGCATCAACAGTTGAGCGACAAGCGACGGTAACCCAGTCTCGCCTAGTCGCCCGGGCCAGTTGTGCTGCTAGACAGGCTGTGTCGCTGATCGCTCAACTTGCGACTTGCGTTACCACCAGCAGCTGTGCCGCGGTCTCCTCTCATTTCCACAATTATTCCTCCGTCTTATTCGACGGCCATATTAAAGGTTGTTCCCGATTTAGACCAGCATTGACGCAGTTGCGAGTTCCGCGCCATGACGGAGCCCAGAGAGTGAGGGGACGGAAAGGCGGGATACGGATGTCCTGATTGATACGTGAGAGGCGCTGTTGCAGTCAGGCATCAAGCGCAGAGGCCGTGCTGTTGATTTGTCACGGACAGGCAAGCGGCTTGTGACGTCCAGCAGACGAAGCGATGCCGTCTCGTTTGGCGGGGCTTGAGCATCCTATTCATGCCGTGTCGTCTTTGTTTGGCAACCGTTGCAGAAGGGTTCACATTCAGGGCACCCCAACGTGCGGCTGCGGCTGCGCTTGTGGCATGGGCAAGCCAGGGCAGCAAGGGCACCGATCTGGTGGCTTGAGCTATGTATTACCTGATGTCAGGGTTTTGCTCGAATCTGCTTCGTTGACGATTCTAGGGGCCCATCACAGCAACTCCTCGCGGGCGACTGCTGTGCGTAACTGCCACCTATATACACACATGTGCGCGAGCGATGGGCTCTGAATCACCACAGCAGCAGAATCTCGTTTCCGCACCTCTCCTGCATAGGAGCTGACGCCCTTCCGCACCCCCTGTCGTTTGGCCAGGTTCACACTGGTTGGTGGTCGGATGGATCTAGGATCTATTTGCTGTTAGCGTCTTGCAGCTATTCAGCTCGACCAAGCTATCCAATCCCACGAGACGACGTCCTGCAACAATGGCACCTCTTCACACGGCACCCATGTCATGCTACAGCCAAGCTTGATGAGCTAGCAGAGGTGTTAGCTTGAGGCTGAATGGAGCGGAGGATGGAGGATGCAGTCGTGCCATTTGCCGATGCTCTGTAGCAAAGCCGCTGGGCAGCTACGATGCATCAGGGCCCCGGGGTCTAAGAGGCATGGCTGCAGTAGCTCAGGCATATTCTGCGCTCTCTTCGTCTGGGCCGGTCCGCTGGTGCTATTGCTGGTGCAATAAAACCAATTGATAGGGCTCCCCCAACAGATCAAAGCCTTCTTCCCCTTCTTCTTCTTCCTGCTCCTTCTTGTGCTCAGCATTTGGCGAAGCCAGCTTCCGAGCCGTGACGTTGTCTCTTGGTGCCCAAATCGCGATACCCCTCCTGAAGACTGGCCATCATGAACAAGGCAACAAGTGTTTATGCCGCTGCCCTTGCGGCTCTCCTGGCCGTTGCTGATGCTCGCAACCTGCACCAGCTTCCCAGGGCAACTCCTGCCTCGGACTATGCCATCGACGGCTTCTCCCCCAAGCCGACTGGACTGCCCAACTTTCCGTTCCACAAGGCTATCCAACGCCGAGCTGGCTCCACGTCCAGCATCGACACGGTCTATGTTGCGCCTGACAACACCTGCGGCTTCATTTCCGGCCTTGCTGGCGCAGGATACACGTGCGGTGGCGGCGCGACTTGTGTCTTCTTCACCTCGTCCACTGCCCCGGGACATGTCGCCTGTTGTAACACCGAGGAATGCAATGCCAGAAACGTCTGCATCGACTACAATGGCTACTATAGCCAGAGCAAGTGTAACAATGGCTGTGCAGTTGATACCTTTACTCTCAAGTGGTATGTCTTTCACTCATTCGTCATATAAAACCCAGCCGTCTGGGGGCTTATGACTAACATACATCGTCAACAGCACCAACTCGGCGCTGCCGTACTGCAACACGATCTCCTTCCCGGGAGACATTATGGACGTCTTCTGCAACAATGTTGACATCACGGAGGTCCAGGCTGCGCTGACCACCTACCGTGGCCAGGCTTCCAGGAAATTCACTCCTCTGCCGTTGGACGGCGGTGCTTCTACCACCACCGACTCAACTTCCACCACTCCATCACCAACTACTAGTGAGACTACTTCTAGCCCGGAACCGACTACCACCACCGGAGGCGGAGGTGGAGGAGGCGGTGGTGGCGGCGGCGGCTCCTCGAACACGGGTGCCATTGTGGGAGGCGTCGTCGGAGGTGTTGGCGGTCTCGGTCTGATTGGTCTCGCCGCCTTCTTCCTCCTCCGCCGCAACAAGGCCAAGTCCGGCACGCACGAGCCGGTGTCCCAGGTGCCCCCTACCTACCAGTCTCCTCCGGTGCAGCAGACGCCTCAGGGATACTACGACCCCAAGTTTGCCGCGGCCGTCGGACAGCAGCAATATCCGCCGCAGCAGTACCCTCCTCAGCAGGGATACTACACCTCGCCCGAAGGCCACACCATTTCTCCCGTCGACCCGCGATACAGCACTGCTCCGTCAAGTACCAGCCCGGTGCCCTCCGGCGGCTACGCTGCTCCCGCGGCGCCTGGGCCTTACCAGCCGCAGGAGAATGTGATTCACGAGGCGCCGGCGCAGTCGGACAACCACGGCCAGATGCACGAGCTTGCTTAGATAGCGGCCGTGATTCAACGTCGTGGATGATGAAAAACGCTTGATACCAATTTATACAAGAAGAAAAACATGAAAAAACATGTGAGATGAGAGAAAGGAAGCAAATAGGAGTCAAGTCGGGCGTTGTGGGGTTTGTTTTTGCCTTTTGTGGCCGGAGTTGACTGGGAGCTCTCTGGGCATTTTTCTTGGTATATATATTCATTTTGTTGACGGCAGAGAAGGGTGCCGGTGGCGGCTAATGGTATTGAGCATGAGGTGATGTTGGTTGCTTGCGAGGGACAACGGTGCTTCTTGTCTGCTCGCGTTGTCTGACAGGATTCTGGAGAAGCCTCAATGCTCGATTGGATATGTACATTGGCCGATCTTGAAGTCGAAGCAGTCTCGATAGAGTTAACATATCATTGTACAAATTCTCATCTGCAGCTATCTGAATATTGCAAATAGCCATGGTCAAAGTTCCATCCAGTGAATCGACAACATTGCGGCGAGCAAACGAGAGAAGCTCCTCGTGTGTGAGGACGTCGACATATCAAAGGGCGTCCTGAAAGAGAAAACAGCCAACTCAGTCGACCTCACGACATGTACTCGTCCAGAAACTTTTGCACTGCAATACCCAAAGGTCAGTCACACCACAGCCGTCGTGATTCAAAAGGGGGGAATTTCGCGTTTGATAAATACCTTCAGTCTCGAGATTCTTCCACATCTCCAGCAGCGCTGCCTTTTCGAGGTTCAACAAGGGGCCCGGTCCGGGCTCCATGTGTTCCGCGACGTAGTCGGACAAGGCAGTCAGGTCGTTGACAATCTCGACCGTGGCACCTTTACATAGCAGTGACTTGTGGTCAGCTCATCAGGTCACTTCAGGGGGGGATAAACCCCAGAGGGGGGGAGGAAGGGGGAGTGTGACTTACCGACGGCCTGCTGTAGGTTCTGCAACGAGTCTTGCGTGTTGTCTTGCGTATTTTGCTGATCTACAAGCTTCTACACACAAATCCTTCAGTCCAGTCCAAACACACATTTCCCCAAAAAAAGGAGAAAGAAAAAAGAAAGAAAAAAAGAAGGATAGAACGAACCTTTACCGCTTCCAAAGCATTCATGTCGTCCTGGAAATGCTCTTCCGCATATTGCTGCTCACGCTCATGGCACTTTCTCAACCGTTCGACCGTCTGATCACTGTCCAAGGTCACGTCTTTGAAGCGCTTGAGGCTCAACTCTGTTTGGGTCACGCTGTCAATGGCCTCTGTGAGGATGTCGGCTGAGCCATCGGCGGAGTCGGATAATGCTCTGAGGCGCTCGAGGCGGTCGCGGATGGTTTGCTGGACTTGGTAACGGAGGGTGTCGTTGTTTGATTCGTCGCCGTAGAGGCGGGCGAGGGCGTCGAAAATTTCATCTGTGGTTTACTGTGAGATGATTGTTGATGGTGGGTGAGATGATAGAGGGGGATGAAAAGGAGGAGGAGGAGGAAGAGGAAGAGGAGATAAGGGTGATTGGGGAGAGCTTCTTCTCACCGTAGTCTTCTTCGGCTGTGGCTGATAGTTGAACAAGGGTTTTGCAGATGTCTCTGACCGAGCGGTATCCGTACTAAACACCTTGAAATTCAGAAGTGTATCCAAAGGCTGAGCTAAGAGAACACCTATTGCTTGCCTCGAGGTCCTTCGATCGGTCAAAGATCTTATGTCCTGTGTTAGCACGGCAGATAACTATTGTGCCATCAAGTTGGTACCTACAGAGAAAAAGTCTTTTATAAGAGGCGAGATGATGTCGACATATATCTAAGAAAAGACCATGGTTTCAGCCCAACAGTCAACGGCATCAAAAGAGGGAAGTGCTGAGATACCTCCATGTGACCCAAGTCAGAAAACCCAAAACGTTGATCGAACATCTGGTCACAGTACGGCAAGTTCTCGGTTGCCTGGGTCGCTTCTTTGAGTTTGGCAAAGTTTGGTCCGTGGCAGACGAAGTCTGAGTTGTTATTCACCAACAAGCCCCTTGGGCTGAGGAAAGAGTTGTCGAATGCCATTCTCTGAGGCTGTTTTCGGAGTTTGTGCTTTGGAGGGGAATTGGGAAGAAGATGGATCGGAGCTGCTGAGTCTGAGCGAGTTGAGAGTTATATTTGGCTGAGATGGATCGCCTTTATATGATGGAAAAAATGAGGGCAAACCTGTGTGGCAGACATGAGCGTCTGAAGCAGAGTGACGCAGCCGACTAGAGAGGCTCTCCTATTCTCCTGGGGCGGCCACGATAGAGCACACCTGTGCTCTTCCATCAAGCCCCCCTACCTCATTGAATCGCTCAATTCCGTTCCCACACTAATCAGTTATGAGACATGACGTCTCTCCTGCCGCGTGTTATCTAGTTGCAGCAGAGATGTGCTTCCAGCATGCAGCTGAGACCTGCATTGCATATACCCATGGCTCCGTATGGTGGCAAAAGGAGGGGAAGACGGCGGCCAAGAGACGCCACTCGAGTGCATCCTGTCATGGCTGGCTGATGTGGAACATTGGATGAGGAGAGAGCGTCAATCTTGATAACGGTACGTAATGGAAAGAACACGATGGGATGATGGTTGAGGTTCAAGCTGACCGGATAGAAAACGAGGGGTTGGGGTTTACGTTTCCAGTCCTTCGAATGCAAGATGTCCTCGGGCGATGATGTAGCATATTGACAAAGTACAGGCTTCTTATCAACCGCCTCAGCTGGCAAGAGCTGAGTGTGATGGCACGAAGAATCCTTGAGGCGAGGGAGTATTTGCAGTCAGCCAAGAATGAACGTATCCCGATTCATCTCCGCCACAGCGTCGACGGGATGCTTGGAGTAGAATTATACGAGTACTCTCATGAAATAGCAGTTCATGTATAGCATGCAATCAGCGGCCCAAAGTTTTAATCATGACTTTTCAGGATTTGGAAGGTGGCTGTAACATCATTCGTGATCCGAGTATGAGACCACCAGTTATCACCGAATGTAGTCAGTCTCTTGACAGTCAGGCACATTGCCGACAGAAGCATACTCGACTCTAAGCAGCCAGTCTACAGGGTCAAGCTGTATCCGGTTTTGATAACCCCTAACCTCTTCTGTAGACGCTCACGGAAAGCATTCTGAACCTAGGACTGCTCATGGCCTCCTCCAGGCCGCCGCTGGGGGTCATATCGAACATGTCCCTTCCAGTGCAAATCAACGCCCACCAACCTACTCAAGTCCACATCCTCCGGGTTCAGCAACTTGATCTTCCACTGCGTGAACGGTGTAGGCTCAGCATGATTCTTTGTCTCAAAGATAGGATCATCCCTCGTCTCGCCCCTTGTCCCATCTGCCTTGAGCTCGTACGAGCACCGACGCGTCTGGGGAAGACTCGCAAAGCGCAAGATCTCACCCCTTTGGACATCCTGGTAGATGCCGGACGTGGTGATTTGCAGCTGAACAATCACCATGCCGTCTGCGCTCTTGGTAGCGGAGGGATTGGGGAGAGCGCCCCTGAGGGTGGGATCCAGGCCGCTCAGGCGGTAGTGGTTACCTCCGTAGAAGGATCCTGCGAGGGCTTCCTCGGGGCTTAGAGTGAAGCTGCCGGTGTGTGTCTCGCTTTTGAGGCCTTGGACGAGCATCTGGCCGAAATTGAGGGGAAGCTGCCAAGTTGTTAGCCACGGTGCCATCTTGTGTCAAGGTTGTAAGTGAAAGCATACATCTTCGCTCACGTCAGGGTACGAAAAGTCTACCATATCAGTCAGCAAGCCTTTCAAAGAATCAAAGAGGAACAGAGGTCATTTACCTTGAAAGTCGCTCGGATACTGCTCATCGATCGTCTCCATATCTTTAGATATCTGGTAGAGATCGCTCTCGTACTCCTCAATAGGCTTGGTAGAATCAGGGACAATCTTGCTGTCCTCAAGAGCCCAGTACCGATATGCCCAGATCATGTTCTGCAACTCAATCACAACGCCCGTCCTCAGCGCCATGAGCCTATCATAGAGCTTGGCTTCAGCTTCGCGGTAGATGTCCTCTTGACCCTCAAACTCATCCAGCAGGCTCTGGAGATCTGTCACCTGCTTGTTACAGCGGACGACTTCCATCTGGGCCTGAACGTACTCGTAGCCGGCCTTGATTGCCTCGGCCTGGGCCTGGGCCAGCTGTTTGCCGTTGATGGCGTGTTTACGCAGAGCAAGCTGGTATTCAGCTGCGCCCTCAATCTCGTTGTCCAGGGCAAACTTCATCTGCTTGTCCGACTCAAGAATCCAGGTGTCCCATGCTGCCATGGTGACGATTGCTGCAGAGTCTGCATCGCCCTGAGTCGTGCCTGTAATGTCTGCAATGGAGGGAATGTCGACGGTAGGGTCGATCCCGAGGTCCTTGATCGCATCTACCATGTCTGATACGGACGGGTAGAGCGTGTCCAGGGCCTCGACCACCTCCTTGAGTCTCTCCAGCGTTCCAGAGGTCACCTCTGCTGCAACTTGGTCGGCAATTTCTTCTGCTTCTTCAACAGCTTCCACCGCGCCGTTTACGGCTTCCCCTGCCTGGCCGACTCCGGCTGGGTCGCCGATACACATTACCGCAATATTGACGGCAAAGGCTGGAGACCAATGATCAGTCTTGATACAGGTAGAGAGACGACTCGCAGGAGCTTGATGATATGAGGACCGACTCGACTTACTGATGATGGCCTTGAAGATCTGCCAGATAGCCTGGTACTTCTGCTCAATCTTCCACTTCTCGACTCCCGACTCAAAGTCTATCTGCGCCAACTTCAAGTGTCCGTTATCCAGTGTAAACTGTTGGCCGCAGCTAGAAGCTGTCTGGGTAGCGCTGTGGTACTTGTCATAGGCCGATTGACACAGATTACCCTGCATTGTCTGGTTCGCAATAGCCTCATCCAGCATCTTCCTCCACGCCTCGATCTGCACCTCCAGCGACTGCGACCTGTCCTGGTAATGGTTGTACAGGTCCTGGAAGCTCGTTGCAGCAGTCAATGCCTGCTCCATGGTCTCCTTATACTGGTCCAATACCAGCACAGGGGCATATGTCATGTCTTTGCCCGCTATGACCCGGCCCGCAAGCTGCTGGCCCAGCGCCACGGCCTGTGTGTTGAGCATCTGGTACGACTTTTGGTTCTCCGTGATGGTCGCCACGTACGAGCAGATGGAGATGGCAATGGAACTGTTCTTCCAGAACTGGGCCAGCGCGATGCGCAGCTCCGTCTCGAGGCTGGCCTGCAGCTCGGCATGGTTGTCATCGGGATACTTCTTCTGGTAATCGAGAAGCACTTCCCCATCGTCGAAGACGATAACCACCCCGACATTGTCGGTACCTGGTCCCAGGTTGAGCACCTGTGGTTCGGAATCCCCTGTGCAGACCGAGATCGGCTGGTCCAGCACCGGTGCGTAGATGGAAATGGCGCTGGTGGCCGCATCGCCAGGGGGGACTCGCAAAGTGACGGGCTGATCCGCCGTCAGAACACGGGAGATGATCTGGACGATGCCGTTCTTGGCTGGACTTATGGTGATGTCTTTGTTCATGAAGGCAAGGACATCGGCGTAGATGTACAAGTTGTGCATGCCGTCCTCGAGGGCCTCTGAAGCGTCCAGAAAGACTCCGCGGTGGATTGCAATGTTCTGCCAACAGTGTCAGACCTGAAGCATACACACTTTTGAATATTTCGGTACATGTACTCACCGCGCCACCGCTGCCCACAGTATCATCTGCTTGCAGAGGAATAGAGGCTACAGCATCCGAGCTGGCGTACTTCTGCCACTCGGCCGGGCCGCTGGGTTGAGGTGCGATGTTGGCCATGATGTCGATGGTTGATGGAACGAATCAGAAAGACAAGTTGTTTTTTACAATGTGATAGGAGTTTGTATGGAGTGTAAGTGACGGAATAACTTGAAGAAGCTTCCAAGTATCCTCTTGATGCTCTAGATGGTTATCGATTCATGCAACAATCCGTTTGAGATCTGTTAAAAACTCAACCCCGGACTGACATGTGTGACATAATCTAGCCAGTCTCCGATGCCTTGCAGCGACGTTCCGGGTGGCGATGAGGTTGAAAAGACAAGTGTGAAGCCACTGCTGTCAGCCTGAATCAATGTTGCATAAGTGGACACGACTCCAGCCAGGTAGGCCCCCCAGAGGCTGTCGAGACGGCATCACGGCCCCCAAGACTGCCGCGCCACTATGAGGGGGAGCTGCAAGGCAAGATGACTGCGTGTGGAGAGCAACGGTCTTGTTAGCAGGGTCAATCATTGATCGTGTCTCGGACCCTTTAGACACCTGAGTCATGATGGCTACGTGTATTGCAGTTGTACGCTGATATGGGCCGTACGTGGCTGGCTGAAGTGTAAAACAGGTGAGGTAATGGAAACTGAAGAGCAGCGCGGCAGAGCCTTTCCATGCTGCATGTTTCACATCATGATATACACAGTAGCTGAGGACGGCCCATTGTGAGCTGATTTGGCGATGGGGTCACCGAGCATCGTGGCTTGACGCGCATCCGAATAGGGGCAATACGGGGCAGAGTTTGAAGAGAGAAGGGATCCTTTTCACACCTCTTGCAGCTCGATGACCTCAACCAGTTTCCACCCGGAGACATTGATGTAGTTGACGCGGCTCCGGCTGCCGCTGTAGCCTCCGCCAGTCAAACTTACAGTATGTGACACTCAGGTCTCCTCCCACCGTTACTCATTACCAGATCCATCTACAGCCGTGAGACTGGCATATGCGAGTTACCTGAAGCTCACTGTGAGTTGTCAAGCTGCGGCTTCTCCCTGCATACCGGGTATGCCCGTCTGCGTGCCATCCCTGCCATGCACCACACTGCACACTCACGATAAAGGACGGCACGAGCTGAAACAACAGCCGCCCGGCTTGCATATGCTGTCATCCTGTGAGGGAGCACAGCAGAGCGGAGAAAGAGGGGTTGCACTTTTGGCAGCTTGATGGCGTCCGCCAAGTATGCGTGACGAAAAGCAAGACGGTAGAGACGAGAGAGAGAGGGGGAGAGAGAGAGAGAGGCAACCTTTGATCGGCGCGGTTGTTGCAAGACAGCTTCTCTGTAGAGCACTTGGGGTAATTGCAAGAGAAAGATCGTGGCGAAAGGCTTGTAACTGAAAAGGAAGATAAATAGAAGAGGCTGACCTCTGATCTCGAATTCGTCTTATCCCGCAGTCATCAGCACAGAGATAGAACACCCTTTTCCTCTAACATTGCCTCCAACGCGTGCAACAACTCCCCTTTCATCCTCAATCATGACTACCTACTTTGATCCAACCAAGCCCATTGACGACGAAACCGTCTGGTTTCCTCGGGGCATGCTCATTGATAAAAAAACGCAGAAGCTGAGGCCCGGGCCGCATGTCCCAAGATCCGGTTATGATGATGATGGCGACCAGATCTTCATCCTCGAAAAGGGCCAAATGCACGCGCTCTGCAGATTTCTGTGGACGGGAAAGCTGCTCCCAACCGATCGCGATCAATATGTTCGCTATCTGGGGCTTGTCGATACGTCTGTGATCAGCAAGGCAGTGTGGTCCGAGATTGACAACCTGATTGGCACTTATACAAAGGTCCGTTGACACAACCCTGCCGGTTGAGATGAAACCCTGCTGACGGTACCATCTTGTTCGGTAATGAACAAAAGATCTCCAAGGACTGCACAGAGTTCAAGGACGAGACCTGGGACAAACTCACCGTTCTCGCTGGCGTCATCAAGACATATTCCGCCATCGCCGGCGGAACGGGAACGAGCTCCTACTATCAAGCCATGCTGGAATGGGTCGGGCAGTACAACGATGAGAAGAATAAGACTGATCCAGACCAGAGCGTGCTTGACGAGCTGTCCGAGAGCATCAAGTCCGCCATTGACGACGAGCAAAAGAAGATCACGCTCATCCAGGAACAGGTCAGCAAGGCCCTGGAAGCCCTGAGCACATTCCACGATAACTGCAAGGTCTACGAGACTACGATCCAGGGAGATGAGAAGTCCCTGCAGGAGCTTTTGGACAAAGAAGGCAACAATGTCGACCAATTGCAGGCCCAGATTGACGCGGACAGGGCCGATATCAAGGACGCTCAGACGAGAATCGACGAAGGTAAAAGTCCCGTGTTACGTCGTTACTAGCAGCCATTGGAATCGCTGTGACTGACTTGACCAAATGTTGGCAGATCACGCAACGATTCAACAGACTGCGTATTACGTCTGGATGTAGGTTGACACCCGATTCTTTGCCTTCTGGTAAGTCTTTCAAGAAGACAAGCTGACGAGAGACCGTTTTGCCGTACGAATACAGCGTCCCCATTGGAACTATTGCTGGCGCCGTCATCGCAAGTCAGGCCGAAGACGACATTGAAAGGCTGGAGAAGAAGATCAAGGACACCCAGGCGGCTCTGGCAGCAGACGAAGCGAAGCTGTTTGCCGCCAAGACCTTGCAGGCAGACATCACATCCATGAGGGTGAGTCGCAGCAATCCAAGCCACGGTCCTCTTTTGACAGAAAGACCCAAGAAGACTGACTAAAAGGGGGCTTTCATCCTCTCGTTATTCTAGGGCCAAGTCACGGACCTCCTCGACATTATTGCGCCTGCAATTGTTACGCTCGAGGCGCTCCAGGGGGCCTGGGCGGGAATGGGCGCCGACTTGCAGACGCTCTACGACTTGTTTGCCGACAGCGCCGACAGCATTCCGCCGATGCTTCTCGAGAAGCGGCAGCTCGAGACGATTGTCGAGGCGTGGAACGATTTGAAGGAATACTGTATGTGTCTCCTTTGCCTCCTCCTCTTTTTGACACGTTCGCCATGTGGGCTAACACACAGTTACTGCAGCTGGGAGGTACATTGAAAACTCCTTCATGAGCGAGGAGCCGAAGAAGCAGACTATGCAGGATTGGCTCGATGATGCGAAGAAGTACTTGGGGGAGGCCAAGCGTCAGCGTGCCCTGAAGATGAATTAAGCGTCTTCCTTGCCATTTGGGACCTTGCCATCCGAGAGACAAGGCTGTGTCCTGTTGATATTTCACGTTTCCAGCTGAGAGCTCGGGGGGGAACAGGGGAGCTGATGTACAAGGGGCCTTTGTGGCGGCATTTGAGGGGATGTGTCTGTCTGGATGCAGCTGCGTTCTGGACGCTTCTGTGTAGATGCAGGCCTTCGGGTTGCCTCATTTCGTTCGTCCACTCTGTCTGGTACCTACCAGGTGTTTACTCCATTCATTTCGTCAGTCTATCATTAAATGGAGAAAGAAGCCACCTTACATTATCCGGCCTTTCTGTGATTCCGCCATAGCCATATCAAGCCCTCACGTACCTTGAGGTCCAGGTAGGAATCGATCCATGCATTATAGTAGTAGGTTGATGCGCGAAATAGGTAGGGTACAACTATGACTGGCAGGGAGACGCTGACATGTGAAAATGCTTCGATCGCCTCTGTGGGGGTACGTGTATGGGCATGGTTCAGAGTAAGTTACTACTGTAGGTCTTGATGAGGAGATCAGGCACAGTCAGACGGCCAATGTAACTATGAACCCCCTATCGTAGGGGCGCAGAGTGACGAGATGCAGCTTCAGCTTGTAGATGAGGTGAGCGATTGGCTGGATGATGGAATCTCCCTGGTCAAGTCGAATCGTTGCGTACGATTGCGGACAGGTATTCTAACTAAGGAGCAGATTGTGTTCCATCTCTTGGGGAGTTGGTCCGTTGGCCCGAAGGTGGGCGTGGATGCGGAGTAGGGAGATAGAGTAACACCAGGTCAGCAGCAACGCCGAATAGCATAACCCTGTGTATAATTACAGGTGGATAGATGGAATAATGGCATACGAGGTTGTCGGCATGAATGATTTTCATAATAATAATGAACTACTGAAATGCGATATGATTCAAGTTAGAGATGCAATCACTATAGGAGTCGAAAACAGGTCATTCCGATTGATTCAACGTCTTACTCGAGCGCCTCATCCTCTTGTCCGAGAGACACTGAGAGGCTCAATTCGAGCAACATCCACAGCAAATCTCGGCTCTGTCGGAGCTGGTAAAAGACTGATTCAAGGCTCTGATACCTGGTATTACTCTATAGTCATTTATCGATTCCGGCACGTACTGTACCAAAAGTGCTGTGGGCATTGATGAACATGAAGATACAAGTACTGTAGGTAATGAGCACGGTTGTGGAAGATGGAAGCCAAGGCGAGAAAAGTACCGGATACCATCATCTCCTGCTGCATTACTGCTATTTAGTATGGACAACGGCTCCCCTCTCGGAGTATCAAGTACATCTTGTATCATCAATGTTCGGCATAAATGGAGATTCCCATCCGGCGGTTGAAGCGTCTCCATGCGGAGAAATAATTGGAGACGAGCTGCCCTATCAAGATTCTCCCGCTTGGCATCAATCAAAAACCCGTCCATTCATTGATTACTGACGATTTTTAGTCTCTCTTTTCCCTTTCAATTTTGAGGGGCACCATGGGGGTGGTCGCTTAGTACTAGCTCGTGACGTCGTTGCATCTGTTATTGTTGCACTGAGATTCTGCAGCATCTGCCCTCTGTTACAGCAAGGCGATTTAGTACCATAATCTGAGAGTCTCGACAGTTTTGCTGGCAGCAGAGATAATGTGGCCTTGTGACCCGGGGCTGAAGTAGCCCTTGTGCCCTATAGTATTCACAATCACAGACTCGGGCTCAAATCAACCTAGTCGCTCAAGATTTCCAGACGGGAGCTATTCTACTTTTGCCACGCACAGCATCATCGTGACAATGGCTCAGGGCTGTCACGAGGCCTGAAGCTGGCGTTGAGGCGGTACAACTACCTACCTTAGTAATACCTAAAGAGGTACTCATAACTGGCAGCCTGCCCTGAAGTACTTGGAAACGAGAAGAAGTTGGAAGGCACGCAGGACCAGTGGATCACCAGCCTCCTTCCGTGGATGTCAATTTCCGACTATCTCGACCATCTTCTCTCTCCTACTATACCTACTACTACCTTACCTGAACCCTTAGTACTTGATCTCCTCCATCTTTTCTTCTTCTTCTTCTTCCCCTCCTTTCCGTCAACCCTCACCCTTCTTCAACTGGCGACACCGATTCGTGGCAGCTCAGCTCAGCCCGCTTTATCTAGCGTCGCTCACGGCACAAAAGAACACCGCGCACGCAAATTTCAAATCAAACCATACCTACCAGAGACCAGACGTTACCAGAACCCGACCCGACCAAAGGCCAGACCAGACCAAGGCGAAATTCGCTCCCTCTCCGAAGCGCTCACCCCCGAACATCCCCTCGTCCGAAGCCACCACTCCAACCACTCCAACTCGCCGCATTTCCGATCCACTTGACGTGACGCCAGATCGTTCTTCCTCTCGCTCCTCTGTCCCGCAACCCACAGGGCCGAAGCAAACGTTGCTATTTGCCGCTTCTCCTCTCACCTCGAGGTCCAAGCACATGTCCTTGCTGTAGCTTTCTCGTGTTTTCGCTGCTTGTTGCTGCGCACACTCCAACCGTTTCCACCCCCACTCGGAGCTCCTCCGGGTATCGGTTTCTCTGCTGTCTCGCTGCTGGGGGTTCATGTGAGAAGGGAAACAGGGCGTGTGGTGACTGACCAGGTGCTCCCGAATCAGCCGTTGCAGTGAGGGGGTAAGTCGAGATATTTCCTTGCGTCCATTATTGTGTCTTTGGCAGTCCAGGCGTCGACATTATCAGCCACTATACCTCATCTATTTCTTCCTTCTTTTGTCTTATGAGTATCACACAAACGCGAGCAAGTGCATGTACAAGCGTATGTGCAGCTGTGCAAGCGTTCAGGTGTTGTTACTTGTCCAAGGGACTATTACTAGGCGGCAAATGCCTGCAAGGTTGTAGAAAGCTCTTGCTACGGCCAAAGGTACCATGCTCGACGCCTCGCTGTCGCGGCCGGACATGCGGAGGATGGTTTCCACACTCCCCTCAGCCCCCGGCAAAGCCCGATCTGGGGTTATTCACTCATCCTCCCTCGCCCGCCTCTACTGGCGAACCTGCACAGCATGACCCACTGCCGGACGCGCCCAGCTCGTGCTCCCGAGGATCCTATTACACATCACCACATGCTTGATCTCCTGGGGACGACGGCTGACTGTGGGGACTCCACCTCTTCCCCGTGCCCCGGATTCTGATCCGTGTCCGGCCTTGGCCTCGCCCACATGGAGTTGTGCATTGTACATCTTTCATATACATATAAAAAACACTCCCCTTCCTGGCCATCTTGACGCAGTTCTCGTTGCTACCAATGGTTTCCCCATTTGCCGGTTCTTCCGTTTACCCCCTTATTCTCTGGCCCTCCTCATGAGACCGATCCTCATTTGCGTGGCTCCTCAAGTGTAATGCCCCTTTATTGCCACGACGACTGCCACTACTTCTACCGCACCGCCCTCCGCGGCCTTTCCATTAGCACCAGCATTTCGCCTCTCTACTTTTAGGTCCAAACTCAGCTCGCTGACGCCATGACGGCCTCAGTTCGTTCCTTCAACCCCCCTCAGTCCATAGCCGAACGGCTTGCTGAACCTCGCTCCTACTACAACACTCCTCGCAGCCTTCCAGACCTCCCCGAGGCACCAAAAGAACTCCAGGTTCCGACTTCTACTACGCCGCCTCCGCGACAGCCGCCGCAGCTATCTGCTGCATACACCAGAGTGCCCAAGGCCACATACAACGACACCAAGATGGAAGGCGGCATCACTTTCCGCCACCAGGACAAGCTGCCGAAGCTGCCCATTCCTGAACTTGAGAGCACAGCTAAGAAGTATCTGGAAGCCCTGAAGCCTCTCCAGTCTCCTAGAGAGCATGCTGAAACACAGCATGCCGTCAACGAGTTTCTCAGAGAAGAGGGCCCTGATTTGCAGGAGAAGTTGAAGAGATATGCACAGGGCAAGACGAGTTACATTGAACAGTTTTGTAAGTCTGCCTCTGGCTCTTGCGGCCCTCTTTACGTTGCGAGACTAACGCGATGAAAAAACAGGGTATGATTCGTATCTCAACTTTGACAACCCCGTCGTACTCAACCTCAACCCCTTCTTCCTCTTGGAAGATGACCCGACTCCAGCAAGGAACAACCAGGTGACCCGTGCTGCCTCCCTTGTTGTATCCGCACTCGAGTTCATCAGGGCCGTGAGAAAGGAAGAATTGCCGCCAGACAAGGTCAAGGGAACCCCTTTGTGCATGTATCAGTTCTCTCGCCTCTTTGGCACAGCCAGAGTTCCGACCGAAGCTGGTTGCCAGATTGAGCAGGATCCTGAATCAAAGCACATCATTGTCATGTGCCACGGCCAGATCTACTGGTTCGACGTTCTCGATGACAACTCGGATGTCATTATGACCGAGAAGGACATTGAACTCAACCTCCAGACCATTGTCGATGATGCTTCCCAGATCCCCATCCAGGATGCGGCAAAGAACGCCCTTGGAGTGCTCAGCACCGAAAACCGCAAGGTGTGGTCTGGCCTACGAGATATACTGACCCGCGAGCCGGGTTCCAACAATGCCGATTCGCTCAGCATCGTCGACTCTGCCCTCTTCGTCCTGTGTCTCGACTATACCGAGCCCAACACCGTCGCGGCTCTCTGCCAGAACATGCTATGTGGAACCAGCGAGGTCAAGAATGGCGTCCAGATCGGCACATGTACCAACCGCTGGTACGACAAGCTTCAGATCATTGTCTGCAAGAATGGCAGTGCGGGAATCAATTTCGAGCATACCGGTGTCGACGGCCACACAGTGTTGCGATTTGCCAGTGACGTGTACACGGACACGATCCTTCGTTTCGCGCGCACCATCAACGGACAAGCGATGACTCTTTGGGCATCGACCAGCCCCGACCCGACCAAGCGGGAGATTGAGAGCTTTGGAGACGTCAACACCACCCCGCGAAAGCTCGGTTGGGACATGGTCCCCGAGCTCAGCATCGCGCTGCGCTTCGCCGAGACCAGGCTGGCAGACCTGATTGAGCAGAACGAGTTCCAGTGTCTCGACTTTTCCACCTATGGCAAGCACTTCATCACTTCCATGGGATTCTCCCCCGATGCCTTTGTCCAAATGGCGTTCCAGGCAGCGTACTATGGCCTGTACGGAAGGGTTGAGTGCACCTATGAACCTGCCATGACCAAGACCTTTTTGCATGGCCGCACGGAGGCTATCCGGCCGGTGACGGATGAATCCGTCGACTTTGTCCAGACCTTTTGGGCCGACAACCCTCTTGAGCGCAAGGTCGAGGCTCTCAAGCGTGCATGCGTCAAGCATGTCAACAACACCAAGGAGTGCGCCAAGGGCCAAGGCTGCGACAGACATCTGTACGCCCTCTTCAGCGTGTGGCAGAAGTATGTAGACGACTTGATCGACAGCGCCATGAACAGTTCCGTGGCATCAAGCCCAACGGAGTATTCACCTGCCGCCAGCCCGAGGAGCTCCAACTTGTCGATGGACGGCGTCGAAGTGAGGCCGACCAGAGAACGCGGCGATAGCACCAACTCTCGATCGCGGGAACACCACCCACTGCCTCTCATCTTTGCCGACTCTGGCTGGGACAAGCTGAACACCACCATTCTCTCGACCTCGAACTGCGGCAACCCTTCGCTGCGCCACTTTGGCTTTGGACCAACATCTGGCAACGGCTTTGGCATTGGCTACATCATCAAAGACGACAGCATCTCCATCTGCGTGGCGAGCAAACACCGACAGACGAAGCGATTTGTCGACGCCCTGGAGAGCTACCTGCTGGAGATCCGACGCATCTTGCGCATCACAAATGGCAAGCCTGTCATCGCAAAGACAACCAGAGCGCGCGAGGCAGAACTCGCACGGCCAAAGCCCTCGAACCGGCTCAAGTCTCGAGGCAGATTGATCACCGGAGCAGACGCCAAGGGGGGCAGGCGGCCGAGTCTGGCTCCCAGATCGCCAACCGAGAATAGCTTTACCAGCGACGACGATGAATTGGGCGGATGTAAGTTTTCAACAGATCCTAAATCCTAAATCCGAACTTGGGATGTTGACAGATGCTAATCACCAATTAACAGATGGCTTCTTTGACGCAGGAATGCTGTTCCAGGCCCTCAAAGCTCGCGGCAGCACTACCGAAGAAGAGACGAAGGCGTCTGAGCGAGCAGCTGCGAATGCGAAGAAGCGAGACGTTGGGAAGAAGCTACGTCTGGTGACGGAATGAGAGTACCTTAAGCCAGCCAACTAAGAAGAGGCCAAGGCGCAGGCCACTGTCCTCTTTTTAACTTGCCGGAGGACTAATTTAGGATTGTGCGTGGTTCTTCTTGGATATACTTAATACCAGGATTATCGCAGTGTATGCTATCTGTCGTTTCGGTCAGTATCTCATGGGGTTTGTTGGGAGTCAATGGTCGCTAGGCAGTATCTATGCAAGCAGTACGGCATGGGAATCAGTCATATCTAGGATAGCCATTTCTTTTTATCAATTCATCTTTTATAACAGCCAAATTCTATTCTATTTGATATGTCCAAGTCATTATATATCCTGTCTGACATTTATCTATGTCTGCTTCTTGATTTTGTTCTTTTGTCTCTGATGCCATCTTCTATAACATGTAACGAAACTTGTCTGCATGCCTCCTCCTCTTGCCGGGAAACACCAAGCCCTCCTCCTCAACCATGGTCCCATCTTCCTGCCTCTCCTTCTCGGCCTGATCCAGCCTGCTATTCTTGCGCTTCAAGTAAAAACGCAGCAACAGGGCCAGCACGGCAACAGTCAACATGGCCGACGCGCACGTCCACATGCCGCGCGTATAAAAGGGCGCATCGCGATCGGGATACAGGCGCGTGCCGACCAAGGGCCCGCACTGGCCGACGATCTGCATGAGCGCGAAGCCGCCGCCCTGACGGCTCTGACTGGGCTGGTTATTGATGTTCCAGGCGATGACGAGGGTGACGACGTTGAAGAAGCCCACGGCGGCGGGATACACGGCGAGGTAGCGCAGCCAGGCGGGGAGGCCGAGGGGACGCGAGAGGGCGAGGATGGCGTAGCCGAGGGACGAGGAGAGGGCGTGGAAGACGATGGGGCCGGTTCTAGCGGCGAGGCGGTCCGACGTGTGCGCCGTGAAGAGGACGACGCAGAAGGCGAGGAGGTAAGGAGGCGCGGCGAGGGCCTGGGCGGAGAGGCTGTCGTGGCCCATTTCGGTGAGGATCTTTGGGAGAAAGACGGGGAGCGAGGAGTAGGCCATGTTGGTGAGGAAGAACATTGCCGGCGTGATCCATGCGACGGGGTCGGCGAGGACGGAGAGGATCTCGCGGGCCTTGAGGCGGGACGCTTTTCCTGCTACTGAGGATAAGGATGAAGAGGATGATGATGAGGTGGTGGTTGTTGTTTCGCGGCGGAGGCGGAGGCGGGCGACCTTTTTCTCGCGCTTGGTGAGGTAGTGCGCTGTTTGGGGGGAGTCGGGGATGGTGCTCCAGGCGATGACGGAGACGATGACGGAGGGGAAGCCTTCGATGAGGAAGAGGAGGCGCCAGGGGGCGATGGGGCTGAGCTGGCCGACTTTGACGATGAGCCAGGCGAGGGTTGATGCGAAGCTTGTCGCCAGGGGGGCGGCTGAAGAAGGATCGCGTTAGAAGGATGCCCATATGAGAAAGACTCGCCAAGTTGCTCACTGAGCCCAAAAGGAACGTACCGGAGATGAAGATGGCTGTGCGAAAGGCCAGCTCGTGCCTCTTGTAAAAGAAGCTCAGGTAAAAGGGCACGCCGGTGAAGCCCGCCTCGCCGATGCCGAGCAGGACGCGCAGCGCGACGAGCATCGGATACGACACGGCGACGGCCTGCAGAGATGCCGTCAGGCCCCAGCTGAGCACGAGGGCGGAGACGTAGACGTGCGCGGGGACGACCTTCCACAGGAGCGACATCCACTCAAAGGCAATGTACGAGATGTAAAAGGACGTGAGCGCCCACTCGTACCAGTCGTCGCGGGGAGGGCTGGTGGACTGCAGGTCCTCGTCCATGCCGGCGATGCGCGCGTTGCCGATATCTGTGGTAGTATGACAAGAAGTAATTGTTAGTCTTCTGGTATAATAACAGAGTCCTTTGAAACTCGATCATCTTTTGTGATCATTGACATGATAGAAGGGGGGAATGACGGCTTTGCGACGCACTGGATCGGTCGAGGAAGCTCAGCATGTAGAGCAGCGCCACGAAGAGCACCAGCTTGCGGTCAAACTTGCGCCGAACGGCGTTCTCCTCGTCGGGCGTGTACAGCAGGAAGCTGTCCACGGAGCTGACACTCAAGCCTCTTCCTCTGCCTCTGCTTCTGCTCCTGTCGCTGTCTTCTCCCTCCCCTCCTCTCCCCCTGGTGGTCGTTGACGACGATGACCCGGCATCGATGTAGTCGCCCTCCATCAGCCGCTCTCTGCTCATCTTGTACTGGTCGTGCCGCCGTTTGCCGCCAACCATCTCGTACGTGTCCGAGCCGCTGCCGCCGCCGCCGCCGACCTGGGAGCGCAAATCGTCTTCATCGTCGTCCTCGTCGTCATTGTCATCGTAGACGTCGCTGTCGTCGAGGCTGAACTCGGCCCCCGTCTGGGCAAAGGACGGGGATTCATCGCGGTGGACGTGGCGGTAGGCCATTCGGCTGAGCTCTTGCTGGACCGGACTGGCTGACTGGCAGTGCGACGACTAAGGTAGGACGGGTATCGAGGGGGGCGGCGTGTCGCGGTGTTGTTGTTCTGGCGGTCGACGATGCTCGCCATGCGAGTTCTGGTGAGCTGGTCTGGGTCTTCCCTCCCTACCTAAGGAACCTCGACGCACAGGCACAGACAAGAGTCGGGTGGGTGTTGTTTTCCGTTCGTATGCGCAACCCCCGCGCCTTCGCTTGTGCGCCGGATTCTCTCACTCTCCCGACGAGAGGAAATGAATAGTATGGCGATCTGCCTAGAGAGCTGATGTGCCAAGGAAGGGGAAGGACGTAGTAATAAAGGGAGATTGAGGGCTTCTCGGGGTCATGAAATTGGAGATGGAAATTGCTTTGCGACAACGATGGATGCAGCTCCTTTCCGAGCTACACGTGACAGCAGCCGACGTCATATGCTGATGAGTGCTGGACCGACTTACACGGGGATGGAGATGTGATAAATTTGAATTACATTATGTGAGAAGTTGAACAATCATTCAACTGACAAACTGACATCTCTTTGTTCCGTTTCAATTCGTCTTTTCCCGACCTCTCCAAGCAGTATCGCGGATCGTGGTGGACCCTGATTTACACGCCCCATGCTTGTCCGTTTCCACAACTGAAAGTGGTTCGTCTGCTGCTGCTGTATCAACCTCTCACAGCTCGTTGCTTTTCAGATTGTAATTAATCCGCGCGGTATTGATACATAAATGCAACCCGCTCATTCATTCTCATGCTCATTTGTGTTGATACAATAGTACTCCATTCCACATGGTATCATACAGAATGTTCGTCAACACCCGGAGCATCTCTCTCCCATGCCTGCGACGGACACAAGCGCCTTACACAGAGCGCCATGATGCATGCGCCCACATCCATATCCAAGGTGACAAGCCTGGCATAGCTTGCCCATCACTCGGCGGCCTCCTTTTTGCTAAATAGTCGTCGCAAACCTGCCCTCGATATCTTGTGCCGCAGAGAATGCGTTTGGTCGGCTGGTTTGTTGGGCGCGTGTTGGCTGGTCGGGCTCAGCATCTGCGAAGAGGCACCCGTTGGCTGTTCACGCCGAGGCCCGTCCTCCTCCTCAGCCACTTTCAGGTCCTCCATCTCCGTCACGTCGCTCCCCTCGCTCTCTTCCTCGTCGTCATGGGGCCATCCCCGCTCCTCATCTCCATTGACGACCACGTACCACTCAATAGGCGACCCTGGTTGCAGTTCGTCACGCAGCCGTTCGAACCAGTTGCCTTCATTCCTCTCCTTGACGAGAGCCTCATACTTGGCCATTTCCTCCAAGACATTGGCGCTCAAGTCGATGCGAATGACGTGGTCTGCAACGTAGGCAAATGGTCGCGCCGAGATGGAAGTCTCCTCCGGATCGTACTCTTCCAGCAGCTTTACCGGGGAGAATTGATTGACCAAGACGCTGTCTTCTGAGTAGGGAACCCGTGATGGCGGGACGGAAAAGTCGTCGTCCTGATGCGCAGCAATTTTCTCGTCTTGCGTCGCCTGCTTTTGCTGCTGAGGCACCGACTCCTGTTCAGACGGCGTTTCTGCCTGTTGCTGTGGCAGGCGTTGAGGCAAGTAGTCAAATTTGGTGCCGAAGCGTTCGAGGATGGCGGCCGACGAGTTGCGGCCGGTTATCCAGTCTGGAGCAGCGTCGTCGAGATCCTCGATGATGACGAAGATGCGGATCAACCGGCGCGTCCACCGAAAGCCGTGACACAGGTAGGTTGGCATGTTGGTGGCAGTTTCAGCCTGTGGAATCGTTGAGAAAGAAAGAGGAAGATGAGGATAAGAAAGGAAAGGGGAGGGAGAACAGAAAGACAGAATGTCGTCAAAGGTTGAGAATCATGGGGATCTCACATGTCCAGCTGCTTAGTGTGCATTGTTGAAAGGACAGAGAAGGAGAGGTGTAATAAGGCAAAAGCATGCCTCTGTGTGATGTAGAGAGAGAGAGAGAGAGAGAGTCACTGAAAAGCACGGATGACGATGGACCCTCTGTTCCCGACGTTGGCGATGATCCAGCTCTTCCGCTTGTATCCTGATGTGATGCCTTCCGGCGGTTCTGAAATCCAGTCGCTCTCTTCCGCATGTATTAAGAGTTAAGAGCAATCAATTGGCCTGCCGGAAGAGCAAGAGGAGGGTGAGGCCTCTCCGGAAAGTTGCAGCTGGCGAGATTGAGGTTTGGGTGCGTTGAAGGAGCGGCACGCCAATGGCCCGGCTTGGGTGGCACGTGTCTGCGGCCGTCTCTTTATTGATTGCGGCAAGTCTGCTGGTGTAACGTCGGGATGTCTTTATGAAGATTGTGTAGACGATGAGATGGGAATGCAACGACGTGAGGCATTCGGTTATTCATTGAGTGGAGCTGATGGGTTTGAAGACAATAAGAGGAAATTAAAGTCATAGATTGCGATAGAGAGGAGAGGAACTCGATGGCACGCTCGCAACGCTGCTGGGGTACGATGCAGTAGTGGTATTAGTCCAGAGGCTTGTTGCATCCATCCAGCCTTGTGGAGGAGAAGTTGCGCCCTGGTTTAGTGGCCCAGAGACGGGACGACAAGGCCAGCATCCCTGTCGGTTGATGTCCAAAGGCCCTGCAAGAGCGCATATCCAATGTCTCAGTCACCGGCTAGCGCCCAACGCACCCCGTTAATTTGATGCCTGGAGAGCATGGAATCCGCAGCGTGACGCAGTCGGGAGACCGGGAGAGCCCGCTGAGCACATGAGGAGGTTAATATCTTGCGATTCAGCTTCGTGAGGTCGTGTGGGCAGCTTTCATCACCATTGCCGAATGTGGCGGGCGAGGTGGGCTGATGGACGTATAAGCTTAAACTCAGCATCCCACCTGCATCCGTTGGCTTCGATGAACAGCTCACTAGAAAAAAATCGAGGCGAATTGATAGGTAGTAATTGATGGTATTCAGGAGACTCCAATTCATCCTCTCAAGCTTTGGTCATTGTGTTCACCTGCTTGACTTAGGTAACAGACAGATGATAGGTATAGAGATGTGAATCCGAACACCCCTCCATCCCCCATGTAGAACTCCTAGACGATGCGCCTTCCTCAAGTGAATCGCTGTTACTACTGGTATTTTTCTGCCACGCCTCGAATCGCACCTTCCGCAATGCTCAGACCGCCTCACCTCCCCAGCACGTGAGATGCTCTAGCTAGTAGTACCCCGACAGATGCTCTAACCGACAAAGCATCATCACCTTCATTCAGCATCTTCAACTCTTCACCATCTTCGACCCATGGAGGCATCGATCTGCCCTCCAAACACGCCATGCTTCATACAGTAAAACCCAAGTTGAGATTGATCTGTGCTATTGTGTCCCAAATATCCCCAATCATCCCTTTCGTTATGCAGAACATGCAATGGATGCTTACTTTTCATTTACAGTACGCAGATGCAGTGGTGGTATATGGGTAAAAAGCAGAAGGGAGCGACGAAAAGAAAAAAGAACCAATCCACGGGAACAACGCCAGTCTTCCGCTATTCCACCGTCTTCGTATGCTCATACCGCAGCTCTCTGCGCCACGCCATCTACAAGCTCACGCCTCCATCATGCTCGATTCCCTCCATGCTTCCCAGTCCAAAGTCGAAATCCATGTCCTTGAGGATATCGCCAAGCTCCGCATCAGAAATGTTCACGTCCATGTTCGTTGGCACAGCGGACGGCGAAACGTCAACGCTGTCAGTCTCTTGTCTGATGGGCTCTCCAGACGCCAACTGAGGCAGCTTGGTGAGCAGCCACGTCTTGAACTTGCCCAATAGAATAGGATCGTCTGCAGCCGTGCTTGCGGCTCTAAGAATCTCCCGGGCCTTGGCCTTCAAAGCCGTGTCTGAAGGCAAGACGCCCTTGTCCATAAAGAATCCCTTTGCATATTGTTGCAATCCCCATTCTAGCTCGCGAGAACAGAAAATCACGGCAGGTTTGCGGTTGGGGGAGGACGTCAGCTCCTCGAGGTAACTGTTCACAGCCGAGTGGCCTGCCGTGATGGGCTTGGCACCATTTCGCATTGCCACTTCGACGTCGTTGTTGACCGGTTCATGGTCGCCAAGGAAGGCATAAGGTGGTGCAAAGCCTGTGCCGCCTTGCTCCAACGCCCACGCATAGCCTGATGGGAGACCCGGGCCAGCGTCTTTGATTATTCCAGTGTCTCTTTTGAATCGATGAAGCCACTCTGCGTTGTCGGCGGCGGTATAGTTCCACGGATCGTCACTATAGCAGAGCATTGTTAGCTTTGGCTCATATTCACACAAATATCCGTTCAAGTGGCATCAAACTCACTCATCGTACAGGATCCATCGAGCTTGGTATTGCAGCTCTTCATCCGTCGGCACATGCCGGTTCGGGTTATTCTTCGACATGGTAGAAGTAACCCATCTCTTGAGCTCCTTTTCCAGCCTTCTATAACAGTTGGCGTCGTTGAGGAAGTACTGAAAAGACCTGCGATGGTTGCCATTCTCGTCAAGCTGAGTTTGAAATTCGGAAAAGGGGTTGGCCGCAGGACAGGAGAGAGATGCGGACGCCTCTTCGACCGACTTGCTCATCGTTGCAACGGCGCCCTTCGAGGCTGGTGAAGTTGTCTGGTCAGGTGCATTGCGCTGCCTGAAGGCAGCAAGCCACTCATGGTTGTCCGCCACGGTCTGGTTCCACCCGTCATCGAACTCGTAAATGGTAACACGAGCCTGTCGTTGAAGCTCCTCGTCCGTGGGCTCTCTACCCCTGGACCGTTGCTGCTTGAGGAATGCAACCAGCTCAGATTCCAGCCTGGAGTAGTTGTGGATTGTCGAGTCGATCGAGTTTGGATCTGTCGACCGAATCGACTTATGCTGGACGTCTTCGCTTCGAGGCAGATGCGCGCGCCGACGGAACGCCGCGAGCCATTCGGTCGACGACGTGATGAGCCGCAAGAGCCAGTTGGCAACCGCCTCGGAAGGATGGGTGCACACTTCTTCGACTCGTCCCACAATCTTCCGTGCTTCCTCCTGGAGCTCGTCATCCATGGTGGTCAGGCCCAGTAGTTGCTTGGCCTTGACGTATTCTTGGAGCTGCCTCTCCATGGGGCACTCCTCGAACAAGTTGTCCTTGCCGTTAATCTTGAGACTGTGCAGCCTGTTTTCAGCTGCGCCACGAAGGGGACCAAACCTTGCTGTTTTGACAATCGACTCCTTGCTCATGATGAGATCACGAAGCCACGAGACCTGCGTCGCGATGCCCTGCAGGGACAGCAATTCGGAGGCGAAAATGATACGGCATCCTTCCAGCATCATGTCTTCGTCGCTGGGCGATCGGCCGTGCAGGTCCCAGAAGTTGCTGCCGAAGTAGGCCAACTCCAGTTTGATCAGCTCATAGGCGTTTCGGGGCGATTCGGGCGGGGACTGGCTGGCATTGTACGGGAGAGGGGATTTTCGCTCATGATGAATCAAATCTGTTATTCAAAAGTTAGACGCCTTGAGCTGGTCTACGGGATACTGCAGTGGTCTCATACATGGAGGGATCGAGTTCTCGACCATGTCCAACACGGGAACTTCGAAACCCCAGTCACCCTTCCAGTCCGCCATGGAGTAACCAGTCTTGAAATGCTCCGCCAGATGGTCAACTCGGATGGTCCAAGTATCCATCACGATACCGCAGAAACCACACCTCGACCGGATCTCGGGAGTGGCCACTTTCCAAGGCTTCATGGCCCACTCCATAAACTTGACGTTGTGAACCAGCCTCAGATGCTGGTTCAGGTGATCCTTTCGGTAAAAGGTTCTCTCTTCTAGCGACCGCTCTTGACACGCCGAGTGGTTGTGAGTCTCCACGTGGGCATCGTCTGGGTTCACCTCGCCGCAGAAGACGCAGCACAGCAGCCCATTGTCGGGGTTGATGGCTCGAGGGCCATCCGGCGCACACACCCATCGTTCAAGCGACAGGTGAAGCGATTTTTCGTGACGCTGCCAGTCGTGCTTGGTTCGGAAGGTTTCCGTGCAGAAGGTACACTGGAAGGTCTTGAGGGGGACAGAGAGGCTGGTCGAGCCGGGCTCCTTGCCGGGCGCCGCCCTTCGCCTCCTTCGCCGTCTACCCTTGGCACTAAAGGCCGCCGAGCCAAAAGAGCCCCAAGAGTTTTGCGATCCGTGAGAGAATACGGATCTGAGAGATCCATTGCTGGAGTGAGACGTTCCCACACTGCTGGCGGATGACTGGTTGCAGAGCGACCTGTTTGAGCCGTCGTCGGTGTAGTTGAAGCTGTACGGACTGTTGAGTCCCGAGGACACCCCGGATGACGAAGACGCAGTGACTGCCCTGGCAATGGCGGTCACGGAAGCCGGTTCGTGCTCGGGAGGAGAGTGTTCCCAACGCTGCAGGGGGTTCATTGCCTCGAGAGCAGGCGTTCCTCGTCTGCGCGGGATATCGATCGAGCTGGACAGATTACCAACGTGAGGGGAGGTGGAGCGAGGAGGCTGAGCCTTGCCGCGTCGCCGGGCGTTTGCCAACCAGTTGGTGATTTGTGTCTTGTTGAGGCCTGTCTGGCGCTGCAGCATCTCTTTCTCCTCATCGCTAGGATACGGGTGTCTGTTGTGCGTCGACAGCCAATTCTTGAGAATCCGGACTGACTCCCGAGAGAACCGGGCGCCAATCTTGGGCGGAGTGCCAGCCTTTGCACTGGCAACGCCATCTTCAACAGGGCCTCCCGTCTGCAAGTTCATAAAGTCCAGGAATGACGGGTTGCCGAGCGGCTTCACCGGCTGGAAGTGAATGAGGTCTTCCTGGGTAATGGCGTTGGCCGGCATGCCGGTGGAAGACGACCAAGAGAGCCTGGTGGACTCGGGGTTCAGGTTGTCAGGGACGACTCCTCCGAAGCTGCATTCGAGCCCGAGGGCAACGCAGCTGGTGCAGTAGCCCTTGTGAATACCCTCTCGGATTTTTTTGCAAGAATAACCGCCCAGGACGCAGTGAGCACAGGGGTTTTCCGGCGTCTCCCACAACAAGGACTCGGTTACGTCCAAGGGGGCAGGCTCGACGCCCGGTATCTGGGAGAAGTCGTTGTGCTCAAAGTGCTGCAGTGCGCAGAAGCTGAAGTCATCTTCGTTGACATTCTCCAGCACAAGGCCAATGTCATCGTCGGTAGGGTTCCCGGTGGAAGACATGTTGGGCACAGGGGGATAGACACTGTCAGCGGCTGCCCCGGCGTGATCCCAATTGACGAACTCGTCCATCTCGTCAATGGTGGTCATCTTGGTAGGTAATTATGTGAAAGGGCGCGCCGGGCTATCGTGTTGGAGAGGCGGAAAGGCGTGCTACCCTCATCCAACCAGAAGCCGCAGAATGACTTTGGGAAGGGCGCGCGCGGCAGGGTCAGATCAAGAGACGACTCGATCCGGATGCCCACCTCGGTCCCGGTTCCGATGAGAAGCAAAATATCCGGTCGTGGACACTGCTGATGAGAGGGCAAACCCAATTGTAGGCTTTGAGACCAAAGCTGAGGATGAAAACGCTATTCTTCAGTGTCGTCTATAAAACAACACTGATGTCGAGTTTTGCAACAATAAGAAGACCGTGGCTCGAGACGAGGCGGACGGTTGTCAGTTTTGTTCATCGGCGCCCGTCCCAGGCGGTTCTGCCTATCCGCGCGATCCCCAGCAGGGTCTCGCCGTAACGAGGAGCAGAAAAGCCCCATCTCGTCGGCTTGGTGGCTCCCACGAGCGGTGCGGCATGGCGCTGGAGCCAGTGGGAGCAGAGTCATGAGCCTGAGCCGGTGGAGCAAGCCTCAGCCGGAGCCGGGGCATGCAAGGCGAGGCAGGGATTGGCGCCGACATGAACTTGTCAATTCTGCGCCCTTCGTTTGACAAACACGCAGCCCATCCAACCGTGTGCTGAGGTACTGTGCGGGGGTTCATCCGCGGCAAGCTGGTCAGCCTGTTCACCTCCTTCACCTGCAGAAACCAGCCATTGCTGCGTGCTCGCTTGGCCATTCTTACACAGTACAGGAGCTCCGTGGACATTGTCGATGCGCCAATCTTTCCCCACGTTGATACATAAAGATATAGCCCGATGACGGCCTCCATGGCTTTACCCCCCTCCCCCTCCCTTGCCCTGCCTGACTTCTGTGCTTCGAAAGTTGACCGATGGCGACGACCTTATACGACGTTGCTGCACACGCTACACTATGCGAAATGCGGAGAACGGCAGAGATCACGGATCTCTTGTGTGTGTGATTCGGAGTAATCAGCACCTGTTGCCCAGGACTTCACTCCGGATCTAGGCGCCGGCGTTTGGAGTCTATCTATTCCCCGACATGCGAGAGTCCGATCCGGCATTTTAGTTACTCACTGCTGACACTTAGTTGAGGTCGTACTGATATTGCCTAGTTGAATATCTTTGCTGATCAGGCTCGTCTGGCGACACCAGAGCATGCATCTGGTGTCCACCAGAGGTGAAGAGGATGGGCGATTTGATGCTGACCAAGTCCGATGCCGAATTAGGAGGGTGCTGTACTGTGTTCAACAATCATGGCTGCATCACCAGACAGAGCGCGGCCGTCCAGACGCAAGGCTTCACCAATGGCCTTTCAGCCGCTCTCTTTGGGCTTGCCTCTGTTTCGGGAATTTGATGCGATAGTATGTACCTCTGCTGCTTTGTAAGTGGCATGACAAACTCCTTGGCCTTGCTTGGTGTCCCAGGAGCTTCCGAGGCACTCCCACTGGCAAAGTCCACAGGGCAGATGACGGCTCAATAGTCTCTTTGGGCGCCAAAGTTCTATCGACGAGATTAGGCCCCTGCTAGCCGCCGAGCATCTGAAGATGGGACGATGCCGGATGGACTCTCAAACAAGCATACTTATGCTCAACCATACTTGATGCATTTTTATGTACCATCGACAACGCTCAACGTCCAGACTAGCTCACCTCTAAATGGTTGCCTGAAGCGCCCCCGTGCTGAAATCCGAGGCTGCCCCTCTATATACCGGGAACGCCAGTTTTGATGTCGGCCAAAGCGAAGGCTCTAGAAACCTTTTCCAGAAAAGCGGCGTGTGATGGTGTTGCACACTGCACAGGTGGCTTTTCGGGGCTTTTCTGGCCTAACCGTGAGGGTGGTGCTTAATAGTACACCGAACAAATCAGATCGGATGGAGAGCATCAAGCGGCGCAACGGTGGGGCACGGATCCCACCCTATCGAGTGCCATTGTGCGGTATACGCGAAGAGCGTGTTGCGATTTTGGCTATCAGCTGGCTGATGAAGAGACTCGGGAAAGGTATGAGTCGCAGGGAGCTCCGAGTTAGGAGCTGGTGGATGGACTTCCCGGCTGTCGGTCAGACGTGTTGCAGTCACCGCTTGTATGCTGGGGACTTGTGTTCAGGATAACTGCAAGTCGTCGATTCTGTTGGAGTGCAGTATGTCTTCTCACAGCATTTTCCTTGATCCGGCCAGTGCTCAATCTTGACGCAGCTTGGGGCTGAAGTTGTGATCAGTGTTACTAGCAGTTTGACTGACACGATCTCATTGGAACCGAAGCGAGAGTGCAATAATGGACATGGTCGTAAAGACGGCGGTACTTTGTTGCAACCTCTTTCAGACAGACTGGGATGCTTCATAGGGTCCTCCCAAATGGTATACTGCACTGCAATGGCTTCGAGATGGGACCAAAACCTGGCACATCAACTCTGCACCATGAGTTCAATGCGGCCTCAACTACTGCTGCTCTGGCACATGCAGTCTATCAGAGAGATGGGAGCCTCTCGAGTATTACCAGAGACATAGACACCTGAGTCGGAATTGTGTTCTTCTCCAGCATGTGCTACGAGGCTCGATTGCGATTTGCGTGGTGGCCTTATTCGATCTGAACAGCCTGGACATTGGTCCTTCATAAGGAAGAAGTTGTGATGGCTCCTGTAGCAGATCCTGGCATTATCAGGTATACTGAGGTATGTAAGAGCGCTTGAGAGCGGCGTAGAGAACGAAGCAAAATTGCAGCACGCCATGCGATTTCCTCTTCATCATCACGATCGAGATACCTAGGTATGCAATATTCAAATTCACACTTACAACAGCGTCTACTGACAAGAAGCATCCTGAACAACTGCAACAACAAAATGCAGCAAAGATACGCCCACCTGATCTTTCGAAAGGGTCACCTCAAAGCATACATGTAGACTATCACAAGTGAAATATCCTGGAACACAAATGATGACTCCTGCTTTAATATACCTACCCACGATTTGACCTCGCTTCTATAATGGCTCATTCTATTCATCCACCCCTTAAGAAGAAGTCAAGTCTTTGTACTCTCCATCATAGCAAAGGCAGAGAGTATTCAAGACCCATATTAGATCCTTTTCAATGAAATCAAGTCTCAGAAGCATAACTCGTGAAATCAACATCCAGCACTACGGAAGGTATATGTTTCAATACGGCAGACGCCACGGCGTATACGCCCCGCATGTCCAACCAGGTACAATATATTGGTTTCTCACAATCTCCGGGGACACACCTATTGTACAGTGTTCGTTGTTTGGCCTCAGATGGAAAATGGACGGATTGCGAGCTCGAATGCTCCGCGGGCTATGAAAGGGGGGAACAAGATTTGGCTTTTCATGGTTCGTGGCAGTACTTTTATTTTTGTGCGGGATGGGGGATTTCTCAATCGACTTTTTTGAACTGCCACTGAGTAGGTACCTAGTCAGGTGGGCAACAACTTGGGATACCGTACCGAATTCGTTGCTCATACACTCAGGAATAGACAGGGTTGATTTGTCTTATCAACTCATGATTGAATGCTATTAAGCGGTAATAGATATGTATACATGAGCTGCAGTCAACTGCCATCAAGAATGGCCATGCCACCAAGCCTCAGATTAGAGTACCAACCCGAGTGCGTGGCTAGACACAGAGAGAAAAAAAAAAAAAGGGCATGTACATGCATCAACCTGCCATAAACACCAACCCCATGCCCTCGCGAGAGGTATCAAAAGTATTTCCCTCCTTTTCAATTCAAGTAGGCTTCCCCTTCGAAGCCCCTTTCCTTCTGGATACGCCGGCCGTCCATCCGAGACGCTCTAATTCAGATCCTTTCCCCGATGCGCCTCGTTAAGAAGTCATATGTTGAATGGAGAGAGAGAGAAAACAGATATAAAAAGAGATGGACATGTAGAAAAATGGCCAGATAATTCGCTTTGGGAGGACAGCATCACCAGAGCATGCCGTCACTCTCCCAGCTCCATAAGTTCCCGCTCCTTTGCGGCGAGCATCTCGCGCATTCGCTCCGCCTCTTGCCTTAGCAACATCCGACGCTCCGCCTTGATTCGCTCGCTTTCCGCATCGTTATCGAGAGGTCTAGAGGCCGCGTTCAATGGTGTAAATCCGCCGCCGCCGCCAGAAGTCCTCGGTGGTATGCTAGCGCCCGGAGACCTCAACGGTGGCAGCGCATATTCTCCCCGATCTGCATTGGCAAGTCCGGTATTCGAGGGCTCTTCAGCACTAGTAGATGGATTGAGGATGGACTTGATGGAGGATATTCGCTTGGCGTTCTCGTGGCTTCCATCTGCACCCCTGACAAAGTCTGCCTCCGTGGAGGAAAAGGATCGTTTGCGGGTGGGCGAAAGAAAGGAGGCGGGTGACAGCGAGGATTGTCTGTCATCGATTATTGCTGAGTTCATCGAGGCCATCGGCGCAAGTTTATTCTCATCGTTCAACGTCGGTGGCACGCTGCGTGACGTGGTGTTGTGCTGATGATAGACTGCCAGGTCGGAGGTGGAGGCAGACGGGAGCGGCGAAGGATTTCGACTCGATCGCATGGCCGGTTCGGGTTCGATCGTTAGAGGGTGTTCAGGGCGGCGTCGAAGACCTAGATTCACGGATCCGTCCTCGTTCATAGACCCCCTTTCGGGGGTCTTCTCCTGGCTCTGGGTCTCTACCCCCTCCATGGCCTCTTCCCCTTCCTCATCCTGAGCCGCGGGAATCACTCGTTTCCGCCTTTTAATCGTGGCCTTCTTCATGGTGACAGGCCTATGTACACCATGGAGTTTGTAGTAAAGTCCTAGATACGCCCCTTATGGTTAGAAAATCGAACAAGTGTCATCCTGGCCAGACAGTTCAACTCACCACAAGCATTGCAAATAGTATGTCCACTTTCATCTCTCCTCCACAGGGGTGTTATTGTAGTTCCACAGTTTTGACAGGCAATGACAACCGTGGTATCTCGCTCCTGGGCCTGAAGAGCATTGATATCGATCGGGACAGGTTCGTGCTTGGGTTCCACACGGCCATGGCAGCCACCTTGCCGCTGCATGACATTAAGCTGGGCGCTCTTCGACATGCGGTTATTGTATGCTGGACACCCGTTACAGCCCTCAGCGCCGCCGGTACCGTTGCAGCGGCCACCACCGGGACAGGTGCCTGACTGAGTGGCATCCGCGGCCACGTAGGTTGCTCCAGCGACGTTTGGCAGCAACTTGGGTGCGGGAGACGTGCTCGGTTTTGAAGCCGTTGGCTGGGCCGAGCCGGTGCTAGGGACAAGGTTGGGCGGCTTTTTCAAACTGGTAGGTCGAGCGGCATTCCGGGCTTTTAAATATAGGCCACAGGCGTTGCAGATGGTGGCACCTTGGGGAGATCTCCTCCAAAGGGGGGTGCGGGTGGTGCCGCAGTTGCTGCAGGGGGCGTCAGCGGATTCTGTTCATTGCACGGCAAATCCACCCAACCATGACGAGAGGGAAACGTACCTGCAAACTTGGCCGCCTTGTTCCTGTGCAGCTGATCCAGATGCCAGCAGCTTCTTGCTCCGAGGTGTGCTTGTCGTACTCCTAGGGCTACCAGCATTCGATGATCCGTCATCGTCGTTGTGGGTGCCTTCTCTTTGATTTGCGGTCGATGGAACCTTTTCTTCGGTTTCATGATGTCTGTAGCCGTCGGTTTCCACCGAAGATCGTGCTGAGTTGATGGAACCAGACGGCGTGGTTTCGCGGATCTTGGTCGACATAGGTCGAGAGGGCAAGGCCGTCCGCGCCGCACCAGGCTCTCGCGGTGAGGCGACAGACGGCGTCCCCGGTTGCGATGTTTCACTCATTTCCGCGCTGCAAAGGGTCCTAGAGATGTCGAGGCCGGGCTTTTGTTGATGTTTCTCAAGACCACGAGATATGTCGGGGTGTGGTTCGAGGGCTGACAAATAGCAGTGGCGCAGGCGCAGGCTCGGGCTCGTCAACCGGCACCCGAACCAGACATCTGCAAAGGGGGGATAGTCGGCGTCGAGGTGGCGAACTGATGCAGGGCGAGATATCCACGGACGCTCTGACAGGCGGAAGCGCCCGAAAAGCAATGGACAGCCGGTGTCTCAAGCGTTTTGCTGATGCTGGTGACGAGCCGGCAGCCACGTTGTGCCGAATCCGAATCGTCAGGAGACAAGACAGATTAACGTATCAGACGGTCAGGATGGGGGCCAGAAAGGACAAGTCAAGGTGCCACAGGTCGATCGACGCTTTCGTACGTGTACGGTAGAAGCAGCGCAGATCGTCTGGCTATCGATACTGGGAGTTGCAGAGCAGCCGCAGCCGCAGCCACGGGATGAGGGAAGGGATCGAGAGGATCAGATAAAGTCGGGAGAAGAGTCCAGGGTTCGGGCAGACTTGTTTGGGGGTTTGGTAAGCGGGGCCCTCCTCTTGGGAGAGAGACGAGGTGAGGGAGAGTCAGGCCGGGACAAGGCAGGACAAGGCCAGGCGGGACGAGTGCGAGGCGAGGCAAGGCAAGGCGGCTCGATTCGGTGTGAATCGATCTGGTCCGACCCGGGGCGAGGTGTGTGGTGTGATTGTGGTTCAAGCTTTTGCGCGCGGCATGAGCTGCATATGCGGATCTGGAGACGTGTTGCGCTGTGGCGTCGAGATCTGGGGGGGATTTGCTGCGATGCCTCGTGGTGGTTCAGTGCCAATGGGGAGCGCAACGGCCGAGGCGAATCGACCACGACAGGACGCGAGACTCTGGTGAGGCTGGTGATGATGCAGGCAACTCTCGGTCAACTAGCAGCAGATCAAACCCAAGCAGACGGTCTGGGTGGTATCGACAGATCCCAAACAGGCCGCAGCGTGTTGGGCTGGCGTGACTGCCGGGCGTTCTAGCACCAGCGAAGCGTCACCTCAGCATGCAAAATGCCCCGGAACGAGCCCCCAAACAGCGCCCACGCCCACTGCAGAGCCCACTAGAGTCCACTAAAGTCCACTGCAACCCACGCCTGGGCCGCTGCCAGCCCATCGCCGTCGCCGGCCGGCCAATCACGCGGCCGTCATTCGACGACCAGATGCCTCTGCTGACAATGGACGCGCGCTGATTGGCCGCCAACCAGCAAATCTAGATGCTCTCGAGGCAGCCACAACCTCGCAATGCGTCGGCCATCGGCAAGGCTAGTCCGCTTCCAGCCTTGCCACAATTGGGGGACGCGATCAGACCGATAAGATAACGCGGTACCTGATTCCAGGTCTCGTATCTGATCGATCTGCACAGATTCAAGCTGTCAGAGCTTTGGCGGCATCTCTCTGTCTCCTCCAACCTCCGCTTCCCCACGCCCATTGCTGTCAATATTCCTCCAACCAGAACGCAAAACGTCACTTGTCACTACGTGCCACACGGCCATCACCTTCTTCTCTCGCTCCACCTTGGGATTGAGCTCTCCTCGGCTCAATCTCCACCACCTTCGTTCGCGATGGCTTCAGATGCAGGCAGCCCCAAACGGGAGCTCACTCCGACAGCCTCCCTCTCGTCCATCCCCCAGAAGCGCGCATTTGACGAAGGCCACAGCCCTGCCGTGCCATCACCCCTCAACCCAGACGTCCGGCCCTCGTCTGAAGCGCAGCATGCTGATGATGCCTCCCAGCTGGGGCGCTCCAAGCCCGTCAGGACAAAGAAGGAGACTTTGAAGAAGCGCGAGGCCAAGGGCGGTGATAGCAATCCCGCCACCCCGGATCCCAAAGCTGGACGCGAGCCCGAGCCGAGCGAGAATCGTCCGTTGCGGTATAAATTGGCGCCGCCAAAGCTATCAGACTTTGATCCCCCCCGCGGGCCTGTCATGACGCTGCATCACCGGGTGGACGGGCCAGATGGACAGGCAATTGAGTTTATGGAAACATCTGACCAGTAAGGAGCTTCAATATCCACTCCCGTTGTTCACGATGCTAACATGTGGGTTTTTACCAAAAACAGCGTCTTCAACAAGAAAAACTTTCGCTACACTCCCTGTATTGCCGATCCCCTCTTCCCCTCAATATTGTACTACCGACAGACCGAACCGGAACCGTTTGGGCCGAGGATGAGCTTCGAGGATGCCGCTACGCACGTCTTCTTCGACCGATCCGGCCGGCAAGTCACCACCGACAAAGGCTTCCGAATGGCGCGGGCCAACGTAGCCGTCCGCGAGGGGAGATGGTACTGGGAGTGCAAGATTACACAGGGCATCCAGCCGCCAAAGGATGGCGACACAAAGCCAGTTGGCGGAAAGCATGTGCGCATGGGCTGGGCCAGGCGAGAGGCCTCGCTTGATGCCCCCGTGGGCTTCGATGCGTACAGCTACGGCATCCGAGACGTCGCCGGCGAAAAGGTCTTCATGTCCAGACCCAAGGAGTTCTTTCCACCCGGCGAAGGCATAAGGGAAGGCGACGTCATTGGCCTCGAAATACAGCTCCCCTCGGAGTATTTGCACAGGAAGATCATGGCCGGCCACTACAATCCCGCCGTGGATGCCGCCGACGAACCAGCGCCGCCGACCGCAGAGGCGGCCAACATTGTGCGAGACCGAGTGCCGATCCGCTTTAAGGCGCACACGTACTTTGAGAAGATCGAGTACCACACCACGAAAGAGCTGGAAGACCTCATGAACCCTTCGCCGGCAGCAGCAGCAAGCTCGTCGGCCGACGCGCCCAGTCCTACACACCCCACGCCTGCGCTGCGCACTCTCCCCAACTCCCACATCAAAATCTACAAAAACGGCGTGCTCATGGGGACGCCCTTTGAGAACCTCTTGGGCTTTCTGCCCCCCGCCTCCAAGCCCATGCCCCAGGTCGGCGCCCGGGAAGGCCTCGACGACGGCATGCTGGGCTACTATCCTGCCGTCAGCGTCTTCAGGGGCGGCGCCGTCGAGGTGAATTTCGGGCCGGACTTTTGGTATCCGCCGGCGGACTACGACTCTACGAATGGCGAGGTGGACATGATCCAACCTGACGGCGTCGGCGCAAACGCCCTCCACGCGGTGGTCGAGCGCTACCAGGAGCAGATTGCAGAGGACATTGTGTACGACATCATTGACGAGGTGGACTTTTGGATGCAGGATGGTGGCGGCGCAACGAACCAGGCGGGCGTCGACGAGAAAAGCAAGGAGGTTGTCATGGCGCCTGGGAGAGAGGAGATTAAGGAGTTGGTGCAGGACGATTGATTTTTTGCGTTGCGTTGCGTTGCGTTGTGAAACTACATAAACCCTGAACATATACGAAAAGATACCCAGATACGCATATTAGGAGGAACAGAAGAAACAACAAACCCAAGTAAAGAAAGTAAAAAGAGCATGCAGTGTCGTCTCATCATCTCATTTCATGACCGTGAATGACAACAAACAAGGGGTATCTCAATCCCATATACCGTAAGCCAGCCGTGTCCTTTAGGAGCGAGTTTGCTCTGCGGGAGCATCTGAAGGCGGCGCCTCGACATCGGGTGTAGTTGCGTCTTTGGGCACTTCCGTCACGAGTACTTCGCCCTCTGGTGAAGTGATGATGACCGGGATAGCGCCCGCGGCTTCCTCCGCCTCGGTGGCCCGGGTGTCCGTTTTGTCGTTCTGACCGGCTTCCTCATCATCATCACTCAGCTCCTCGTAACGCCTGCTGCTGGCTTCAGCTCCAGCGTCGGCTTCTTCACGAAGAATGCGCTCCTCGCGGCCGCGCTTGTAGCAGTACCAGAGGACCAACAGGAGCACTACAGGTTGAATCCTCAGTTAGTTCACTATGCCTCCATCAAAAGAGAGAAAAAGAGAGGGGGGTAGGGAAAAGAAGAGAAGCAAAAGGAAAACTCACAGCTTAGGGCTACGCTCCAAATGACATTCATGCCGATAAACGCCGGCCACCTCGACTTCAACACCTCGACAATCGCCCTCAGCATCCCCACAATCGCCCCGGGCGTCTTGATGAGGTTCGCCAGGTTCTTGCCCATGAGCATCCTCTTGGCGGCGCCCTTCATGCCGCCCTGGCCGACCTTGATGCCCTGCGACTCGGCCGCCGCCGCGAGGAGCTCCGGCGCGAGCGTCGTCGTCAGCTTGTCGGGCATCTGCGTGACGAGCTTCTTCAGCGACGAGGGCAGCTTGTCAAAGAGCTTGCTGATGGTGCCGTCGCGGTCCTCCATGAGCTTGGTCAGGTCGTCGTAGGCGGTGGGCACGCCGCTGACGAGGTCGCGGAAGACTTGGGTGAAGCGCTGGAGAAGGTCGGACGAGTCGACGTCTGCATCGGAGGCGGAGGCGGAAGCTGGGGCTACGGCCTTGTTGTTGCGCGCGGAGAGGTTGAGGCGGTCGAGGACGCGCTTGAGGTCCTTCTTTTCGCGCTCGACTTCCTTGGGGAGCACGGCTTCGGCGTTGTCGGGCTGGAGGGTGGTGCTGGCCTTGACGGGCTCGGCTGTCTTCTTGTTTCTTGTGAAGAGCAGGGAGAGCCTGTTGGGCTTCTTTTCTGCCTTTTCCTTTGCCTTGACATCCTCGTCTTCCTTTGCGCCTGTGGTTCTGGCCTTTCCTGCTTCGTCTGTCTCGTCATCGGTGGTCTTCTTTGATTCAACGTCGGAGACCTCGGTGTCTGAGTGCCAGTCTACGTCGTATGTGTAGATGCGCGGGGGCAGCGGCGGCGGAGGGCCATCGTCGCTCTGGGCAAGGAGCTCCTCGAGGAAGCGCTCGTCTTCGGGCTTGAGGACGGCCTTTTGGGGAGGGATGAGCTCCGAGGCGGAGGAGTCGTAGTTTTCGTCCTTTTTAGCCTCCTCCTTGCTTGCATCCTTCGCTGCGTTGGAGTCCTTCTTTGGATTCTCCTTTGCTGCGGTCTCTTTCTCTTCTTTGTACTTTTTGTACTTTTTGTAGGAAAAGTATTCCAGCATCTTGGTGGTTCGTCTGAGCTGCGCAAGGGTGGATTGCAATAGTGCTGATTAGCAGATAGTAGGAAGGCGTCGGTAGGGGTCGAGTCTTTAGGGAAACGGAGATGCGAAATCAAGATGATCTACCGCCTCTCTCCCTAAGGATCTTGTTTATCTAGCAGATCGTTTGCCACGTGCAGGCGCCAAAGTCGTCACGATGTCAACCAACTGAGACAAAGAGGCGTCGTGAGGGTGATGTCATTGGTGCAACAGCTTTGACCAATCAAGGGCGGCCAAAGTCAATTGCAGCAGTACGTACTCACGGCTTCAGCAGTGTGAGGATCAAGACGGAATATGAAGGATATCGTAGACCTCAGTTTGTGAAGCAAATCATTGATGATGTCTCATGAAGATCATCTCTTCAAAGATTGCTCAGGGTATCATTCATAAGCTATATAGTACAGATTCCCACCCGCTGTACACCCCTTATACTCGTAATAGCAGAGCATTGCCGCCATCTCACATCTTCCCATCTCAGTCATCCTCCTCGCCTTCACTGTCCTCATCGCCTCCCTGCTCACGGACAACCTCGTCCGCCAACGTATTCCTCTGCCCACCGCTCCGTCTTTTACCCCTCTGGTACGCCTCGGTCATTGTGATGGCCCTCTCGCCAACGTAATGCTTGCCACTCCAAGGCCGCGAGCACTTGGGGCACTCTGTCCCCCGCCGTGATCTCCAAAACGCCTCTTGGCAAATGTCATGCAGCCGCAGCGTGCAGTCGGGATCTGAACATCGAAGCCCCCAGGTCACTATCTCCTTGCACGCCTCGCAGAACTTGATCCTTTGCCACTCTCCAGGCTCAGCATCCGGGTCATTGTACATATCAATGAGCCACGGACGGAGCTCTAGGAGCGCTCGCGGCGTCAGCGAGTAAAAGTTCTCCCTGCTAATCTCGAACCAGCCTCCCTCCACCAGGCTCTCCAGCACGCTTTCCACCTCGCTGTGCTTCAGCCCTCTGTCCGTGGGAGCCTGCGACTGCGACTGATCCTCTCCATCCCCCTGACTCTCCCTACGCCGCGGTCGTGCTAGTTTGATGGCTTGCATCTCGGTGATGCACAGCGACTCCATCCGGGGCCGGTTGAGCTTTACGAAGATGTGGTCGAGAACACGCTTGATAAATGACAGCTCCTCTGGGCTGTATATCGTGGCGAGTTGCGTCTGGGGGTCGGACGTGGTGTTGACGAGGGCAAAGATGCGCTCCTTGGTAATCTGGTGCTGCGTGCTGCGGATCTCGTAGTCGAACAGAGATGCTGCGGCTGAGGCCTTGTCGATGTAGTCTAGAAACATCTGTTCAGAGACCTGCTCGGGCCTGCACTCTCTGCTCTCGGGGTCTCTGGCATTTTCGGCGTTGATGATGGCGGCGATTATTGGCCGTGCTTCCTTGAATGTCAAGGTGCCGTGGGCGAGGAGAGCCTGGAGAAAGGCCCTGTTGCCATGGCTGTATGCGGACTGCGTGTGGTGGTCCATGAAACGTGTGGTTTGAAGCTCGACTGTGGGCTTGCCAATGGGTGAGATTAAGGGTTCATTTGCATAACAAAGTAAGTTCTTGTTGGATGATTTCACAGGACGCTTTATCGGCGCTTGATGAAGCAGTTATCGCAAAACGCGTGAAGACGCGTGCCATCTTTAATAGACTGTGGCGGTGCGTGGCTTGATTCTCCTCACAACTCGGTACTCCAGAAAAGGCCAGAGAAGAGGGCTGCCAGCTATCAGATAGAGATAGTCAAAGCCTTCGACTCTCAATCAAAGAATTTTTGGCCTTGAACTACGCACCTACTAAGAGAGATGTCAACCATTCGCTTTCATAGTTCTCTGAAGTTGTCAATGTCACAAGGTGCTGCGCCACATGCTGCTGACTCATCAACGTCAACTTGGCCAAACCACTACACGTCGGCTTTGTCTCTAAGGCACCAGAACTTCATCATTGCGCCAAACCAAACAAACCGGCTTTACCCTGATTGCATGATCTCATCGATATAGAAGAGACGCCCTACAACTGACAACTCACAAACCTCTCATCACGAGACACAATTGCCTCCGAACCGGTCGGGGCTGCCTCTCTTGTGCGCCTCTCACGCCTCTGCCTTTCGACCAGACAGCGCGATCTGAGTGGCCATTGGAATCCTCAACCGTTCTCCAGCAAACTCACTCGAGCATCACAAACCTTGTCTTTCGTCATATTCCAGTCATTTGTATGAGGTAGCACTTAAACACTTGAAGTGCTTGTCTGGTCCAGGGTCACGAGACCCGCGTGCTCAAATAGGCATCCCGAGGCCTGTGAGCCAGACGAGTCCCTCATCGCTCGTCAACGAAAGCAGTATCATGATCTAGAAGCAATGGACACCAAAGACTTTGACGTTGTCCGCATTGCGAGGAGCGATGGAGTCGACACCGGGCCCGGATACTGGCCAGTGGTGGCGCCAACATCAACAGCCGCCAATGCTTCCAAGAAGGGGGGCAAGGAAACGACTGCCGCAGACAAGGCTCCGCGAACGAAGCCCCAGATGACGAGGCTAGCAGAGGACGACCCGAGATTTGTGGAGTGGCGGATCAAGCTGGGGATTCTGTTGAAGCAGGAACTGTCGCCCACGCCAGACGGTAAGATATCACACCCAGAGCATTGTCGAGAGTAGAACGGCGCAGCCTAATTATCATGTGTTTCTCGATAGAAGGAAATCCGTGGTATGTGCATTTCCCACGAGGCTACTGGCTCTATGAAAAGTCAAAGCATCTCTGGGTGTCTGGGTACCCCATCAAGTCCAAGCTGTTCAAGAGTCCTCAGGAGTTTGGTGTTCACTTGATATGGTTGCTGTCAGCGTCCAAGGACTACGGCGACTGCTGCTGTGTGCACTGTAACACACCCGCTCCTTCGAAGCCCCTGGTTGCTCCTGAGGAGCCGACAGGCCAGACGATGTCGCATAGCTCAGCTCCAATATCCATCCCAGCCTCGGCTCAGGCATCAACACAGCCTCCTGTTCAAGGCCCAGCCAGGACAGAGAAACCCGAGAGACCGGTCAAGGTGACGCCTGTCCCTCTGCCCCCAATTCCAGGCCAGCCACCCCAAAGGGCGCCAAGTATTACGCCCGTCCCGCAGGCAGCGCAGCCTCAACAGCCCCAGCAGCCCCAACCTCAGCAGCTACCACAGCAGTTACCACAGCAAAAACCGATCCAGCAGACTCCCGTACCGCTTCCTGCGCACATCCAGTCGAATCAGCCCGCCCAGGCCTCTCAATCCCCTCAGCTTATACAACCAAACCCGTCCCAACCAGTTCCAATGGCTGGCACCAACCCTCCAACGCCGGTGCCTGCTTCCATTGCTCCTGCAACCCCTACACCACAGCAGCAGCAGCAGCCAAAAGCCCAGGCCATCCAGTGGTCCCTAAAAAGCCCACTGCTCTTCCGAGCTGGCGAGCTCGTCTGGTTTCAAACCGGCAATACCTGGCGGCTTGGAATCATTTCAAACCCGGGCAACATGACCCCGAACGGCATGACGTTCGAGCTATTACCGATTGGCCATGCCGCCGTTCCTCAGCCAAACGTGACCAAAGCCGAGGCCGACCTGCGGCCATTCCACTGCTACAGCGTTCCCTCTGTCGACATTGCCGAGCTCAAGGACAAGGTCTTTGACGAGGTCCCCTGGGAGAGCCTGTTCCAGGCCGCCGGGAGCAACGCCGTCCGCCGGGACCTCATCAACCTCGACGCCTCGAAAATGGCCGCCTCCAAGGTCGACTTTTCGCACTCCCTCTGGACCCGACGCGGCGACGACCCCACCGGCAAGGCCGTCTCCTACTACGGCTGCTTCTTCGGCGCCGAGCGGCTCGAGATTGGCGACGCCGTGCGGGTGAAGATGGCAGGGGCCGAGGCCAACTCGAGCCAGACGACCGTCATGGGCCTGCTGCACATCTTCACCAGCGCCGACTATCCCGGCTCCGTCTTCTTCCGCGGGCCAATCTACCAGCTGTCCAAGCAGGGCGCAGCCGCTTCCACCGCGGGGGCCGGCACCGTCATCGACGACGAAAAGGACAAGCTGCCCCTCGCGCTGCAGGAGGAGGTCCGGTGGCGGACGCAGGTCACGCGCAGCCGGCAGTGGTGCTGGGTCCTCATCAAGGACAACGTCGTCTTCAAGGAGCAGTCCATCCGCGGCCGCTTCTACCCCACGCACCGCCTCATGCCCATCTACAACCCCAACGAGTTCAATGCCTTGCTCGCGGGCCAGCAGCCGCTCAGGGATCAGCATATATACTTGAACAACCGCATGGATGGCGCGGGCGGGAGACACATTGGACGAAAGGCCAATCGACTGGATACGCTGGGGCCTTGTGTGCCGCATACGGCGAGGTTGATGCTTGAGCCGCATATTCAGGAGGAGTAGGTAGCTGGTTCGTGCGCGGGGGGTCAGGGATGTGATGCGGTGAGTTTGACGTATATGAAAGAGTATAATGGGAAAGGCGATATAGGTAGATCTTGATGGCCTTGGAGCAGATGATTGGGATGATAAGATTATAGCACGGTTCAATTGCATTTAATAACAACAAAACTGCACCTCTTTCACATCATCTGCATATATGCAGATATTTGAGGAGGTAGGTTAGCACTCAGAAGAAAACAGGCATAACAGTCAGGCAGATATTCCAGTTGTATTCATATGTGTGTATATCAATATCCGCCGCACGTCTGGATTAAGAGAACAAGGAGAGCGAGGATGTTGCAAAGTGTTCTGCCAAAAATCACGCTGAATCGACCATGTGGTATAGAAACGAAGGAGGTATAAAGATGCAGAATCAGATGAAAAAAAAAATGGATATAGTGTATCAAAGGAGAGCGAGGGATGCGTGCGTGTGTGTGTGTGTGTGTGTGTGTGTGTGTGTGTGTGTGTGTGTGTGTGTGTGTGTGTGTGTGTGTGTGTGTGTGTGTGTGTGTCTGATGTGTATGTAGTATCTGGAACGGAAAAGGAAAAGGGATGAAGACCAGTTCGTGCTCACAATCGCTTTTTGCGCCAAGGAAAAGAAACAACCAGAAGTAAACAGCAACAGAAGTAGTTTTCTTCTTTTTTTCTTCAAACAAGAACAAGCAAGGCAAACAGGTAAAACGACTCGTTCATCAATGTGAGCTGACTATTTCCGAGTTGAAGCCATCCTCCTCGTGTCACAAGGTAGCCAGAGCGATGAATAGGACTTCATGTTTGCTATCCCGTTTTAATCCCTCCCACCCTCCTGTATTTTCCATGACAAAAGAAATGACAGCTGCAGAAGTTCGCAGGTTCGCTGGATCGACGCTGAAAGAAAAGATGAAAAAATTCGTCCCAGATGATATTCAATGTCTGAGAAGAATAGGGGCTGGGGAGAAGGCGGAATGCTTCAGCACGGGAACGGCGCTCTGAGAAAGTCGAATTATGTCGTTAAATCCGTCTCTAGGTATGAAGTAACAGACGTCAAGGCGAATGAGAAAGAAAAACAATGACAGGAAAGGAACAGGGATTCAAGGGTCAAGGCAGGCAAAAGCCTTGCCCGTGCAGACCCAGCCCCAGTGAAGATGGAGCCTGATCAAAGAAGCCCTATGTGACTTTGAGGTTGTCCAACTTGGCTTGTATTTGCTGCAGAACATCTGGGTCGGGTATGGGTTCCACCTTGCGAGGCCGAGCACGAGGAGAGGCTTTCGATTTTGGAGTCTTGCACTTTCTGCACTCCGTCCCGTTCGGGGCGTCCTGAGGGTAGACCGTCTTGCACTTTTCGCATTCGTAGTGAGGGACGCTGTTGGGCCCAAATTCATCGCCGGGATATCCAAAGGGATATTTATCCTTCTTGGGCCTACCACATGTCTCTGTTAGCATATACTGGACGGTATGACTTATCAATGGATCGACTTACGGGTCTCGAGGACAGTCAGTGCAGCGGACGTGACTGCATCTCTCGCAGACTTTGGTTCCAGCAATGAACAATGTGTTGCATTCATGGCAAGTCCGTCGGACACGTTGACGGGGCTTCTTGTGGACAAGGTCCTGGCCGCCTGTCTTGCTGGGGCGTGTAAGCACAAAGTTCTTGTCCTCTGGGCCGTAGTCGGGCTCGATCGGCGCGTTCTCGCGGTTGGCCTTGATCTTGGCAGCTCTCCGCTCTCGACTAGCAATAATTTCGGCCTCGGTGCGCTTCGGCGGGTAACGCGTGCATTTGGTGCAACGAGCGTGGTTGCAGTTGGGACATTCCTTGCCAGCGCCAAAGGTAGCGTTGCAACGATGACAAGTCCGGCGAATGCGCATTCGGATGGGCTTGTCCATGCGCAGGACGGTGTCGCTAGGGATGGCCTTCTGCCATTCCATGGGCTGAATCTCCAGGCCAAATCGTTCGTTCAACTTCTTTGCTCGCTCCTCGAAAAGCTCCAGCCTCGAGAGCTTGCTGACTCCAGCCAATCCCTCGTACGCAGCTCGCGCCTCGGCAAGTCTAGTGGCCGCATGGCTGCTGCTGCTCCTAACATCAATCGTTAGCACACTGCAAATCGGACAGGACGGTAGCCGGCAGACGGCAGACAGCTCCCAGAGGCTACCGGAACGAGTGCCACTGAGCATCGTTGCACGGAAGGTTGCCGGAACAGGACAGCTGGGCGAAGCCCAAGAGAATAATTTCAGTGTCACACATACGGCTTAGAGACAGCATCGGCTTTAGTCACTTGGACGGCGACGGGCACGGCAACGACGCCGCTTTGGGGGGCCGCAGCTGGAGGCGCGGCAGCTGTCGACTGACGTTTCGAACCACTCCGCCAGGCGGTCTTGACCTTGGAGAACACCCTTCCGATTCCCGACTTCTCCTTCCCAGGCTTGGGCGTTGTCGCCGGTTGTGCAGAGGAGCTCATGGTGTTGTTGGTTGGTGTACAGACGACGACGGCTGTCTCAGGATTGTGAACACCCGAAGGGAAAAAAGAGCCGTTTGGCACGAGGAATCCGGCAGGCTGGTAATCGGGTATCGCAAGTGGTAACAACTCGAGGTGACGTGTCGAGGCAACCGGAGTCCGTTCCGTTTTTCGTTTCTTTTTCTTTTCTTCTGCAGACTCCTTTTCTGATAACTGCTGACTTTTTTTTTTGTCTTTGCTTTTTCTGCTTTTTCTCGGGGAGTAAGTAGCCGGTAGCTACAGTTACCAAGGTAGGCGATCCTTCGGACTCGTGGGCGGCTCGATAGCTGAAGAGAGCTGGAATTGAAGTCGACAAGAGCTGTGAGGGCCCGGGGCTGGTAATAAATTGCAGATGACGGCCCAAGGACAGCGCATCATCCGACGCCCTGCTGCGATTGACGTGAGGCCGGACACAGCAAAAAAGGGCTCTGGGCGCCGCTGAGGTGGTGTGCGAGGATTACAGCAGAGGGAGTCTGCAGGTGAGCGGAGGAGAAGCGACGGGTCGCACAGCGTTGGACGTCCAGCGGTTTTAGCACTAGGTAATGCCGGGTTGGGCCAGGTGCTTTTAGGCCTGCACCTTCAGCGGTCTTAGCGCGCGTGCATCTCGCACGGTGGCCGTACGGTGCCCAGACCCCCTGCCGCTGTGGCGACCCAGCGACCCAAGCCGACCACCGCGGGTCGGGTGTACCGTGCAGGGTGCTGTTCGCACATGCGCCGGTCCGGCTCCAGCAGCCCGGGATGGTTCCTTCCCTGAAGCAGCACCTGGCCCCTGCCGCTGGACGGGGGGACTTATCAAGTTGCAGGTACCTGGTCCGCCGGCAGGTACGAGCCACGGACACCACGTTGCTGCGAGTGCTGCATGTCGGACCACCTGGGATTAAGTAACGCGGTACATAGGTATCTACTTGCACGCCCGCCCTCTCGTACCTGCCAGTACGAGAATGAGCAGCAGGGCGGAAGGAATCACCGGTGCGCCAGCTGGGAAGAGGTCATCAAATCAAACCAAGCCGCTACCATACAGAATGTACCTTCCTACTAAGTCGTACAGGTACCTCTCTACCTTACCTCAGTTGAGAATTTGCCCTCAATAGGAGAGATTGAGGTGTGATGCGGCACGACTGTGCGCTCCATTACCAAGTTTCGACTCCCCAAGTCAGTTCCATCTTACGACTTCAAAGCTCATCATATCAACCGCTGCTAATTGATTCATGCTGCCAGGTAATATCCAGGTGTTGCAGCAAATGCCTGTACTAGTACTCGTACAGTGCCGAAGTCTCATCGCAAGCGCGCGACTCATGGAAGAGACACAGCTCCTATTCCGACTCTTCTTCTCTCCACTCCCCTACGAATTAGCAGCAATTAGCAACGGGCGACGATGGGGCTCGCCAAGGGTGTCCAGCGCACCGGAGCCTGGCGCGGGGTCTGTCGAGTCTCTGCCCCAAGTCCACAAGCGTGCCGCACGCTGGGAAGCACGGCGCCAACAACGCAGGAGGGTCCAGGCCATGGGCTGTGGTTGGGCGGGCGGAGCGTCTGAGACCCAGCTCTCTGGGAGGATGGTGTGCGGAAGCGTGTAACGGGAGCTGCCAGCGGGAGCACCAATCCATCGACTCCCGTCAATCCGCACCCAGCCCGTCGGGTCCAGCAGCGGCCGGTCGGGCTTTGGGGCCAGCCAGATTCGCCGCCAAGGACGACGTGATGCATCCAGACACGTACGTACAGTAGCGCCCTGCAGCACGTCCTTGCGTCTACGAGTACTAGGTATGCAGCGCGCAGATGCCAGTGCGCGCGAATGGTCCCAGTGCCTCTTGTGCCAGCAAAGCTCTCCCGACTGGCGCACGAAGAGTCGAATCGAGGAGGTGACCCGGCCACGGGAAGGTGGGGGAACTCTCCCGGCGAATCCCAGCTCGTGCTGGTTTTACGTATATTACGATCGTGACTGGAGCCGCAAGCACACGTGTTTCTTTCCCTACGGAGATTTCCATCGATGGATGCTCGCAGTTGCACCATAGCCCTCCTCTGTCATCACCGGATACAGAGCGACGGTCTGCGTTTGAGATTTAGACCACTCTCTCCGTCCAGCACATGGCTAGCAGGGCTGCAACAGGGCGGACCGTCTCGAGCCTTGCCATGGGCTGTCGTATTCTAGCCCTATCACAAGAGGTCAGCGAAACCCAGCCAGTGCTTTTACTGCTAGTGCTGCGGTTGCTAGCACCAGTAGTGCTTTGCAAGTTCACCGAAACGATGCTCTCTGCCACTATTTTGTCTCTTTCTTGGCCGACACTAACTCCCTAGGTAGGCTTGATCGACCATGCGCCAACAGCATTCCACCCAGGGGGGGGCCGATGTTATTCTGTGCTGTTTCGGCAGCCTATTATTATGAGGAAATCTCGGGCACACGGGTCGCCCTTGGATTATCGCAGCAATCCTTGAGCTTCTTGCGCTTACACGTCCTTGTCACTCGTGCTCGGACGTCTCACACGCAGTACGTAATGCGCCAACATCGCAACCTTGTGAGAGCTTCTCTCCACGCTGCCATGGTGCAAACCCGTTTGGCAGATACAGAGCGCAGAACAATACATAGGATACCTGCGAGTTGACATTCCTTACACCTACCCATGCTCGATATAGTATGACGGATATCAGTTTTGGTGTTCACATGCCCGGTATGTATTGGCAAGGAGCTGCTACTTCGTCCTGCTCTCTGCCCATTTGCTTCATGCTGACATACGGATGAAGCCAATCAATGCATTGCCAGAAAACAAAGTGCGTGGAATTGAGTCCATACCGAGGGAAATGTGCACATCGCGGAGGTTACACAATGCCTTTTGCGATCAATCCTTACGGGCAATCGCCGCCCTGTGCTGATGACATGGTGACCACGGCTGGAGATTGGACACTGTGGCGGAGTCTTCCGTACCGGCTACCAGGTAGCAGCACCTCTCGCCGCTTACTCTGTTGCTCCATGCAAGTCGACGCGATGGGCCAGCTGGGCTCTCTGCCATGGTATTTTAGGCGAAAATCGAGCTAGCAATGGCTCTGCACACGCCAGTCATTGCGCGACGCCGTCTCTCGCAGCCTTTGCGCTTCTAGAACGGCGATGGCACCGGCTTCAGGCGCTGCGCATCAACAGAAGCGTCTGGGCGTCGAAACAGGAAGCTGGCCCGACAGTATGGCATCGAATCCCCGCACGACACGACCATTTCTGACACTGTAGCTCGACGACGGCGGGTTTTCTGATGTGTCAACTCTCGCACACAGTCAGTTCGAGCATGCCTGCTAATTTGAGACCCCTGGCCAGTTGGAAGGTGCATCATGCAGCAGCCGCATGCCTGGTCAAACCCTGGCCAGGCTTCGTTTCCGCGGCTTGGCCTCCGGCGGGTTGCGGTTTGTAGGGAGGTTCCGGAAGAGCATCGTACTCTACGAGTAATCGTATGCGTGCAAGGTGCTCCGTACCCTCCTACGGACGATGCGTTGGAGAGAAGGAGAAGAAGAGACTTGGAGTCTGTACGCTGTCGGTACCTCACTGAGCAGTGACACACGGCAAGGACCGAAGCGTTCTTGGCATCAGTTGTCCCCATCGCCAACGAGCCAGATGCAGACCCACTGACGGACGCTGCTGATGATGAGAGATCGCTTAGTACTTCGCAGAAGCAGCTGTCAGAGTATACCTACTACTACTAGTCTGCCAGTCACGATTCCCCCCTACTTCCAACACCTGGTATATGTAGGTGTTAACCGACGGTGAAGACAGAGATGAAGCAAATCGAAGCCGCTGATAATCAGGCCCCCGTGCAAGTCTCGACTACGAACACTGTGCCGCGTGACACAATGTCCAGAAAAGCTCTCAGTTGCTTCGCCCCCTGGGGTAGCATTGCCGATAGCACATTTTGGGTTTCTAGCAAGCTAACTCATGATGGTACAGCGCACTGGATGCAATTACCTTCCGAGATACTAGTAACAGCATGCCGCCACACGCGTCGACAGGCTTTCAGCAACCTTCCTTTCTACTCGGCTTCTGGCTCAGTACTCGCAACTCGCACTTGGAACCCTATGACTCGACTACTACATCATATGGCAGAGGGGGTTTGTCTTCGTTTGGGCAGGCTTCCCAGATACTAATATGCATGGCTGTTTCTGCATACGACAAGGTAGTGCACCCAACGAGCCGTAACGCAGCGTCCCACAGTCCTGGAGACTGGCGTTCAACAAGACAGCGTGGCATGCAGGATGTCTCATGCTTCTCCGCGAAGCGACTGCCACCCTCTGAGCGGTTTATACAAGCAGACTCCGAGAAACCAATCCCTCCCGAAGCATCCTAGACAGTGAGAGCAGTGCGCGGGGGGACACTTCCGGCACTGCCTCTCGGTTAGACAGCGAGCACGCGTCTCGCTTGGGGGAGAGAACAATGATGGTGCCGTTACATCCCCAAAGCGAAGCCCGACCTTCTGCAGCAGCGTCCTATTGCCATAAATATCATATTGATCGAGGACGCAGACATTCCACGTATCCGTTGCACTCGCTGGACCACTTCGCACGGTGGTTGTTGCTACAGGTGGCATCACAACCCACTGTAATAGCTCAGAACTCCTTCTTTTGAGCAGGCCCTTGGAAATGGAACCGGGGCGATCCGCGCAACTTTGGAATAGCAGGGTCCATATTATTGATTAATTACTACCATTTCGTTTGAGGGACATATCGGGCTAAATACTCTATAAAAGTACTGTGCTGCTGATCCATGCAAAGAATGCAATCAAGTGTGGGACGATTATATTGTCACATTTCATCTCGTGGGTCCCAAGCAGAGGGGTGAGTCGCTTTGAGCCGTTCTGCTGGTACAGTAGACATGGCTTGTTGAGACGGGACAGACAGACTTCAGAGCATACCTAGGGACCTAGTAGGGGACACCCCGGCCACGCTCTCGCAGGCTGCAACAAGGTAGCCATGACCTTACTTTACGTTTTAGGCCAAACCGAGAACGAAGGCTGTTGTCACTTTACAGTACGACGCCAGTGTGGAGCATCGCGGCGTCTCGGAGCTGCTCGAGGCCAAAGTCGGTGAGCTCTCTCGACTTGTCTCGCAATCCGGCAGCCAAGCTTATCTGCATGGAGGGTTGCAAGGCCCTTGCAAGCTTGATGAAACAACATCCGGCACGCAATCGCTACTACCTATTCATACATGCCCGCTTGCAGTCCAAGCAGAACCACATCCCGAAGCCGTTTGTGTGTAATGATTTGTGACTAAGCAATCCCGGCAGCCGCTCATTTCCATCTCTTGAGGTGCTCCGTTTGATACCCTCCAACCCAGACCCCTCAATCGCATTTCTCATTGATTACGGACACCACCGTAACGGACGGGGGAAACCGGCCAACATGGACCAGCTTTCCCTTCTTGTTGTTTCTCGCTGGCGTAATTGGGGATTATAGCTGGCCTGTGGGCCGTTGATGCGGCCTACGAGGCGCATCTCCTTGTTTCGAATGAGGAACCTTTGTTTCTGTGCCGTCTTTGACGTTGAGATGGTCTGCTCGGGTTCTCACAAGCTAGTCGGTTCAGTATAAGTCGTTTCGCAGTCGGCGAAGTGGCGCGAGTTACGGCCTCTACTGATGCATATACAGCCTCGAACTGCAATTTGATACTTGACTTCGACGTCAAACGCTTCGAGCAAGCATCCCCAGGCAGTATGAACTCCAGCTTGGGCTGGTCGTTCACTGATGTTGGTTTAGAGCCTTCCGATTTCGGCACCCGCTTGAACAGCCATCATGTGTATAGAGAAGTCCCCGAGCTGCAGCATGCTTCCCTTTCAGATAAAAGGGCATTTGCCGTTTGTGTCTAAACGCCTCCTTCCAACAAGCCGCTTGACATTACCTAGTAGTAGCATTTGACACAGGGATGATGGTTCAGCATCTGTGTTCCTCTCTGTATAAATGATTCGAATGTCTTTTCGCATCCTTGAACTACACTATCTACCTACTCTGGTTATATATCAGGACTCCGTAGCGACTATGTTAGAGGTCAGGCAAAGATCATTACTTACAGAGTTGGTAGACCAGGTAGGCACAAGGTAAGGTAAGGTAAGGAAGCTGGTTGAAGCTCCTCTCCGATTTCGGCAGGTGGGGGCAGGCAGAGTTGCGCTACTCGCGAAAGCTCCCCTCGCCGACTTCGCTTCTCACGTCACTATCCATCATCTTTTGGCTTCATTTCTCTTCTCCTTCTTGCTTCAATTCTCTTCACAAACCTACCCAATTGATTGGAACTCGTCTACTTCACAAGCTCTAAACCATGGCGGAACACAACATTGTCGTTTTTGGGGGCGATCACTGCGGCCCGGAGGCGAGTGTGCTCCCTGAGCTCTTTTCGCGTTTAACGCAGACGAAGAGCAAAGAAGCTAACTGTGGTGATACGGATAGGTCGTTGCTGAGGCGATCAAGGTACGAGTCGAATTCTCCGCGACGCACGCAGACGACCATCTCTGACAAAAGATGCTATAGGTTCTCAAGACGATCGAGCAGCTTACCCCTAACAAGTTCAATCTCAAGGACCACCTCCTCGGCGGGGTAAGTCGTTCTTTGATTTCCCAACGCCAAGTCACACATGTCTATCGAGAAACATGTTGCTAACCTCGGCCGTTTCCCCATAGTGCTCCATCGACAAGACCGGCTCCCCCCTCACAGACGAAGCTCTCGCCGCCGCCAAGTCCGCCGACGCCGTCCTTCTCGGAGCCATTGGCGGTCCGGAATGGGGCACCGGCGCCGTTCGTCCGGAGCAGGGTCTGCTGAAGCTGCGCAAGGAGATGGGCACCTACGGTAACCTCCGGCCCTGCTTCTTCGCCTCCGATGCCCTCGTCGAGGCCTCTCCCCTCAAGGCCTCCGTCGTCCGCGGAACAGACTTTATCATCGTCCGCGAGCTTACGGGTGGCATTTACTTTGGCGAGCGTAAGTCGTCCCTCTCCCAGGTTGTCGTAAGTATTTAGGCATGATAAATTGACCCGAGCTTCTTCACCACGTCATACAGGCAAGGAAGATGATGGATCCGGCGAGGCGTGGGATACGGAGCCGTACTCCCGCCCAGAGATCGAGCGTGTTGCGCGATTGGGTGGATACCTCGCCCGCGGTAGAGGAGAAACGACTGTTACCTCGCTGGACAAGGCGAATGTGCTAGCGACAGGCAGGCTCTGGCGAAAGGTTATGGATGAGGTGTTCCAAGCTGAATTCCCAGATCTCAAGGTCAAGCACCAGCTTATCGACAGTGCGGCCATGATCATGGTCAAGAGCCCGACGCAGCTTAACGGCGTTGTACTCTGCTCCAACCTTCAAGGCGACATACTTTCAGATGAGGCCTCCGTCATTCCTGGTAGTATCGGCTTGCTTCCCAGTGCAAGTCTCAGTGGAATTCCGGACGGAAAGCAGCCCAAGGCCCAAGGCATTTACGAGCCTATCCATGGTGGGTTCTTACCTCCCAATCTGCCCCCTATATTAACGACTTATTAACACACACGTCTTCAGGGTCCGCGCCAGACATCAGTGGCAAAGGAATTGTCAACCCGATTGGCACCATCCTCTCCGTGGCCATGATGCTGCGTTACTCCCTGAACCTCCAATCCGAAGCCAAGGCCGTGGAGGACGCCGTCCGCGCCGCTATCGATGCCGGGCTGAGGACGAAGGACATGGGCGGCAACACGGGCACTGCGGAGGCCGGCGATGCCATTGTTGCCGAGCTCACCAAGATTCTTAAGGCATGAGACAAAATTAAACGAGAAAAACAAAAAGAATAAAAGAACAAAAGAATAAAAGAAAATGACGGATGATGAAAACACGCGGTTGGAAAATCCAGTGGTGGAAGAAAACCATGGTGTTGAAGCGGCATGAGAAAAAACTCCTGGCCAATCGTGATGTCCAGGAATATGATGAAAACGGTAGGGAAACGGTAAGATATGGGAGAATACCTTAGTACCTACGTACCTACACCTTATACCTGACTGCGTAGAAACGGATGCTGAATCACGTTTCAATTTCCGTTTCATCGAAAGTAAACGTTGCTGGAATAAGACAGAGGCCCATTTCCCCCAATTCAGGCCCTTTTTCCAGTAGTATTCTGCTTGGACTACCACTTTCCAGGTTTTGTCCTCTTGACCAATACAACTACTATTATCGTCTTTGTGTCTGCAAGACGACCCCTTGAACCGACAGACGACGGCTTTCAGGGCACAGGCACGAGTCAGAGCTGCCATCCGATCGGTTTCGCAATGGGACCCGGCAAAGCAACCCGAATTTTCGTAGCCGCTCTCTGTGGACCGCCGGAACGAAACCAAGCTCTGCGTCGAGGTGGACAAGACAAGACGCCCACGCCCTGCATCGCACCCCGGGGCCTGGCACCGAGGACGTGGATGAGCCAATGGGTCAGGCAAGCATATTGACGATGCCACCACACCCGGCGCTATTAGCCTGAGTTGCAGCAGGACGCGACGCGAGTGGTGCCTTTTGGGTAGCCAGCTCGCCATCGTACGATTCCTGCACACACATGCAAAGCACGGGGAAGCAGCCGTTGGGCTGCCGGAGACAAATGACGTTGCATCCCTGCCCTCTCTACATACAGTATGTACAGTATGGATGCCATCTGCTCCGGACGACTGGGTAGCTCTGCTTGCTGCGAAGCAACTTCATACTGTAATCTTGCCTCCCTCCCTCCCTCCCGTCTCTCTCTCCCTCCCTCTCTCCCAACGCACCCAGCTCGGACCGCTCTGATGATGAACAAATGGCTCAAGGGCATGCATGCAACCCGGGAAATGACCATCCCTGCTCTACACGAAAGACACACAAGAAAAAAGGGAGGCGTCCCGTCCAACTGGGTTCCCGCTTTGCGCTAGTAATCAGGCTTTTTTTTTCTCGACATGCCAACAAAGCCAGTGTTTCTCAACTGTATCGATTATTAGTGGAAAATTCGCCAAGGCCGAGGTGACATGCTCCCGGAGCAGCGAAAAGCAGCTGGGACAAAGTTGTGGCACTTTGACGCCAATAGCGGGACCCGGGATACATATGTAGGAAGCAGGCGATGCGGGAGACTGTGTACGAGCGACGACTGGGTTCCCTGACGGATAGTATCAGTTGTCCGAGAAGCCATGTTTACCCCATTCTGCTGACGGTGTTTTTGTTGGGTGGGTGTTGTTCTTCAGAGGACATGCGGAGAGCGCAAGTCAGCGACGGGACCGCGGATAACTCCGACAAGCCTTGTCCTAGGAGTTCAGCGTTCTTGTTTCCTGATTATAGTATAACCGCGACAGCAGAACACCTCTTGTCTCTAGAGTCTATCGCGGGGAGGGAGTCTCTGAGGGTAAGCTGTGGGAGCTGACATCTAGTCTGCCTTTTTAGTCCCGGGCTTTGAGATGCGGCATTACCCGATGGTGATGAGAGATGACTTGTTCTACTCAAGGAAAAATGACAGATGCTTAGTAGCAAAAGTTGGCCGAAGCTACCTTGCTACCTAACCTGAAGGATTTTTTGCCGCCTTTTGGCAACTTCACACACACGGAGATCCTTGTCTAGCTGCGTCTCTAGTTCAGCTTCTTGGTGGACTAAATCAAGAGGAAGTCCTCCACTGGGCACAATAGGCCGCTTGGAGAAGGATAGATCCGTGAGGCCTAGTCTGCTGATCGGAAGATACCTGATCACCTAAGAGACGTGAGCGTTAGGATCCAAGATTTGCTAGATCCCATCAACTGTTAATGGCGCGACGATGCTACTGTTTGATGCGCAGCGGCTGAGCCTTGGCCAATCTATGGCCGTTTTTGCCGGAAGCTGGATGCCGTCAAAGGGGTTTGCTATTTGAGGCGGGTGACTGCAGAGGATGGGCACAATTGAGCAGTACTCGTACACCACAAAAGATATAAGGTACCTAGCGAAGGGTGAAGCCAGGCGGGACGAGGCACTAGTGGGCAAATGGTCTGTTCCGGATAATCTCTCTGCACTGTTGGGTTGGTTCGTCTCACAGGCATTTGACTTGATGGAGGCTCCTGAGCTATTGATCGTGCTCCTAGCATGGTCGTGACAGGAGCAGCAGGGACGGATGAAGGCTCATTGGCTGACAGTGAGTTGGTGAACTGTGATTATGACGATGTTTTGTTTTCGGCAGAGCATGGATGGTAAGTGCTTATCTCGAAAGAAACTGTGTGGTTTTGTGGAAGAGATGAGGTCTATGTGAAGCCTTAGCAATGATTGTCTAGCAATTGCTTGAATCAGCCACGACAGCATGCACATACGTATATGCAGTACCGGTAGTTTGGTTCCTATGTAACTGTAGGGATAGGTGGGAAAGAGACGCGGGTGTATTAGATCTTCTATCTCTCGGAGGCGCTTCGCTAGCAGCTTGTACTTTCTGGGGGAGCTGTCCCCTTCACGATCCAGTAGAACAGAAATGCCAGAAGGCTGAATTCCGGGTGAGGCGGCTCCCTTAAAGACTAGTATATCAATATTGGTGCTTTGAGTTGCAGTGGCAAAGTTCAATAGTCAGCCGCAATATGCGGACAATGGAGTTCCACGCAGGGGCAAGTGGCAAAGAAGAAAAAATATTGGTTTAGGGTATTCCGTCGAACAAGGGCGCCAATATTAATAGGATTGCCCATATTGGCTCAAAAGTTGTCTTCGTGCCATTTTCTGTAGGAGATGGTGGTTGATTCAATCGCATTTCGGTATAGTGGTAGATAGTAATACCCGATGGCGAGATGCATAGGAGATGCGAGAAGGCAGAGTGATGCATATGGGACGCTGTTTCCATGATGCGGATAGCCTCTCTTACGCCTTGCAAGTTGTGACATGTTGATGCACGTAATTCGTAACTGTTTTACCGTGTAAGAAATGAGATTCTCGGTAGACAACTCACAAGTATCCTCCAATCAATGTTTCCTAAGGTACCTTCTCTTGGCCCTTCTCACCTCTGGTGATGTATGTATTGAAGGAGGCACTTTATACCAAATCGGGCAATGTCGTCACTTCGGCTCATTGCCGGCAAAGCTTGCAGCGACCAAACGAACCTTGATGCGACTACGCGTGGGCGCGAAAATTGCTCTCACCAGCATCCTCAACCTTTGACTCATATCCTCTCAGCCTCGCAGCAGATCAAATCGCCCACGCCCGCACTTCCACCGCTCACCCGCTCTCTCAGCGCGCCAGACTGTGCAAAGATATACTGCACGGTCTCACCTACCACGAACCCTCGATCTCTTCTTCCAGCTATATGACCCAAGAGCCTCTCAAGACTCCAGCACAGCTCCCGGCCAACAATCATCTCGATTCCCTCCAACTCCCCCAGCATGGCTCCCTTCATCGCGACGCCAGTGGCCCTGGTCGAGGCCTTCCCGGCTTCAGCCTCGGCTCGCAGCGCCTTCGCCTCGACCCGGCTGAGCATCAGGGCCGGGAAGCCGGAGTGAACGCTGAACGGCTGGACGAGAAGCTGCAACAATTGAGCCTCGATGGAGCCCACGACGGTCGCCCTTCTGTGCCCGGACAGCGAGTCTACGAGTATGAGAAGGCCTCGACTCCCCAAGCCTCTAAGCAGGGCCTTGGATTCCAGGTCATCAAACGCTCAGAGCCCCACGCCGATGGACTCAGTCTCGAGGACTTTCCCAATGGTTGGTTCTGCCTCTTCCTTGCGGCGAGCGACCCATTGCTGACCAATGACTGCCAGAGATCCTCACCCACATCTTTTCTCATCTGCCCCCCGACTGCCACTCGTCGGTGGCGCTGGTCTCGAAGCGATTCTGGGCGCTGGTCACCACCCATCATGCGTGGCGCATGGCCTTTATGCGCTTCTTCCCGGGACACACCATCCTGGAGAACAACGGCAAGGCTGCCGCCGCCACTCATTCCATGACTGGGCCATCCTCCGACGTTGTGCGTTTCGAGACGCGATACTTCCCTCGACTCACGCCGCTGGCCACTTGGAGGAGCGAGTATCTTCTACGGACTCGCCACCTAAGAAGCTTGGCTCGCGGCAAACCAGGGCCTCCCGCCGGTGGGAGTGTGTCTGGCCGCGTCGGTCGCGGTGGGAAGAAGTCAAGCGCCGTCTTGACCTACAACTCGAAACTGCCTTGGCAGGTGACGAATCTCCACGCCGTCTTCCTGAATGGAAAGAAACCGCCCCGCGTTATGCAAGGCGCCGGAGATCTCGGTGCGGCAACCATTAGCGACCCCACGACTGGAAAGATTGAGAAATGGGGCATTGAGGATCTATACACCACTCCTCAGCTGGACGAGGTTGCCCCCAACCTGGTGCCTTACGGCTTGGGAGACGGCCCAGCCGGCGTCCCCAATGTCATGGATGTGAGCTACACGTACGGCATGATATCTGGGGAGGGATTTCCAGGTGGCCGGCCCTACTTTCGAGGGGTCAATGAAATGCGTGGTCGCTACGTTGGCGCAGAGATCAGTGCCGTCGACACTCATCCGGATATTCCCAAGATTCCCGAAATGTCCGATGCGATCTGCAGCGTCTGGATTGCCAAGTCATCGACCGTCACGGCGACGACTCAATCCATGTGCGGCATGCTCACAGGCTCTGCTCTCGGTATTATCACGGCCTATTCACTTGGCTGGGATACCACGGGCCCGAGATATGCCAATGGCGACGTCACCGCACGATGGGTCGTTAGCCCTGGTGTTCCCATCATATCCCTCAAGGTCGATGATGGCTTCAACCAGAAGCGCAAGTCGTCCTCCAGGGTATGGGCGGTGGCTTTGAACGCCCTCGGTGAGGTTTACTACCTGTGCGATGTACCCGTTGGCAAACCCGGGCGAACTACTGGCGAGGACATGACGAGGAATGCCTGGTATGCTGGCCGTACAGCCTACTGGCACCTTCTCGAGGCGACTCGCAGAGTTGCTCGTGAAGACGAGGCTGACAAAAACGCAACTCGTGGAGGCTATTCGCCTCGATCGCCTTCTCTCGACATGCATCTCAGCAAGGAACAGATTGTGGCAGAGGCTCGGGAGATTGAAAAGTTTATGCGCTATCGGCCCTCCCACTTTCGAAAGGTCTGCGAGGGCTGGGACATGCAGCGGAAGCTGGAGGTCGACTTTGCGAGTGATGATGGGAAAGGTGCCGGCGAGAGCATCTTTGTCATCGATTGCGGCCTGGCAGAGAACCGCCCTGTTAGCATCCAGCGCTATTCGCGTTCATTGATACCCGTTCAGGGCACTCCGAGCGAATCCTCGACACCACTTGCGCCGGTCCCGACATCGCTGTTTGGCAGCATCGGAGGCTTTGCCAACCGCATTTCTCCTGTTTCTGAATCCCAAGCGCCATTGTCTCCGCCACCTACTCCTAAATCGCCCCCTGTGCCTTCGACGGTTCTTCATGACTGGTTCAAACAAGGGTTCGAGTTCAAGGGCCACGGTCACGATACCATATTGTCAGTTGCTTTGGACAATTCGCTCACCTCGCTCTACACACTTGGGGAGGACCCTCTACACACCGCGAACGAAGCGTCCTCCACGACGAGCCCCTGGGCTGAACACGGGGCGAGGGAGATTCCTGGGCGCCGAACCCGCTTCATCATCGCTGGAACCAACTCCGGCGCGGTGCTTGTCTGGAATGCGCGTGATGACGATCGAACTCGTGATATACAACCACTGCGCATCCTTCAGACCGAGTCACCAGAGGTTTCTGCTGTGGCAGCCTCTGGGTTGTATCTCGTTCACGGCGGCAGCGACGGCCTTGTCCAAGCCTGGGATCCCTTGGCATCTACAACGGATCCCATCAGAACGATTAACGCTCGGTCAAATGGCCGGGTCCCCCGTCACATGCTGGTAATGAATCCCGCATTGCAGGAGGAGACATACTCGGCAGCAAAGGCCATATATCTTGACCCTGATTCTACGACGCTTCAAGGTGTAGTCTCTTTTGGCGCATTCCTGCGATATTGGTCGTATGGGTCCAATGGTCATGCCACAGGTCGCAAGCGGCGCGTCCGACACGCCGATATGGACGCTCGGCTTGCGAGTCGCCGGCAAGGCCATGCAGTGTCAGGCTACATTGCCTCTGAGGAAGCCGAGATGCGACGGGAGGATGAGCAGCAGGCTCGCGAGCACAACCGTCGTCTCAAGAGATTTGGCGCTCTAGGCGACTTGACCGAGGAAGAAGCGCTTCTCTACGCCCAGATGGTCTCCCAAGAGGCGTACCACGTAGAGGAGCAGCGACGGGCCAGCGATTCGGCAGCCGACGCCAGCCTGGACACCGCCTCTTCCTTTAGCGAGAATACCGTCGAGACTCTGACACCTGATCCGAGCGTCGCCGATCCGGTCGCTTCGGAAACGAGCGGCATGGCCGAGGATGACGAGTACGAGCAGCAGATTCAGCAGGCTATACGTCTGTCTCTGCTAGAAGGCGTCAACAACGGCGTGGAACAGTCACCTGTGGATTCCTCACGGGGCAACAGCTCTGTTGATTTCGACCAACCGGTCAATGTCAAGTACAAGCCCAAGGGCGGGAAGAAGGGGAAGCAATCAGGGGCTTCTTCTGGTGGCTCACCGTCTGCGAGCCACACGCCCGTTGGTGGTGGTGCTTCTTCTTCGCGGCTGAGCACGACTGAAGATGAGGATTTAGCGATTGCTCTGAGTCTGAGCATGCAGGACCAGGGAGGGGGATACTCGCCGCCGGGAATGTCGTCGTCGACGATGATGGGGAGGAGTGCTTACTTGGAGGCTGCTGCTGGTGTCGATGAGGAGGATGAGTTTCCGTCTTTGCCTGGTGAAGGGAAGGGGAAGGGGGTGCAGAGATGGTGACAGATGTGTGTCTGAAGACCAGAGACTAGACTCTGGTATTGATGAGATGGGCGGAGGATAATCATTACGTTCTACCTCTTGGACTGACATGGCAGAGTTAATACTGCCCATGTTTGAAGTTACAATGACTCTTGATAGCTAGATGTTCGAACAGTCATTGAAGTGTTGACTGATTCGTGTAATTGCAATGCATGTATTCTCACACTTGAGCTGGAATTTCCGTGAAACAGTTCGATGATTCTTTATTCGATGTTTGGTGATGACCTATACCTAAGAAATACGTTGTAAGAAAATCCCAATAGTCGTCCTATATCCTTCTACATATCATACAAGTCTGTGTAGCACCTACACACGTTACAAAACTAGGAAAACACACGTCGCCAACATCTCTAAACCAACAGTAAACCAGCCATGAGAATAGAGACGCCCAAAACACCACAAGCATTCACTCTCCCCCGTCCCGAACCTGCACCACTCTCGTCATCGCCATCCTCATCTCCAACAGCCCCCAGCCTCGTCTCAATAGGGAACCCTTCTCTCGAAACCCCGGTCGAAGAGAGCGTCGCGGTAACAGACTCTCCAGGATACGTCAGCGTCACTGAAGCCACGACCAGGCCCCTCGGCCCAACAGTCACCGTCTGGCCCCCTACCACCGTCGTCATCTCGTGACCCCCCGTCGTGTCGCCGTCCTGGTTGAGCGAATACGTCGCGCCGTTGAGCACGACGAGCGAAGGGAGGGCCTTGCCCACTGTGATGCCGCCGAAAATTTCGTACTCCGTGGCTTGCGGGTCTGCGGAGGGTCCGCCGAGGGTTGTGCCGTGGAGGGAGATGCCGCTTGGGCCGATGGAGATGGGTTCGCCGTTGATGGTGGTTGTGCTATTGAGGGGGATTTGGGGGCCGTAGGTGATTGTTGTGGAGTGTAGGACCAGGAGGGAGGGGCCGATGGCTGTGAGCATTTGGCCTCCTGTCACGAGTGCATGAGTTGGCTGGGGGGTGGGGAAGAGGAGGGTTTCATGGCCGACGGCTACGGCGTGTGCTCCGAGGACGACTGTTTGGCCGTTGATGGCTGTTGTGGTCGGTGCGGCTGATTGCGGTGGAATCGTCAATGTGATGTCTTGGACAACGACGGCTCGTGACCCTGAGACTATCACAGGAAGCCCTCCAAGAGTCCCGGTGGCCGCTGGTGGTTCAGGGGGGTTCGTGGGTTGAGGAGCAGGCTTTCTGATTGTCGTGCCCAATCCCACGACTGCAGTAGGCAATATGGTGAAGACTTCGCTCTCGACTGTGACTGTAGCAGTCTGGTCGGGCCTGAGGCTCGATACTGTCGTGCTGCCGATGATGACTCGGTCTCCCCCAGCAGTGACTTGAAACGTAGGTACCGGCGACTGCTTCACGCTTTCTGGAGGATCGGGGACGATTGTCCTGGTCTGCCAGTCATCGGTCTGCTCTACAGTCTTGTGGTTCCCGTCCACAAGGCCGCCAGTCACCCCTGGTTGGCCAAAGTCAGGAGTCGGTTCGGGCGAGAACACCACGGATGGATTCTTATCTGTTGTTATAAAGGTGACGACTTGACGACTGAATGACAGAAACGGCCTCATTGTGATGATGATCCCACCGCCACCCTTGCCAGCGGCATCGGGCGTTTGCGTGATAATCTCCGGAAGATCGATTGAAAATGTGGGAGCTGGCATCGGCACGGGCATCAAGAGATCGTACGAGGGAGAGGCCGAAGAAGACGGGACTTGGACTGTGAGCGTCGCTGTAGAGTTGGACACTCGAGTCGTGCTGAAGAACGTGATGAGGGCTTCGCCGGTAGGAGAGCAAAAGTTGGGCGTGACGATGGGCGAATAGGGAGGAGTGTAGTCGGTGCTGGAGCCGTAGAAGGTGATTGTTGATGTGTAGACAATGGAGTATTCTGTGATGGGCTTATCGCTGGGTAACGGAGTACATGGCTCAGTCGATGTCGCCTCTTGGAAAGAGGAGGAAGTGGCTAGAGGTGTGACGGGTCGCCTGTTGGTTGATAAACCGGCTGACGAGCAATCTGAAGCATCGCCGTTTCTGCAAGCAGCGATGGAGCTTATAGTAGAGTTTGTGAGTAGCGCCGAGGCTCGGCTCGAGTCCACTGTCGTGTGTATACGCTCGGTCGCTGGAGGAGGTTCCGTTGTTCCCTCATCGTCTTTAGCCTCGGTGCCTGCTGTGGGCACACCCGTCGACGGAGAGGATGAGAAAGAATCTTGTGATGATGATGGCGAGCCATTTGTGCCATGCGTCCCCCACACCGATACTGTTCCACCTGTTGGAAGCACCTCGTGAGTTGTGGAGAGGCCTGTCAACTCCGAGAGAGCAGTCTCCGGGATTGTCTGTTCCCTGGTTGGCAGTTCCTCTTGACCACTGTCGATGCTGCTGTTGGACCAAAGGCGCAGTCGCAAGTGCTGATGGTGCAGAATCTCTTCGCATAACGGTGAGCAACACAGTCCCAGAACAGTAAACGGAGAAGATCAACGTACCTGGTCTAACAGCCGCCGCGGCACACTCTGCGAGGAGTGCGGTGCTGAACAGCACCAAGATGTCTACGCGCCTCATTGTTTCTAGCGATAGACGATGCTCTCATCCCAATGGTTGACTGGACCGCCGCAGAGGAATATAAAAGAAGACAATTCGGTCAGCCATTAGAGTGACGCCGCCATGGGCCTGTGCCTAGGGAAACAAGAACTACAGGTTGAGTTCTCAACATGCCAGGATTGAATGAATCTGTGAGGGCATAACCACACGTTGAAGCGTACTGCACAAACAGTCAACCAGGGAGATGGGTTCTCTGTTGTCGTGCTTATGGGCGGAAATCGTACTGGTGATTGGATGAGCTCGGTGTGTTATGCATAGGAAGTTCTGCATAAGGTATACTTCCACATCACGCATGTGCACAAGGGCCCGGAGCACAACAGTACAAAGCAGAACTGTCGTGTCTGGCTGCAGGTGATGAGACCAGTGCAGGCTGGCCTGTCCATCTTCTCCGTGCATCCTCCAGCCGCGACTAGTCTGGTGCTTGGGCCAACACACCGTCTCGAGAGCGGGAAAAGGAGATGAGGCTTTGGCAATATGAGACATGTAATCTCGTGCTATCCCACATTGACGCCAGAGAGGTAGCACGGGCTTCCAGCTCCTGTCCCCGTACATCAAGGCCCTGAACTTTACGTCAGTACGGGTATCCAATGAGCAGAGGCGGTTAAGCCCCGAATATGGCTGCTACTTGTACGTCCAGGACCAAAAGATCGAGCCGGCTGAGCGCCTGTGTCCATCATCCCGAAATTGAGGCATCGAGGCTGGGCACACAACGCTAGACGGTGGAGAGAGCAAAAGGGAGGACGCGTCCATCCGACCAGTGAAGCCATGTGTGTCTCTGGGTGTTGGGAGACGAGTCTGGGCTAATCGTTGCAAAGGGAGAAGATGGTCTTATTGTCTCATTTGACACCCAAATCTGCTGTCTGTTGTTGATGTTCTTTTCCTGCACGGGATGGGATATGGAACGACCCATGACCAGACTGCCGAAGGATTCCATGTGTGACGCACATATCAAGGACACGGCCGCATGGACGGTGCAAGAAAGTTTCTGAAGTGCGCAAATGTCGAAGGAAGCAACCTGCTTCTTCATTCATCTTCTGGAGGGTGTTTTAATAAATCATCAACGAAACCTGTACACTCATGATTTGAACTGTTGGCAAGACTTGGGCAGAGCTGGATCACATCTTGTTCGGTGTTCGTGTTCGCAGGTTCTCATATCTTTCGCCTCCGCTGACGGAGGGCTCGATCCCTTGTTCATATTGTATGGAGAGCTCCCCAATCTCTCAATGAAACGGTTCGCGCGCATAGTCTGGTCGAACAACGGACGCGTGTTTGATACCGGTGGCAGAGAGGATGGCGAACTAGCCTGTAGGCGAGGAAATATTGACGCTTCTTGTCGCCAATGGCCTGAGACATTGCTCCCTTTGCTCAGCCATTCTCAGATGGTACGATACGGGAGCCAATAGTACAGCAACGGCCATGCCTGGGTTTTGTGCAAATTGTGCAAGCCAGACCGCTTATGAATCCTTTTCGTCGGACTATTGCTGCTAGCAGGATGCAAGGGATGCTGCGGAGAACTTGGCATCTGGAGGTGTCGTTGATAGACCTTGCTCTTGACGGTGCAAGGGCGATGCTTTGTTGTTTCACTGTTCAAAGTTGAAGTGCGAAGTGTCAAGTGTAGCATCTCAATGGCCTTTGAAGATGTCGACAGGTCATCTTGTTTCCCACCACATTTCGGTTAAGGTAGACCTTGATGAGCTGACTGACGATAGCCGGTTTCCTAGTTCCCAAAAACGGGAAATAACGATGGCATTGCGGACGTAATATGAGCCCTCGAGAGACAATCGGGATGTCATTGCTGCTCGAGGATAGGGTGAGGCGAGATTGATTAGCCGCTATGGTAGAGATCTCGTCGGTCTTGCGATGCTTTGGGGAGATTTCTGGAGTTTGTGACTGCACTACATATAGCAGGTTAGGAACAGATTCGAGACACGACTTTGCGTGGATTGCCTTACTGGTGATCCAAAGCGTGGGATCAAGGCAATGGTAGCATCAGCCGACTATATAGACGCCCGTCTTTTCCGCATGTAAACGGCCAAGTGCACATGTCTCGACCAAAGGATCCTTGAGTATTCGTAGATGTTTGTTTGAACTGTCGGTGACTTTGACTGGTTTGGCGGCTTGAATGCAGTTGACGAGGAAGGAAAATGAAATGAAATGATCGAGTCGAAATGTGACCTACTGCAGGTGTAGGGTAGCTCCGAGGGGCCTGTTAACGGCCGGTGTACAGGGTACAGTGACGTCCGCTACACTGAGTCGGTGACTTGCGAGTTTTCCAGGTATCGCGAACTTCGTTGTACATCATTCTCGAGATGGCAGGCACGCGAAAATGGCCTCAGGCATCTCGCCACAAATCGAGGCAGCAACACCCAGCTGCTTCCTGCATGCACTTGATTTTCCCGCCATGGCTCTGATCCACGGCTCGAGCAATGGACATCATAGACCTCCAGCTCTCAACCGCCATCCAGGAGCCACAGGACCGCCAGATTGCCGAATATCCACAAGACACTTGGCCATTCAGACCATCACCAGGATGCTCATGGCTGCGGACTACCTACGTAGCATCATGACCAGGACTGGCATTCGTACATGCATGTCGCAGGGAGCTTAGCTCCGGTACACGCATCCCGCGGTCAGCACTTTGCTTGCACATGCCGCAAGGGCGACATGTTCAGCGGACGATTCCCGCCGCCCGAGAGGCGAGAGGCGGACATCCAGAGCAGTAGTAGTAGGTCGGGTCGGTGGCTGTGGCCTCTGCCTCCTTGGCTATTTCACTTCCCGCTGCTCCTGCGAGGTACGAGCAGATACTCGAACAATCACACTAACAGACTACTTAGTTGTATACAGCACTGCTGGAGCAGGCTCGTACGATACGGAGCCGGTCTGGTTGTACACGCTCCGCCTGAGCTCTGATGAAGGGTGTGAGATGGTGGGGATGGGATGGCGGATGGCTGAAGCTCCCAGTTGCTGATCCCGGCTCTATCCATCTGAGTGAGCAGCGGAGTGGATCCCATCTCCAGATGGCTGCGGATCATGAGCCCTTGCCTGGCCGGCCAACTGCTGGGCTGATGCTGGTGCTGGTCTGCCGTTGCTCTGGCGTTGTGCTGTTGGATGGACGGACTTGGGTCCTTTCTCATCTCAACGCGCCCGGTCGGTGCTGCTGAGCTCTCGCTCTCGCCGCACATTCAGTGCTACGAGTGAGGATATCGATGCCTCTACAGCGAGAAATATTGGCATTCCAGCAGCACGTTACAACGTACGGCTGACCGGGGAGTGTGCTCCATACGTTGTACCACAGCACCAAGGGATGTGTACTCGCTGCTGTGCCCAGTCCCAGGACCGTCGCCAGGCCAGGTATGTGGACAATGCTCATCAGGCATAGCGCCGGCGCTGGCTTGCACGAGTACTAGTTAGAGGTCTCGGGGTCCAAGAAGTACAGGCAAGTCGACCGGTACATATGTACTACTACTGCTGGTACTCGCATATTGTCTCGCAATCAATGTCTGACCCATATGACAGTTTGGCCGAGCAGCCCGGGTAATACTCCCTTCATCTGCCGACGATGACGCCGACTCTCGCTCTTTTTGGAGTGAATATGAAGGGTATCTTGCGGCAGATGGCAGACCATATGCTCATAACAATCGACCAGCATTTGAGTGTTGACGCGAACCGAGAGGCGTACACCATCGACCTACAGGTAGCACCGGTACCAAGGCTTCTTGGAAAACCAGAGGGTTCCAGGAGCTTGGCAATCAGACACGTTCTGTGAGCAGGTGAAACCATGGGCTGATCAAATAGAAGCGGTCAAGCCCAGACTGCCCTGATGAGGCAACACTGTGCTGTTCTTCATTTCAGGCTCATGAACCCCCCTTAGCATTGACAGCTCCGCAGGTACTTTAATGTATCTGTTCCAGACGGATAGCAGAGGCTTCGAGCAGGTCGCATACAGTTGAGGGACATGCCTGGTAGCGTGTCTAAGAAGCATGGAGCGCTTCAAAGTGCCACCCCAATGGGCCATTGGCGACTGAGACCCGTCCCCATCTGGTCCCGAAATCTGCGGCCGACAGCCATCACGACGAGATACATAGTATTACTACGAGCGTTAGCGCTTCCGCAAGCCATCGACGGCTCGGTAGCTACTGCAGGCTGGCGTTGCTAGGCTGATCGGAACCCGCTTCAGCATCAGGCATCCGGGATCAAGTCCCATGTTCAACCTAAATTGACAGCCGGAATGTACTCAAGGGAGGACCACGACGAGTAAGTGGCGAGCGAGCAGAGACATCCCTCCCTTGGGATCAAAGTGTCAAGGGAGCCAGCGACAGGGATCCTCATTTCCCGACGAGTTCTGGAGAGATCGGCCCAGGGCATCCATGCCGGCGTTCGTCTCCCGTCGATGCTGTTGGCTGTACTATCCCCCCCTGTTACTGGCCCGAGGGTTGCTTCTCCAGCCATCTATCCGAAGGACCGTTGGTCCAAGCCTTGCATCTCTGTCTCTCGACTTCATCTTCTTCATTCATCCATCGCAGCAAACTTGCCGTGCAACCTCGCGCGTAACCCAAAGCAAGGCCTCATTTGGTACCTGCATCTGCCTGCTGGATCGTGTGTCTGGTGGTGCCGCTGTTCTAAAGAAAGCCTGCAGAGTCCCATTGATCCCACGATCTTGGCCTTATGGAAGCAGTGCTGTGGTGATGAGAGGTATTCCAGCCAGAATTGAGGCTCTCTCATGACACCAGACTCACCCGTAGCATCACGGTGGCCTGCGCGTTCTCTTACACGCAAGCTTGTGGCTTCGCAAGATCGCCGTTGGCGAAATGCGTCGTGATGTCCTAGCGATTGCAGCAGTAGCCGGCCTTGTCTATGCGAATGACCCGGCCCCTGTGGCGTTCGACGCCGGAGAATGGTATGTTTGCGACTCTACTCTACGCTGCTCAGTATCTCCGTCATGCCGTCGAAAGCATGAGCCGCCTGTCATGGTGTAGCTGACTTGAAGTCGACAGGCTTGGGATTGACGGCAACTGGTCTACAATCAAGGTCTTGCTAGGATCGAACTCGGATCTTGTCAATGTTCTTATGAGCACGTCGCTTTCGGAGTTTTGGGCCGTTGGACCTGGGGGATGTTTAAAAAGTACGTCAACATCTCAGCATGATCGCGGTCCTCCATTATTCGCAAGACACCTCGCCCGACCAGGCCACAGCCGAGTCCCCTCATCTCTCGACCCGGCAACTGACTCGGACCTCATAGAGGAACCGCATTGCACTGCGGCCCGCGGGGGCATTTACACGCCATTTGCATCCAAGCATTGGTCGTACATGGGCATCTGGCAACTCGGCTTGGAGTACTTGGGTTATGGCGGAAATGGCCAGTATGGACTCGACACTGTCAATGCGTACAGCAAGATTACCGATATCGGTTTCGGCATGTCCAATGTCCTCATGTCAGCCATCAACACGACAGACTACTACCTGGGCTACTTTGGCCTCGGCATCACACAGGGCAACTTTGGCCGCGAAGTAGCCCAATCGCCTTTGACGCAAGCCGTTCACACTTTTGGGTGGATTCCTAGCTACAGTTATGGCTTCACTGCTGGCGCCTCCTACCGTATGTGACAAGTACGACTTCTTGGGTCCCACGGCGGCTGCTAATTCAAAGGGAGTAGGAAACACGCCGGTATCGATCACCTTGGGCGGCCATGACACCGCAAGATACGTTCCCCACGATATCGACTTCACACTAACTCCGCAGGACAACATGCCACGGGCTTTGATCAGAGGCATCGAAGCTTCTGCCAAGAAGGCCAACAAGCCAAAGAAATGGGCCTCCGAAACGGCGAGTCTTTCGGGCTGGGACAACTCGTTTACGGCCTTGATTGACAGCACCACCCCATACCTGTGGCTGCCGAGCGCCGTGTGTGACAGATTTGCAGACGCCTTCAACCTGACGTATAATGCGACGTTCGACTTATACACCCTTACGAATGAGCAATTCAACCAGTATGGCTCTGCCGATTCCTTCACCTTCACCTTTAGCTTTTCGAGCTTCGATAACAATGACAACTTCGGATCTCCCCTTAACGTACCGGGCTTGGTGAACATCACGGTGCCAATGCGAGCATTTGTTGGCCTTTTGCAATACCCGTTTATGCATCGCACCATCAAATACGGAGACCCAGCTGTACCTTACTTTGCATTGCGAAAATCCCACAACGATTCGGCTATTGTCATTGGCCGGTCCTTTCTACAGGAGGCGTACATCATCACTAAATATGACGAGGCCGTGTTTTCGATCCATCAGGCCAAGTTCCCCGAGCAGCCGGTAGCAGAGGCGAACCTAGTACCAATCAAGCAGCCGAATAACAGCCCTTACCCGTCACCCCCAAAACAGACGGGCAACAGGTTGAGCACGGGACAAATGGTTGGCATTGTTGTTGGTGGCATTCTATTGTGCTCTTTCTGCCTCATCATCCTCTGCTGTGTCTGCCGCCGCCGAAAGTCGCCGGAGAAAGGCGACGATGCCACCATCACGGAAACGAAGGACGGCGCATCTACACTTATACCCGATACACCGAGGATACCTCGGCCTACCTTATTCCTGAAGTTCACACGGCGCAAAAGGTTTGAGAGTGAGGCGAGCAAGGTCACCTCGCCAGTTAGCCCTCTCTGTATAGAGGCTCCAGATTCGGAAATCTACGAGCTTCCGGCCCCGATGCCTCCCGTCGAATTGGATGCTAGCGATGGAGAAGATGTCTCTTCGATACTGATAGGCGAAACAGTCCTGGGCACCGAGACAACGGGTAGTCTCAGTGCGTATGAGATGGCTAGGAGGAAGATGGACCGGCAACTTCAAGGCCCTGTGCCCGAGTACTCACCACCGCTGCTGGATACAGCCCTGCCTCAGGAGAAGGCGATGGCAGAAGCCAGCGGAGTACGCGCAACTTCAGGTAGGGAAGCAGTCCCTGTGTCTCCAATCAAAGCAGAGTCGGGAACTGGCTCGCTTCCGGCATCGCTACCCTCACCGATCTCTTCGGGCTACGATAGCCATCCGGATACTATGCCGTATCCAGGTGCTGGTTTTGCAGCGGCTCAAGACTCTAGTGGTAGCTCAAGAAGCCCATATGAGCAGGCTGCAAAGGCTCATTTTCAACTGGTAAATAGCCGATCAAACTCGAGGCGTTCAATGAGTCCAGCAGCGTCAAATCTCGACCAGAACTCTGATTCTCCCGTGGCATGCCAAAAGACCCCGATCGACCCAACAAACATCGTCTGCTTGGGGAACCTCCCCGACAATCTCAAAACGCTAAGACACAGCATCATGTTAGCGCATATTGTCAGCCAGGAGAATCGTGACAGCTTTGATAGCTTCACGCCTCGTTTCAAAGCCGAATTCCATCTCTCCGAGCAGAGTTTGGGAAGCAACTATACGGAGGAAGAAGATCGAATGATGCAGGAGATGACGATGCAGGAGATGACGATGCAGGCTGCCTCTTCTCTTGGCCAGTCACATGAAGATTCACCATCTGACGGACTATCAAGAGACCGAAGAGAGACTTATAATTCGACTCAGGAGATGAAGAGTACACACCCATCGGAGGGAGACGAGCGAATAGACGGCAACGATATTGTCCACGTTCCCCAGCTGGCGGAAAAGCGATACAGCTGGGAAGACTGATAGTTGAATTTCCCTTTGTAGCAGAGCGTTTTGTCTTGAGCACTTTCACATTTTTGCGTTTCGTTCTGTCTTTTTGCGTCTAGGCTACTTCATCTCGTTTGTCTTGTCTTTGGGTTTATACATGGCCGGCAATGGAGTTTTATCAGAGGAGTTGGACGAAGATTGTTGGCATCTCTAGGGCATGAGGGCATTAGGGGGCATCTGGGATCTTGGAATATCTTCAAGGGGAATCTTATACCACACCACTTTGCGCCAGACTTTCCTACCTTTTCTTTCTTTCTTTTTTCTTCTTCTCCCTTTACCTCCTTCCTTCCTCTTCTTCTTCTTCTTGAGCCACAATATGCTTTTTCTTCTTTGTTTAGTCGAACAGTTGTCAAAGGGCTATACTGCGAGGGGGCAAGCGTTGGGATTAAGTATACTTATATATAACAGCAAGCGGGACTGTCAAAACGTAGGCATGGGGAGATAAGAGGGACTCGAGCGAGTATAACGCTTCCATCTCTCGGTAACGGCGCCATTCTTTTCATAGACTCTCTTGAAGCGGCTAGATAGAAACAATAAATCTACAAGATATAAAAGAATATGAAAAAGACGCTTGAAGCTTTCCTCATCATGCAAGTTCATTTCCAACAGGCTATCAATAACATCATTTCCTAGCTTCTATAATGCATAACCTCCAACAGGCTACCAAATTCATCATTCCTAGCCTCTATGTATGCGCATTTTCACCAAATCTCCTGCCACCATGTGATCCCGCCCAACATCTCCTTTCTCACAACCTCATCACCATTCTCCGTAAACGGCTCAAACACAGCCCGCTTACACGCGTCTGCCATCTTCGTCGACCCCCCACAAACAGCAAAAATGGCCCTCTGGGGAATCAGCCCCTCCAGCCGGGGTGACTCCCTGCGCACCAGATCCTGCACGTAAATCTTCTCCCGCTGGTCCCTCGAAAAGGCCGTAAAGAGCAGCAACTCAGAGCCCCTTTTCGCCGCGTCTTCCGCGAGCGCACGCCACTCGTCTTCGAAGAAGAAGTCGGCTGCGCGGTTCCTGTTGCCGAAGAATATGACCATGGGGCCAGGGGAGGGATGCGTTAGGCGTTCGTGAACGAGGCACCGCACGGGGGCGACGCCGGTTCCGGTGGCCATGGCGATGAGGGGCCTTTGGGCGTTGGCGGCGCCGTGGATGGGTGATAGGACGGGCTTGTGGGAGACGCGGAGGGTGGAGCCGGGGGCAAGGCTGGCGAGGTAGCGGGAGCAGAGGCCCTCGCGGGGTTTGCGGAGGACGGTGCGGTACTTGACCATGGCGACTAATAGATCGACTCTGGTGGCGTTGTCTTGAGAGGCCTGGGTTACTGTTGCGCCTCCGTTGGCGATGCTGAAGTCACGGCCTCGGATGAGGGGGAAGACGTCGAGGAGGCGCTCGGCGGGGATCTTGACGGAGGTGAATTCGTCGAGGACTTCGATGATGCTGCGGCGGGAGCGTGTGGCGTAATCAAAGTATTCGTCTATGTACTCGGGCATGTTGAATTCTAGTAGTCGCTCGCGGTGATATTCGTCGGATGTAAAGTAGGACATGTACTTCAAGAAGGAGCGGCGTGGGATGGCGGTTATGTCAATGTTGTTGAGGAGGAGATCGCGAAGAGTACATGATGTTGGGGAGTAAAGGTTGCGAGGAAGAGACTTGCAGGTCGATAGGTCAAGGGGGCTGTCGGCAATGCTGTTCCACTCCATAAGATCGATCAACTTCTGGACGTCGTTGGGGAAGTTCTTGGGATAGAGGGTGAGACAGTCTCCTGGGACAGGTCGAAGTCTTTCGCCTGACGGAGGGGCGGGTATGTCGAATGTTACGAGGCGGACGTCCTGCCAGTGCTCCTGCGGCGTCAATCTCTCGTTTGCTGTCATGGTTGCTGTCCATCCGGCCGGTATAGGTAGGAGACCGTCAGGCGGCAGATTGGGCTTCGTGGGCGTGCCGTTTGTTTGACTTATTGTGAGAGAAGACAAATCAAGTTCCGGAATCTTTCCGAGAGCAGCACCTAGAGCTGGAGCAAGGGACCAGCGTGGAGGGAGAATTGTGTCATCGGGGATGGGCTCTAAGCCTGAGGGAGGTGGATAATGCTGCAAGAGATGCTTCTTTAGGTCTTCGGCCCATCGTACAAAGCTTCCGTCAATGCTGAAGAGAGTCAGTATGAGATTTCAGTCATATGTCATCCGCATAGGAGACTTACCCATCTGGAAATTGTTCATCTGCCTCGTAGGGGTCAATGAAAGTGGCAGCGCCCAGCTGGTCGAGTCTGCGCACGAGCTTCCTCGCTGCCCAGTTGAATCTAAGAAGTCGTCATGATTAATAAGCTGTCAAGTTGGTGTTTTGGGGCATGAATGCATCATCGTCACCGTAAGTGAGATGCGAGTCATAGGGTGGGATGATCATACTTGAGATATGTGCTGTCACCGAGACCAAAGCAGGTGTACTTTAAGCGGCTCAAGCAGTTTGGTGGCAGCTTCTTCCGCAGGAGCTTCTTCCAGAAGACGAGGGAGTTGTGAGGCATGTCACCTTGGCCGGTTGTCGATACGACAAAGATGACAAGCTGGTGCTGAAGCAGGGCATTCTGCGTCATGCCAGGTCAGGATCGGGATATTCTTATTTAGTCTTGCTTCCTCCTCAGCGAGAGACAACATACAAGATCCGTGGCGTCGAGCTCGTCAACGTGACTCTCGAAATGGAGCCGCTGGCACAGCCGACCCAGCTCTTCGGCTATATCCTGGGCATTGCCTGTTTCCGACCCATACAGGACCAGGACGCTTCTCTCGCGGCTCGCCATGGCGACAAGGGGGCCAGCCAGACCAACTGCCGCAGGCCAATCGGAGCTTGAAGCACGGGTGTCTGATTGCCGTTTATGGGTGCAGCGAATCTCGCCTATCGCGCATAGTGGCGAGAGTGTTGTTGCTTGCAGTACTGCTCTGTCAATGTATAGTAGGTAGTTTATGATGAGGCCAAGTGTAGAGTTGCTTAGCGGTAGCGATGCATGATATTGCATTCGCAACTGATGTCCTTATTCTTGTACGAGGAAGATGGCGCTTAATCGCAGCATTGCATGTGAGCGAGAGACAAGGGCGAAAAGCGGGTGGCCGATGCCGGGCTCTTTGTGTCAAGTCAAGCCTCTGCGTTCTGTGGCTGGTGGAGCCCGTCCGATCTTATCGGTTCATGCTGGCGTTTGCCTTATCTGATCGGATTTTGCCTCTCTCGGAATGGGGCCACGTGCGAGAGTATGCAGGCAGCCAGAGCTGGTTTTGAGAACAATGGACAAACTGCTGGGTTAATTCGATGTCCATTGCATCTTGGTCTGCTTGAGTGTTGATATAATAGTTGTCAGGCACGAGAATCCGCGGATTCTGTACAGAGTATATTACACTGAAGTCCATTCTGCTGGACGCCTAATAAATAGACTGGTATCAATCCGGATAGAGGTGGATGCATTTGCACTGTACCTGAACATCAATCGTACAAGTGTTGGCTCGGCAATGTTTGCGTTGCACATGCTCGCAATCCAGTGCCTCTTAAGGCAACAGACATCATTTTGTATCAGTGCTTGTCAGAGCCAACGTCGGGGCGGAATCTGGGGAACGGGCTCGCTCCGAACTTGTGGCTGGACTAGCCAACAGCTCGGGACAAGCTCTCCCTAGCTGAACCACGATAGGTAGCCTCTGCTAATGGTACAAGCAGACAATGGTTGACGATGACTCAACGATGAGAGAAATGCTCGGTTGATGCCCAATCGAAGCAAGGGGTGCTGATTTGAAGTACATGGTAAGGATTGAGCCGACTTTGTAACTGGCATACTTTCGCCATTGCCACCAGCGACGAGACTCTCCAGGGCTGATTTACACTTGTTTGGCCATGGCACGAGCCACGTTGCCCACATTAGCTGGGTGGATCGGCGACCAGCATCAGCAAAGGCTGGCAGGCTGGACGGATGCCTGCGTCGAGCTGAGCAGCGCAGCTTGTGATTGACCGGTCGACTGGCCTCCACGGTGCCTTGCAGTGGATGCTATTCCAGGCGCTTCCAGGCGCATGCATTGGTCGCATATAAGCCACAGGGACAGGCAGCGTCCGATATAAGCCAGGCTGAGGTTGGGTGAGAAAGCAGGCGCGCCTTAGTCACGCGGAATCATTGAGCTGTCGAGAGCTGCGCAGCCACCTCAGACGGCTCATAAGCATCTGAATAAGCCCTTTTGTCTGCTCTAAGCAATTTATCCCCTTTCTCGTAATACAATCCAAGAGAAGCCATTCCCGCTGGCTCCGTGGTTGGTAGGGATGAGTGCATGATTGATTTGAATAGGGGCTTCTCCATGCAGTGGCAGCTGCCCTTGAAACAGCGGGAGCTCCTCCCCTCCTCGAAGCGCAGCAGATCGTGGGACTACTGGTAGAGCGGCCGCGGTAGCACCTGCCGTGAGTGATAAATTATGGGGAGCAGGAGCAGAGTTTCAAGCCTCTCGCCAGCGCCCCTCAATGGGAAGTTGCGGTGCAGCAGGAGGTACCAGCTGTTTGGCAGCCCCGAATAACTTGGAAAGTCCTCCTCTGGATCGACTCGTGACGGCAGCTGCATTGTGCACATAAGGTAAGGCACCCAAGGAACGGGTTGGTATACTATACCACGCTCTATGTACGGGCTCTTCCAGGGACTTCTCTGTATTGCGTCAATCATCTCACGGCTGTAGCTGTACGCACAGTAGACCAAAGCTCCAGCACCGTCTCTCCGTACCTGTACCTGCCACCGATCTGCCTTCTTCGCGGCTTGCGTGTCCGTCTCCGCAATCCGTACCTGCACCTCCATCGCAGCATCACGTATTAGGCCATCCGCAGGCCATCTTAGAATAGGGGCGCATTGCAGCACCAGCTTCCACGAGTTCCAGAATGTCAGGAACGAGATACACCTTGACCGCATCTGCTCCAGGGGCCGCTGGGTACTCGCGACGCCGGTACTCCCTGGTAGCGCCACTCGGTACTCCAAAGCCGGGGGATACTTGCCTCGACCTGCGGCGGTCGCCCCTCCCTCGCCCTGGGCCTTGCCTGACTTTGCCCAACTTCGCCTGACCTCCACCCTCAGTTGCGCCTCAGTTCTGCCTGCCTTTCCCCTCTTCGCTTGTACCTACAAGGTCGCCCGGTACCTCCTTCCTCAGCCCGGCTGCACCTGCGATGCGAGTACCTGCTCCCCTGCACGGTCCTTCCCAAGCACCACCTCCGAAAAAATATTTCAGTTATCGCACGCCTCGCCTCCTCTCCTCCCCTTTTCCCTTCTTCTCTTCTCATCACACACCTTCAGTCAACCTGTGTTTCCGCGCAACGCATCGACGTCTGTCTTCTCTCAATCTGTTTCTAGGGCACCAAGCTACCCTGACCCAACTGCCTCCCTCATTGCACCAGAGTTCAAGTCCGACTCTCCTACAAATCACACGTCACGTCATACGCCGACTATAGCAATCCCCTCTCCATCCGACACCATCACCATGTCTGCTACCAACGTGGAGAACGGCCCCGATGCCACCCCCGTTAATGACGCTGCCAACGCTCTGGGCAACCTCTCAATCAACAAGCCTGCCGACGACAAGGCCGCCGCCAACGAGGCCGCCTCAGCCAGTGCCGCTGAGGGCCGCCGTCTGTACATCGGCAACCTGGCATATGCGACAACTGAGGGAGAGTTGAAGGACTTCTTTAAGAGCTACCTTGTGTAAGTGGCCATCCATCCCGCATGTCTACCTGTACCTTGACCCCCAAACTACTGCGCTCCCATCTTTCTTTGTTCTCCTGCCTCGTTTGCCTGGGTTTTGAGCTTTCGAGGCCGGTGACAAAGCACATCCCGCCGCGGTTTGCTTTGGCGGCCCAACTTTGCGACGGTGTCCTGATTGGCGGTGAATGTCACTCCGCCCCGGCGGTGCTCGCATTGCATCGCGCGATTAGCCTCTCACCTACCTCTCATCCCCGCAAGGCCTCAGCCGAGCGCGCAACTTGCCTGTGTCTCGATCTCCCATCTGCCCGCCGTCCTCGACATTGCCGATCTGTTACAGCATGGTGAACATCTACTGACTTGCCGGTGCCTACAGCGAATCAGTCTCGATCCCCAAGAATCCCCGTACCGACCGCCCCGTCGGCTACGCCTTCGTCGACCTGTCTACTCCCAGTGAGGCCGAGCGTGCCATTGCCGAGCTCTCCGGCAAGGAGATCCTCGAGCGCAAGGTCTCCGTTCAGCTTGCTCGCAAGCCCGAGCCTGCTGGCGAGAAGGCCGAGGGTGCCAACGGAGAGGGTTCTGGTGCAGAGGGCCATCGCCGCCGAGCTTCTGGTCGTGGTCGTGGCCGCGGTCGTGGCCGTGGCGGACGTGGTGGCCGTGGTGGTCGCAACGCCACTGGGGTAAGTCATCTTCTTTACCTTGCTGTTGTCCGACTTGGGCGCTGACATGATGATCACAGGACGATGAGAAGAAGGGAAGCGAGGAGGCTTCTGGCGACGCTGCCGGCGAGGGTGAGGCTCTGAGAGACATCACCAACACAGCCTCGGACGAAGCCAAGGGCGACAGGAACGACAAGAAGAGCCAGAACCGCCCTCCGCGTGAGCGCCGTGAGCGCGGCCCGCCCGCTGATGGCATTCCTTCCAAGACCAAGGTCATGGTTGCCAACCTGCCATATGACCTGACCGAGGAGAAGGTGAGTAGCCTATAGCCCATTCTGTTGCGATGTTGTGTACTAAGTGTTATGAGAAGCTTCTTGAGCTCTTCAAGGACTACGAACCTTCGTCAGCCAAGATCGCCCTCCGCCCCATCCCCCGCTTCATGATCAAGAAGCTCCAGGCACGCGGAGAGGCACGCAAGGGACGTGGTTTTGGCTTCGTCACCCTGGCTTCCGAGGAGCTCCAGCAAAAGGCCGTCGCTGAGATGAACGGAAAGGAGATTGAAGGACGTGAGATCGCCGTCAAGGTCGCCATCGATAGCCCCGACAAGACCGATGAGGAGGCCAACGCGCCTCCCGCCAACGGCACCGCCGAGGAGCCTGCTGCCGAGGCTCCTGCTGCTACTGCTTAAGTTCAGTCGCGGCAACTTTTTTTTTTTTCACAAGCTCGACATTGCCCTCTACGCTTGATGAGTACTCTTTATGATATGGCACACGATTTGGACGACTTCAATTATGACGCCGGGACTGGCCTATATATCTTCTTTGAGGTTGGAAGAGAGCTACACGCAGATATTGCTTGAACCTCTGATATCCAAAGTCGGTACAGACCTGCCAGCTCTTTGTTGACAACTTAATATTTCCCCTCCGTCGGAGCATGGGATATGAGACCGAGAAAACTACAAAAAAAGGGCCGCCTCAAAATGTTTGCATTTTTTCCGTAGATGCCTTTCCTCGTTACTGCAACTTCCTCCCAGCCGTGTGCTGACTCCAAGCACGCGGCAGAGAAAGTGGAAAGCCAGGACAAGAATGAAAAAAGAGTATATTTTGGCTGTGAAACTTTGTGTCTGCCCCCTTGAGTGATGTCTTGCCGTGCTCCTTTCCATTCGAAGCGTGACAAAGTTGGCGAGGCTGTCGCATATGACGGGGGGTTTCTGAGCCAAGAAACCTGCTTGCGATTTGGAAGCATATCAGCTATCGTCACAAGCTCCCTCAGTGTAAGGAATCTAGTGTGCTGGATGTTGATGCTGAAGGCTGCCCTGTTCCTGTGAATGCGAATCACGGTCTTTTGTGTAAGTAGCATTGTCCTGGCCTGGGGCTCGCTTGCAGAGCATTTGCACCCGACCCGAGGTTCTACGCGAGAGTGTGTACCGGGAAAATTTGCCCAGTTGAGGTTGTCGCCGTCATGTTAGGGCTAGCTTGAGCGCAGAGAAGGTACAATATCTTGCGCCCTTTGTGTTGGGTATCATGACAATGGCAGAGATTAGGTACCTTCCATTGCTGTGATGGATGAACAGCATTGGTAGCAAGTGGGCTGGCATAGCAGGTTGCCGGCATTCTGGCTTACCTCTAGTCGTTGAGAGTTGAGAGTCTGCAGCAAGATGGAGTTCTCGGCTGCGGTTAGTGGTTGCATGGATGCCACGGATCCACCGCCATGAGGATCGGGTACCTGACCTGGAAGTATCTGTTTCATTGTATTATTGCGCGTGCTACTAACAGCGGGAGGCTACCTATGTACCTACAGTGACGGGAGTCAGTAGGTGTGCAGCAATAGCGCTGTAGGCGCTGTATGTATAGGTGTGCACCTGCACTCCAGTGCTGGCTTCCAGCCCCTGGAGTTAGGTTGTATGTAACCGGACGTGTAAAAAGTAGCGGGTGCTCTCGTATCTACAGACGGCGCTGGGCCGCGAAAACCAATATTACAGGTATGGAGTTTCATGTCTGGGACCACCCCGCTCCACTTGCCGCGACAACCTCCCTGCTGCAACCAGGACCAGTCCAGACCAGCATAAGCAATCACGCGCCGGAGCCTCGACTTCAGACGCCTCTTCCATTGCAGCTGTCTGGTCTTTCTTTGCGCATCTTCTCCTCGAATTCCTACCTCTTGTCACCACCACCGCTGCTCTTCCGATTCGCAATGGCGTCCAAGGCCATGTGGGAGGTTGATCCCGAGACTCGGTCCAAGGTAATCACGGCGCATCTGTTCCCTGCTTCCGTTCCCTCTCTCGCACCCCCTTTCGCCAGCAGTGCGCCCCCCCCCCACGGTCGAACATCAACTGACTCTGACTCTTTCAATCGCTAGCTGGCCGCGCTGCAAAAGGAATCCAAGAACAACGTCTGCTGCGACTGCAATGCCCCGTCGCCGCAGTGGGCGTCGCCCAAGTTCGGCATCTTCATCTGCCTGACGTGCGCCGGCGTCCACCGCGGGCTCGGCGTCCACATCTCCTTCGTCCGTAGCATATCCATGGACGCCTTCAAGGCCAACGAGATCGAGCGCATGCGCCTGGGCGGCAACGAGGGCTGGAGGAAGTTTTTCGAGGAGCACGAGGACACGCAGATGAGGGGCCTCACCTGGGACGATGCCACCATTGCCGAACGATACAGCGGCGAAGTCGGCGAGGAGTGGAAGGAGAGGCTGTCGTGCAAGGTCGAGGGGAGGGAATACGTGCCGGGCGAGAAGAGGCCCGTAACCTCTGCTGCTGCTACTGCTGCTGCACAGTCTCCCGCGAAGCAGGGTTCGCGCACGACTACTCCCCTGGGCGGATCCGCGAACCGAAGCCAGAGCCCTGCCCAGCAGGGCGGAAAGGTCAAAGTGGACGACAGGTACTTTGCCCGGTTGGGCGCGGACAACGCTTCGCGACCAGATGACCTGCCGCCAAGCCAGGGCGGGAAATACGCCGGCTTCGGGAACACACCTGCGCCCGACAAGTCGAGCCAGGGGGGGATGCTGCCGCTGTTTGACGATGTCCAAAAGGATCCCATGGGCGCCCTCACCAAGGGCTTTGGCTGGTTCGCCTCTACCGTCACAAAGACGGCCAAGACGGTCAATGATGGGTACATTCAGCCCACTGCCAAGAGCGTACGTCTTCATCTCGCCGTTTTCTCCAATTCCCCCCCGTATCTTGCACATATCTTGCAGAGTCTTCAAATCTAACTGGGGTTACAGATTGCCGATGGCGAGTTTGCCAAGCAGGCTCAGTTGACGGCCGCACAGCTTGCCAAACAGGCTCAACTGGCCGGCAAAAACGCCCAGGAGGGCTTCACCAGATTTGTCGAGGGTCCCGATTCCACCAGGAGAAACGCCCCCCTGGATGCCAGTCGCAAAGACTTCTGGGATGACTTTTCCAACCTGGCGGAGCAGCAAAAACCCAACAATGCCATTGGCACGAGTGCCATAGGCATGGGCAAGAAGACGACCCCCGCAGCCCCGGCCCCAAAGCCCAAGGGAGGCGACGAGTGGGATGATTGGTAAACAGCTGGGGTGGTTTCACATGTTTGCTTGGCGTTGGAGTACTATGGCCTGAAGAGATACACTTTGACGAAATATGAGCGTTTGGAATACCTAACTTGACAAGACTAATGGCCGTTGTTGAAGACGTGGGCCCATATACTACTACTATGAAGAGTGCCCTCGGCGCAAATTCAAGAGGTTGGACGAGCCTCGGGGGAACATGCCATGACTTATGATGGCGCCGAGATGAGCCTCTAATTTAATATATGATATTTACCTAGTTTAGCAGTCGATATCTCGTGCTCAGCTTGATAACATGTGTGAGTACTCCGTATTGTTGGAGAAGCCATATTGCTCATGGCGAGGAGGTGTCGCATGTTCCACCCACCAAGACGCTATACACCTCGAATCAAATCCCTGTCAAATTTCTCCAAGCATAGCTTCTGTCCGTAAGAACCTCCTTTCTGCATGCATTCAACTGCTTCTCGGTATTTCATTCCATAGGTTAGCTGATGAACCTGCAGCACAGCGATGCCGGCATCGTGTCACGTGAGGCAGTATCCGAGGTTGCTCGGAAGCCGGCCCTAGCCGGCAGCTGCACGTTCGGCCTGGTTTCTTGGGCCGGCTATTTCATATGTGACATCGAGACGTCCCTCCTCCTGGCCGCATCCAACCCAACCAACCCATCCAGCTCAGCACAATGTCGGCCCTGCGGATTCTCGTCCCTGTGAAGCGAGTGATTGACTATGCGGTAAGGTGCCTCGCTTTCTGAGCTCAGAGAACGCCGGCCAAACTGACCCGAAAATGCGTTGCAGGTCAAGCCGCGAGTCAACAAGGCGCAGACCGGCGTGGAGACGGCCGGCGTCAAGCACTCGATGAACCCGTTCGACGACCTCTCGGTAGAAGAATCCGTGCGGATCCGCGAGAAGAAGCGCGCCCCCGGCGGCGTGGAGGACATTGTCGCCTTCTCGGCCGGCCCGCCCAAGGCTCAGGAGATTCTACGGACGGCGCTGGCCATGGGCGCGGACCGGGGCGTCCACGTGGAGCTCAAGGAGGGCGAGGAGCTGGAGCCGCTGACGGTGGCCAAGCTGCTCAAGAAGTCGGTGGAGGAGCAGAAGAGCAACTTGGTGATCTTGGGCAAGCAGAGCATCGACGACGACGCGGGGCAGACGGGCCAGATGCTGGCGGGCCTGCTGGGGTGGCCGCAGGCGACGCAGGCGAGCAAGATTGAGTTTGGGGCCGACGACGCGGTGACGGTGACCAAGGAGGTTGACGGCGGCGTGGAGACGGTGCGGGCGAAGCTGCCGATGGTGATCACGACGGATCTGCGGCTCAACACGCCGCGGTATGCGACGCTGCCGAATATCATGAAGGCGAAGAAGAAGAAGCTGGACAAGAAGACTCTGGAGGACTTTGGGCTTACGAATGAGAAGAGATTGAAGGTGTTGAAGGTTACGGGTAAGTTTTCCCTTATTCCTCTTCCTACGGCTTTTGATGTCGTTGTGATCCTGGGACATGGCTAATGGAGTTTGCTTGACAGAGCCGCCGCAGAGACAGGGTGGTGGCAAGGTTGAGGATGTGGATGGGTTGATTGGCAAGTTGAAGGAGCTGGGTGCTCTGTAAGGGGATGTACGAGGAGTTGTTTTAATTGAATTGCTCAACAATATATATGTCTGATATATATAGGAGGGTGGTGTCAACTCGACGACACTCAACATAGGACTTATACAAGATATAGGAGGCTCTAATGATTGAACATCTTCTTCATAGATTTGTCTGCAGATGACAGCATACCTACTAGAGACAATCTGATGTGTTGTGGTTGATGATACAATCTGCCCCGCCATCTGTCTCTTGCAGACTGTATATATCTGTGTTAGGGCCACTACATCTTTATCGCAACTGTGAAACAGTATCTATGAATAGGTAGCTCTGCATCCTATTACTATGCTCTGCCGCCAATCTATAATATCCACATATCCTCATCTATTCGCACGTCCCGTTTGCCATTCTTCTTTCAATGACTGCATTCAATGACAAAACAGGGCACACGAGCCACTACGATATCGGCGCCCCAGAGCTGGCCCAAGCAGGACTAGCGTCTCCTCGATCACGTCAAACTCCGCCATTCGACCAATCACCAGCCGCCAATTAATCGTTGGCCGGCTTCTCTATGAGGCACAAACGGGAGGGAAGAAAAAAGTCGATTGCGCTAAACCTTTATCTGACTCCTCCAGCTGCACCCTATTTTCCTTTCCACTTCTCGCTCTTCTTCCTCTCTTCTTTTTTCCTCCTCCTCACCATCCGTCAGAAAGAGTCACCATTATAGTCCTCGCACCTTGTGCCAACTCGCATCAACGCTTCACTTCTCCAACTTCCAATAGAGTGCCTCGAGCCTCGAACTTACATCTTCGACCTGCCGTTTCTCAATCCGCCCTTATGAACGGGCGCCCGTCGGAATTCACTTCTCAGGTATGGTTGAACATTTTCTCTGCTTCTTTTCCTCTTTCGTGCTGCAACGTCGATGCCCACGTTCTCCCCACGTGCCCCTTGACGCAAATCGTCCCTCCTCCCCACAATTGGGCAGATGTTGGATCAAGCCCTCGTTTGTTGGATTTGAAAATTGGGAATTGCATCAATTGGGTTCAAATTGCTAATATTCTTGTGACTACAGGACTATCTTTCTGGTTGGTGCCACCATGACTCACCTCCTCCTCCCCCCCTCATTAAGCAAACTAACACAAGCATCACCATAGACCACCTGTGGAGGGCTTTGTCAGCTTAAAACAGCATCACACGACGATCGTCTGCTATAATCTCTGAAATCACCAAACCAACATACCGTATCCCGAACCAACCGCTGCCATGTTCTCCAAGCTGGCAGCCAATTTCGCCCAGCGAGCGGCCGGCTCTGCTGCCGGCTCCGCCCGCCGGGTGGCCTTCCAGACCCGGTTCTCGTCCGGCCAGGCTGTTGCCAACGGCAGCAAGGGCAGGAAGATGCCCTTCCAGAAGCCGCTGAACACTCAGCCTGTGGCGTCTACGCCGGCCACGTTTACCATTCGGGTAAGATGCGCCATGTATACCTCTGAAAGCATGTGTCTCAAGACAGAGAGCTGACATGAACCACAGGACGGCCCCGTCTTCCGCGGCAAGGCCTTTGGCGCCAATGCTAACATCTCTGGCGAAGCCGTCTTCACCACGTCTCTGGTCGGCTATCCCGAGTCCATGACGGACCCCTCCTACCGAGGCCAGATCCTCGTCTTCACCCAGCCCCTGATTGGCAACTACGGCGTTCCCTCCAACGAGCGCGACGAGTACAACCTCCTCAAGTACTTTGAGTCTCCCCACATCCAGTGCGCCGGCGTGGTCGTCTCCGATGTCGCCCTCAACTACAGCCACTGGACTGCTGTCGAGAGCCTGAGCGAGTGGTGTGCCCGTGAGGGTGTGCCCGCCATCTCCGGCGTCGACACTCGAGCCATCGTCACCCACCTCCGAGAGCAGGGTTCTTCCCTCGCTAGGATCTCGATTGGCGACGAGTACGATGCCGATGAGGACGAGAGCTTTGTCGACCCCGGCCAGATCAACCTGGTCAAGCGCGTCAGCACCAAGGCTCCCTTTGTTGTCGAGTCGCCCGGTGCCGACCTCCACGTCGCCCTCATCGACTGCGGTGTCAAGGAGAACATCCTCCGCAGCCTGGTCAGCCGCGGCGCCTCGCTGACCGTCTTCCCCTACAACTACCCGATCCACAAGGTGGCCCAGCACTTTGACGGAGTCTTTATCTCTAACGGCCCCGGCGACCCGATCCACTGCCAGGAGACCGTCTACAACCTGGCGCGCCTGATGGAGACGTCGTCGGTACCCATCATGGGCATCTGCCTCGGCCACCAGCTGCTGGCCATGGCCGTCGGCGCCAAGACGATCAAGATGAAGTACGGCAACCGAGCCCACAACATCCCCGCCCTGGACTTGACCACCGGCCAGTGCCACATCACAAGCCAGAACCACGGCTACGCCGTCGACTCGAGCACCCTGCCCCCGGATTTCAAGGAGTACTTTGTCAACCTCAACGACGGCAGCAACGAGGGCATGATGCACCGCACCCGCCCCATCTTCTCGACCCAGTTCCACCCGGAGGCCAAGGGCGGCCCCATGGACAGCTCGTACCTCTTTGAGAAGTACCTCGAGAATGTCCGCGCCGCCAAGAGCGCGCAGCGCGTCTACAAGGACAACCGGCCCAGCCAGTACATTCTTGATGTTCTGAGCAGGGAGCGTGTCGGCGTTGAGCCTGTGCCTCTTGTTGGTGCTGCTTAAGTCTGGGAGAGTCAATGGGTTTGATATGGGTTAACAGATTGATCATGGGCGTTTTTAAAGGTCCTGAGGGATCGTGGTTTGCGCATTGCTTTGACACTAGTACTTGGAAAAGACATTAGTATATCACTTTGAGAGTTTTCAATGCAAACATTAGACATATTTCATCATATAGTCATGAGCCTACTGTACCTCGTACCTGTCCTCTGACGTGAACAATCACTACACCACTTCTACCTGAAAAAAATGGCTTGGTGAGTTTTAACTGGAAGTGCCTTGTTCCAGAAGCTTTGGAAATCGGTACACACTGCCTTGGGCAAGATGGGTAGGCAACTTTCGTCTTGTGGCTGGCGAGAACAGTATGGAAGCTCGAATGGCTCTAGTGTGACGTGGGGGAAAGACGACAGTTTCTGGGAGAAATCTGAGGAAATAATTGAGAATGTCTATGGACAAAGGCAGTTGTTCTAAACTACCTAGGTGCCTACTTACTACCTCTCACCTAAGGTAGTCAGTCTACCCGGGACAGTAGGTGAATATTTATGAAGCAGTTCAAGTGATGCTCTGATGCTGCTTCTGGGCTGATGAAGAGGCAATTTTGGATTGAGTTTGGGAGTCTGATGAATCCTACCTACATGTACCTTAGCTTATGTCCTTCCATGATTCTATCTAAAAGGGCATCTGTGCAGCGTCAATCCACCCAGGGGAACTTTATAAGTTAACTCCCTGTATAGGCCTGCTCGCAGCTCAATCCATGTTAAGAAGCTGAAATACAGTCGTTGATTGCACCCTAGACTCATGTGTGCGTTTCCAGTCCTTTTTTTGCGCTTCGAGTCCTCGATGAGAACCCCAACAAGGACTCGGGAGTGTTCCCAAGCCAAGGCTCATGAATGTATTACACCGACTAAAGTCTACCTACCTGGTGATAACTATAGGTAGTTCAGGTAGAAACGATTAGCATTCTGGCTCTTACTTCATAATAATATGCCTGTTTATCACTGGGTCCAGCTAGTTTGCTTGCATGCAACAACGGACGGATAAGGGGCCTTTGATGCAGCGGCCACGAGACCCAAATCATTAGACATTGTGTCTTTCATTCCTGGTATGTTTTCTTCAAATTGGGCAAAAGTAAGAGTTATGTATAGTATAATTCATGAGGACGGCCAAACCGAAGAAGTATCATATTGCAAAACGTAGAATCCTTAGCCCTTCCTGCACACCCCGCTTGAATTGAGTTCTGGCCAAGACGGCGTAAGATTGTGGAGTTGGCTGAGCTGCTTAATTAGTGCTCTGGGGATAGAGTCCAACCGAAGCTGCGCTTGTCTCAAAGCTTGTCTCTTCCCTTGAGCATGATGATATTGGAGAAGTGGATGGAATTATCACTTTCGTAGATCAATATGTTAATAACCTTAAGGGGCAATATTTCTTTGGAGAATTATAAAATCATCGCTGTGTGTAATACCGAAGACGAACGCTTCCCCAGATCACCAATAATGTCCATTCATCATCTCTCCCCACGGCATCGACTTGAGATACGATGAATCGATTCAGCCCCCCCGGACCAACACGTCAGGGCAGACCTAAAATCCCCAGCTCGCGTGATTACTTGTGTAATATAGGTGCTACATACCTTTCTTGTCGTCGTTGAAGGCCTAGTATAAGTCAGTAAGTAAGTATCAGCTTGCTCTGCCCCGCCATCAGGATTTGATCAAGTCCCAGCCATGCTTGCATTTTGCAAGGTTCCCCGCCTTTTGATACCGGGTGGCATCGCTGGCTAAATCATATCGAGGAGAAAGTGTGGGGTGGGCAAGTTTTATGCTCCGTAGCATCAAGGTTGGGAGCCAACCCGTGTCCCCGCTTGGTGACGTCTCAATGTTGGCTTCATGTCACAGATGAGCTTGCAAGAGGGAAATCACAGTACGATTACGGATGGAGTTGAGCATCTGAGCAAAGTCGATGTAAAGATCATTCCATTCATATCATAATACTACAGCTGGTTCTTCACGAACGCGGCGGATCTAGATCCGTAAAAATGTTTACTACACAACCAGGCTTCCCGCTGGCGATTGATGGCACGGCGTCGCGCTTACGCTTACACGTCAATGCCGTCCACGACGACGCCCTTGGTCCAGTTCCACTGGAGGAGCCGGGCCACCTCCTCGGCACACTTCTCATCCACCAGGGCGCTGACGAGATACAGAGATGCATCCACGCCAGCGCTCTGGCCCCCCGCGGTGATCACCCGGAGACCACCGAGGCGCATCGCCACGCGGCGGACAATCGACTCGCGACGTGTGCGGGATTCCTTGAAGGAAATGCTCCCCTTGCTGTTGTTCAATGACGCTCGTTAGCATGGAACCCCCAAATAGAGAGCAAAGTACAGTAGAGTAGCTTACCGGCCGTGGGGCTTCCCAGCATCCGACTTGCGGCGCGTGTATGGGCTGGCATCCTCGTCAAGCTCAAAGCGGAGGTTGTTGACGACATATCGAGCGTCGTCCATGACGTCGGTGCGATCAGTCCCGAGTCTGGTGCAGGCATCGCTGCACAGGTTCTCAAAATGGGTGATGTGGTCGGGGTGAGTGGTGGCAGCGAGGCCGCAGAGAATGCCCTCGTGCGCGAGCAGGTGGGCGCCGGTGCAGACCGACAGCATGGTTCGTTCTCTGGCTGGGTCTCTCTTCTGAAGGTCGGAGAAGGCGGTGATGATGCCAAGCGGCTCAAGTTCCTTCTTGATGACCTCGTCGGTGTTTCCACCGAGAATGATGAGAACGTCAAACTCGTTGATGCGCTCGTGAGCCTCTTTGTACGTGATCTGGGACTGCACGATGGCGCCCTGGGAGGAGAGGACCTGCGGCTCAGCACCGGCAAGGGTCACTTCAAATGCCTTGGAGGCTATTCAGGTGCGGGGAACAACTGGTTAGCATTTGGAACCCAGCATAAAAGGGGAACAGCCACCGCGGCCTGCTTCACGAGTTCGAATACATACAGTCATCGGAGAAGTCGTGCTGCGCTGCGCTAAAGACAGCCAATGGACCGGAAAAGTCAAGAATGTCGAACTTGGGGTGCAGGGCAATGAGGACGTTGATGGGCTCATCAGAGATGGCCGAAGTCTTACTCTCAGCCATCGCGAAATGCGGGGGGATGTGTGAAGAGGGAGAAGAGACAAAAGAGGTGATTCAGATGGAATTGACGGCTTTGGGGATGCAAGCCGCAAGCGTGTGATGAGGATTGGGGTGGTGAGGAGAAGGAGAAGACGTGCGATGCTGTCAATTGGGAGGATTTGGGGTATAATGATGGAAGAAGAGGGAAGAAGAGGAGGAGGAAGAGAGGGACGAGAGGACGAGATGAAATACCTGTGACCTTTAGGCGAGGAGGGGTTCAGGGCTCTACCTAGAAGGGGAGAGGGGATCACGCGCGAGCAGGACAATTGGTCGAGACGGCCGGTACCTCGTCGCGCATTGAATCATCAGCGCATCTGGGCGTACTCGCCGTCGTGCCTTGCTTCGTGCCGTCGCCGACGGTTGATGCTGATCTGATTCGGCGTGGCTCGATACATCCGCACCGTACCACCACTGCGGAGCCCATCGAGCCACCAACAGGCTACCGCCAGCACTGATCGTGCACTGATGGCCCAGGGTTTGCAGCGCTAGAGCTGCTGTGGCTCCAGCGGGCTCCAGCGGGCTCCAGCAGGCCCATTGCGGGGTAATAGCACCAGAGCCGGCAGAGGGCAGAGCGCGACAGGCAGGGTACGGCAGGCTGGCAGTACCGGGGACCTGCTGTGTCGCTGCTAGCGGGGTGCGTCGCAAGGTTCTCGGGACTTGCCCTGCTCGTCAGTGGGCTACGCCGCATCCGGCACTAGCGCGTCGCTGTGCTTGTCCGGCCTTTGCAAATCCGTCTTGCAAGCTCAAACATCCTCCCAAAAGCTTGATCCCTACCTAGCCGGGCTAAACCTCCCAGCAAATCCAGCCGCGCAACACTCGGAGCTCCCAACGGCGAGGCCCCTGAATTTCGACCGCCCGGCAGCTCACAGCGCTTCTCTTGCCTCTGCTCCAGCTTCAGCTCGGCTCCGACTCCTCTGCCGGAAGCGTCCCTCACCTCTGGCGGCGGCCACGCTGGCCTCACCCGCGGCCTGGGCGCACATCCCGCCGTGATGGCTTCTACAATGTGAGTGCGACTGCCTATCAACGGGTCCTGCGAGGCACCTCGAGCTGCTCTGTGGACGGATAAAACTGACGCGAGCGAACCCCCCCCACCCACGGCAGATCCCTCAAGGAGCTGTCCAAGGCCATCAAGGACTTCATCGTCGACCCAGCCGTGCCCCTTCCCGACGATCTCGTCGACACGATAGCTGCCTACCTGCGCAAGCGCGAAAAGTATGACGACGCCGCGTCCGATCGCCTGCAGGAGGAGCTGCTGCTCATCTTTGATAAGAATGTCCGGGGCAACCCTGCCGCGGCGGGCGCCTGGCTGGGCATCCTGCGCCGGCTCCTGACTGTGCTGCGCACCCCCGAGCGCATCCTCGTCTGGCTGGAGGCGTGCAAGGGCATTCTCGACAAGACGGGCTTCGACAAGAACGTTGTCGCCGAGGCCATGGAGTTTCTCAACGAGGTTGTCGCCATTACCGACGAGTACCAGGACGACGCCGGCGACGACTCCGCGGTGAATCCCATCATCGACCGACTGTTTGAGATATGGATGGAGGAGTTTCAGCCGGCGCGCTTCGAGGGCAATCAGCCGTCGGAGCATAGCGAAAAGATGCTTGGCGATGCCTTGGGGAACTTTGGGAAGAAACGACCAAAGGTATGGACGACATATTGACGAGATTCTTCACCCTGTCCATCATCATCATCATCCTTCTCTGCCTGGACTAACGGAATCAGGAATTTTTCTCTTCGTTGGACGGCTATCTGATCAAGAAGAAGTATCGAAAAGCCAGCCTCAACTTCATTTGCTCCTTTATCCAGTCGCAGCCGCCTCACCTACACCAAGTGGCTCAAACGCCTCTCTTCACCGATCTCTTGACGTGCCTTCAGCAGGACACATCGACCACTGTCGTCTCGGCTGCGCTCACCGCTCTCATCATGCTTCTGCCCCATATGCCCAGCTCTCTTGTGCCGCATCTGCCTACGCTGTTCAACATCTATGCCAGGCTACTCTTCTGGGAAAAGGAGAGGTCAGGTACTCTGGAGTCGCCCTTTCACGACTCCGAGCAAGCGAGCCGCTGGGAGGTATATGCCTTTGAGCCGGAGACGGAAGATACCAACATACCACACCTGTCGCACTACTACACGATTCTCTACGGCCTCTATCCCATCAATTTCATGGATTACATTCGCAAACCGCAGAGATATATGCGGCACGCCAACGTGTCCAACGCTGATGAGATTGAGGTGCAGCCGACGGAGATTCGGCACCAGTCGGAACAGTTCAGGAGGAGCCATGTGCTCCATCCCAACTTTTATACACTCACTATCGAGACGGAGAAGACAGACGTGGGGCGATGGATCAAAAGCGAGGCCGCCGAAGTCGTGGCTGAATGCATGGCGCTGTGCATCTCCCCAGACTCGCAAATGTTTGGCGACCACGACCTGTTGCACCTCACGCAGTCGTCGGCCCAGGCTCTCAACGACGACCTGAGTCAACTGAGATCAGACCCAGGCTTGCTGAGCAGCTCAGTGACCAAGGTGAACTCGTGGAGAAATACCCACCTATCGATGACAGAGTCCATCGCCAGCGACCATACGCCGCAGCGTCGGGGGTCGCAATCCAGTCATCATTCGGCGAGGGACTCTGGCGAAGCGACCCGCGCCAAGGACTTTGGGGTAGATGGCCCTTCAGGCACGCAGCTACTCCAATCGGCCTCTCACACCCAGCTTCAGGATCTCATCAGGTCGAACAAGGCGATCAAGAGCAGTCTCCACCAGTCTCTGGCAAACGACAGTGTGCCGTCGCTCGCTCTGAGCCATCAAGAGTCAGTTGCGGATAGGCCGCTAACGATGATGACGCTGCCGCCGCAAACACAGACGCCTGTATCGGCCGATAATGGAAACAATGCGCAGATTGCTCACCTGCAACGTCAGCTTCTCCTGCTGCAAAATGACCTCAGCTTTGAGCGATACCTCAAACAACAACACATGGCCCACATCGGCGAGCTGCGGCGGCGTCAAATGGCGGAGGCGGCCACGGAGGCGGAAATGCAGAATCTCATCATGATGAACCGGAACCTCAAGAGTCGCTACGAAGAGGCCAAGATGGCTGAGATGCAAGTCCGCAAGGAGTCAGAAAAGAGCCGGGCCATGGCAAAGAAGTGGGAAGCGGATTTGGCCAACAAGCTGAAGAACCTGCGCGAGGAGTCAAAGAAGATGCAGACGGAGATTGACTCGTTGCGGAAGGAGCTCGAAGAGAGCCTGCGCGAATGCGAGAAGCTGCGAAAGCTGGTCTGCGACGCCGAGGTGAAGGAGCTGAATGCAAGGCAGAACATGCAGTCGATTGAGATACACGGCGCAGAGATTGACCGACTCAAGGCAGAGGTGGAGCGGCTGTCGCTGTCGGAGAGGGACTACCAGGCGAGGGAGGTGGAACGGATGGCGGCCGTCAACGCAGCCGAAGACGCCCAGAATCAGGTGGAAACACTCAGGCTGCAGCTGACGGCCTCTGAGCTGGAGGTGCAGCGAACGAAGAAGCTGTTCCAGTCGCAGGTGGCAGCACTCCAGGCCCAGCTCTCAGAGGCCCGGGAGGAGCGCAACAGGCCCGCGACGGCGAGCGTGGCGGTCGAGAACGCTCTTGCGGCGAGCCGTGCCAAGCAGGCGGAGATGCAGAAGCAGTACAGCCTGCTGACGCGCAAGTACACGGTGCTGCAGTCGTCACTCCTGGACATGCAGCTGGAGGCGTCGGTGGCGACGGAGAAGTCGAGCATCGCGGATGGCGAGGAAGACGGCATGTCGTCGTCGACGGGGCCCATGTCGATGAAGTCGAGGCCGCTCCGACTGTTGTCGACGGCGGAGACGGGCGAGGGCTCGGGGTACAACGCCACATCCTCGCCCGGCTCGAACCCGGGGACTCCCACGTCGTCTGTACTGCAGCCGCTGCAGCCAACCAGCTCCGCGGGGACGGCCGGGACGGACGGCCAGGGGTCGTCGTTGAATCTGTCGATGAGCCCGGAAAGGAGCTATTTTAGCGGTAAGTCGACATTGTTGCCCTCGTTTCTGCCCTTGTGGGAGCTCCGGCTGGAGAGTGGGACGGACGGCTGTACTAATTCCGCATAACAACAGGTGGGCTCCAGAGCATGATTCGCCGAGACAGCAAAGACAAGAAGGACGACTCTGGCAAGCCCAAGAAGGAGAAGAAGTCCTTGGGGCTGAGGGGTATCAGGGGATTTGTCGGCAGCAGCTAGGTGCGGCCGTTTTGGCCTGCCATTCTCTACCAGTGGTAGATGATGATTTCATGGGGAAATTTTTATCTTTGCGGGTATATGATAGAACCAGGACGGAGTATAATGGGGAGTTGATGCATGACTAGATTGGGCAATTTGCGATTATGAGACACGAATGTCGATTGTTTGGTCGACTAATGAGGAGACAGCATCCATCCAGCTGTTACGTGCTCTGTAAGAGGAGGTTATTTATATATGATGAGATGGTATTTGTCGAATGCCTTGTGTAGTGATTCACACAAGTTATCTTTACTTGATTCTCTCCGTCGACTGATTTCATGCTAGACAAGCCAATGACAGGGACCTAGGTAAGTAAAAATGTGAGTACATAGTAGTTGCAGACTGGATGCCTATCCTAAGGTAGGTATGTATCTTGTTCATGGGCAAAAATCAGAAATTCCACCAGCAGAGAGAGAGAGAGAGAGAGAGAAGAGGCTAAGCATGCAGGTACGCTTTGAACACACACAGCACACTGGCGGAAGGCTTACGCAACCTCCATGGGTGTGTGTGTGTGTGTGGTCCCCTGAGCCAGTTTGGCTGTTTTTGCTGCGTTAGCGGGGTGAGCCACAAACGTGGGATACCGAGGAGCCGGGGGGAAAAAACATAAATAGTATTGTAGGGTTGTATCTCAGTTGCGAGATTGCAGATTTTTATTTGGTTCATGGCTTGTTGAGAAGGTGGGAAGAAGAGGATATCTTGTGATAGGAATAAGGGTGGTCTGGACTGGACATCCCAGGAAGAAGTGCGGTGTATTATTGCAATAAGTGTGTGGTATGAATGTACGTTGGGCGGGTTTTGAGAATACGATGTGATGTTGGGGTTTTTGTCCTGTTTGGGTTGAACACGAGGTCACGGGGGGTGCTTTGCTTTGCTTTGCATGGGCCTGGTACCTTTGGATTTGCTGTTGACTTACGAAATGTGTGGTGATGGCCACAGATGACTTTGTTTTCAATGCCTCTAGAATCCTGGAGTTTCGGTTGTCCGACTTGAGCAGGGACTTGACTCTAAGAGTGTGGTAAGGAAAAGGCATCTCTGCCTGGCATTTATTTTGCACCGACGACGAACGTATAGTACGTAGTTAGTATAGCAGAACCGGGGGAGTGTTCATGGATGCTGGTGCAGCCGCTGGTGGCTGCTGCTTGTCATGTCTTGTCTTGTCTTGCATGCGCCTCGGCGCTTGGATACAAGATTCATACTCGTAAGAGGTCACACAGGCAGTCTTGTTTCGCCGTGTTGTCGCAGTGAATGATATGATGACGATGCACGTACATACATACATACATACATACTCATGCCTAGACACAGTGCAAGGTAACATTGGTCTGGTAGTATTACGGGCATTGCGTGTTCGTTGTGAGTCCGTTTGTTTTACCAGTGATGATCATGATGCGATGGCCTGGCTGATGACGTCGATGTTTCCTCCTCTTTGTACATACTATGTACAGTAGCTCACACAACAAGAAAGACGGAAAAAAACAAAAATAGCAGCGCATCGAAAAACTGGGATCGGGGGGAACCAATCGAGAGAGGCATTTTCTGTTCTCTCCCATTCGATGGAGACCTTTTTTTTCCCTTTCGTTCTCCGGCTCTTTTCTTCCTTTTTCTATGGGCACTTTTTCGATCCACTGGGCTAGATGGGGTGGTCCGGTTTTTTTTTTATACCGGGGAAGAGGTGGGCCGGTGAGAGGACAGGCCGTCTGGGCCGAGAAAACGGATCTCAGTGATTGTGAATACCTATGAGAAGATATGGACTGTTTCCTTGTGTGTCTTGTTGTGAAAAGGGTTTGTCTAGTGAAGCCCCTGTGGCTTGATTTAGGGGATCAACTAAGGCGCTTCGTAGCACTGCATGGAAGCCTCATTCATGGGGGAATTACGCAGAAAAAGAGTGAAAAAGAAAAAAAAAAAAAAAGTTGAGCGGTGGCGTGGCGTGGCGTGGCGTGGCGTGGATCGGATGGTGGTGTGTGGATGGTGGTGATGGCGTGTGGGTTGTGTGTGGGTGTGGGTGTGGATGTGGGTGCCATCTAGAGTCCTGTGCCTTGCTTTCTCTTCGGCAACTCGGCCAATGTCAAACCCCCCAGGAAGCTCGTATCCCGATGGCATGCTGCACGTCTCCGCTCCGGGGGGGCATGGCTGACGTCTGTCAGTCTTGTCTGTCTGTCTGTCTGGCTGGCTGGCTGGGTTCGGTAGACTGTGGCTTGCCCGTTCACACGAGTTTTTATAAGCCTCGTACTCTCCCTCCTCCCGTGGTCGATATATCCAGTCCTCGTCATCCCCATCGCTTGTTCTTGGTGGCTGTTGACCTCGTCCCTTCGCTTGACACCCAAGAAACCACTCGTTTCTTTCTTGGCTGTATCTCATTCGCTTCTAAATCATTACAACAACGACACTTGAAGCGTCACAACAATAATCAAAACCACCAACAGAGGACACCAATCAAGATGCCCTCCTCATCCACCCTCCTCGCCCTGGCCACGGCCCTCTCGGCCGTCAACGCCGCCTACACGGGCTTCAACTACGGCTCGACCTTTACCAACGGCCAGCCCAAGGCCCAGACCGACTTCGAGGCCGAGTTTAAGACGGCCGCCGGCCTCGACGGCACCGACGGCGCCTTCACCTCGGCCCGCCTCTACACCATGATCCAGGCCGGCACCGCAAACACGCCCATCTCCGCCATCCCCGCCGCCCTCAGCACCAAGACCAGCCTGCTCCTCGGCCTGTGGGCGTCCGGCGGCGACGCCGCCTTCGCCAACGAAATGGCCGCCCTCAAGAGCACAATCAGCCAGTACTGCGACCAGAACCTGGGCGACCTCGTCGCCGGCATCTCCGTCGGCAGCGAGGACCTCTACCGCATCACGCCCACGGGCATCGCCTCCCACGCCGGCGACGGCGCCCAGCCGGGCACGCTCGTCAACTACATTGGCCAGGTCCGCGACGCCATCAAGGGCTCGTGCCTGGCGGACGTGCCCATCGGCCACGTCGACACCTGGAACGCCTGGGTGCTCGACTCCAACAAGCCCGTCGTCGACGCCGTCGACTGGCTCGGCATGGACACGTACCCTTACTACGAGAACACCAACGAAAACTCCATCACCAACGCCAAATCCCTCTACGAGGCCGCCCTCACCAAGATCCAGAACGCAGGGCCCGGAAAGCCCGTCTGGGTCACCGAGACCGGCTGGCCCGTCAACGGGCCCAAGTCTGGCGCTGCTGTTGCTTCGACGGCCAACGCCCGCGAGTACTGGCTGCAGGTTGGCTGCCCCAACTTTGGCAAGGTCAATGTCTGGTGGTACACGCTGCAGGATGCCGCGCCGGATGCGCCCAACCCCAGCTTTGGCGTCATTGGCAGCCAGCTGACGGAGAAGCCGCTGTATGACCTGTCTTGCAAGGACGTGGATACCAAGCCGCAGCAGCCTGAGACGACGACGACGACGACGACTTCTGGCGCAGTTACTGAGACTACTACCTCTGCTGTTGCCTCGTCTACTGAGGAGGCTTCGACTACGACCGAGGCTGTTGCTTCTACCTCTACTGTCTCAGAGGTCCAGACCACCACCGTCGAGTCTCAGACCACTGCTGTTGCGACTGTGACTACCGGCTCCGAGCAGACCACGGTTTCCGAGGTCCAGACTACCGTCCAGACCACCAGCTTCCCCGCCATCACTGCTCCCACATCCGTCGTCGTCATCGTCCCCACGACCTTGTCTTCTGCTCCCTTCCCCAGTTCCAACAGCACTGCGATCGGCGGCGGCTCCCCCTCTGCGTCTGCTCCTGGATCCAGCCCCAGCTCGCCTTCCACGACTAACATTCCTGGAAGCAGCGGTAGCAAGCTGAGCTCTTTCGGAGCGGCTGCTGCTGCTATTGCTGTGGCTGCCATTGCTTTGTAAGGCGGATGAGGTCTCGTATATATGAAGGCTCTTTTTCTATGAAGACAGGAGCTAAAAGAGTGGTACTCTTGGGATATAAGGAGGTATATAATACCGCTTAGGGGAAGATGACCCTTTAATGACTTTGACGGGATTTTCTACACATCTACCTAGAGATGCTTTGGTAGATTGGATGATTACTACTATGTACTTTTATGCCTTGTACGTCTTGTAATGGATAATGGACGACATAATGAAAGGCATTGGCATTTTTATATAGATGGATATAATGGACACACTCCTTATATTGACACCACGAGATTTGCTCTACCAGTAATTTGACATGCTCGCTATATATATGTATATATCGATTGACTTATCACTGCTCGGTGATAACCCAGAATCCCCTATCCCGCCTTCTTTTATCTTCCCCCTTGAAATACAAGAATTGTAAAGTCTTCAGTGGAAGCACAGCTCCCTGCCAACAGATTCTACCCTGCTATACCTATACTATCAAACAGCTTGACACGAAGCTGAATTAAATTCTCTTCATCAGGTGTTCAAATATGGGATTGCTCGTCTTGAGAATTGGAAGTCGAGAACCTCTGTCTGCTTATAGATAACATGAAGCCACATGCCCTCCTAATCGCGAATTGTAAAGTCAATGTCAATGCAGCTGCAGTGCTTGTCTTATTTCTCAACTTAACTAGAGAAGGGCATTCTCCTTGCCGTCTCCTATTCCTACCCAAACATGTGCTTAGAGGCCCTTATGATACAGAGGTCATGCCTGAACTGATAGTCACTCGCGTACCTGACCTGATAGATGCTCCACTTCTAATTGGGTTTGAAAACCGTGGATCCTGGTTCACCTGACATGTGCTTCAAGCGCGTTTATTGGCTGAATTTGAACGACGACTCACTATTAAACAAGGTGTCAGCTCAGCTCAGCTTCCACCATTTATTGCGAATGCATTCCCCTTCTTCTCGCATATAACACGATATGTCCCATCCATCAACCCGTGAAGCAACTTCAAGATTTAGTATCCCTTTAGATGCGGTAAGGTGCCAGCCGGGTCACTGCACCCATAACGGCTTAATAAGCAAGCGCTACCTTCAAGTACCTGGTTCTGCACAATTGCAATGCCTAGCAGCGCGTACTATCAAGTAGCGGCCTTCACTGCCGGTACTTTAGAATTGCGCAAAACTTGGTGGGATTTCAGGTACTCCCTTGACACCCTCATATGATTGGCGCAAATCCTCGAACTCTACATTGCTGGCACCTTACCGCATCTAAAGGGATAGGCCACTCGGGGGCCAAGGCCGAGGCCTAGCGTGCCAGCTGAACCAACAGCATGCAGGTCCCCAGACTCCCCCACCAGCAATGCAACATAACGTTTCAAGCAGAGGAATCGGCCAAAGAGTCAACCACAAGCAACACTTGAAGAATATAAAAAGAGCAAAAAGAAGCAAAAAGAGAAAAACATACAACAGCCGGTGTTCGCCAGTGGTCACCCACCTGACTACTAATCTGCCGGTTAGTGGCTTGTCTATGGGGGAGCAGACGGGACCCCGAATTCTCCACTACCTATGGTCGTATGTGCAAGCTTAGCAGGCGAAAGTGGTCTATGTTCTGACTCCCTCGTGGTGAGGATTGGTGATGTCTCGCCAAGTATAGACTGAATCTTCTTCATTTGCTATACTATAGCATATATAGGTGGAGATCTATGTCACTATATCTATGTCACTATATTATAGATACCTCAGCAGATCGATATAGCAGATGCTTCTATACTGCCCCTTGATGTAACATGATCTATATTTTACCTACTGTCATGTTCAGGGGTCAAGACAACAACAGATGACTTCTGGCCCAAGTGGCAATGTACAGACCAACACTTGGTGACCCTTTATACCTCACCATCTGCTGTGTTTATGAACAAGCCGCGAGCTTTGTATGCAAAGCATGGTTTCCCCCCATTGTATCTTCCCTCCTTGGCTTTTCTCCTCTCGAAACAATGAGGTACTTTTCTTCGCCATTACTATGCCCTTGAGGACCAAAACACCAGGCGCCCTCACTGTAGACACGTCTCACGACGCTTTCTCGTTCGTTCAAACCTCCCCTTCACTAATAATCACATATAATAAAGATAGATCCATAATACTCACATAACGTAGCACCTCATAGACCCCCTTAATCTATAATTTTGATTATGGTATTCATTGAGCAGTGATTACGGAATTTCAGGTACAAGCAAGCATGATGATAATAAGAACATTCAAGGGAACTGATCTTGAGTGAGAGATAATCCTCTCTCGTTTCCGGTAGCCCGGGCCCCCAGTGCCGAAACCCAAGATGCTCAGTGCCAGTATGTACATGTACTTTCCATCGACAGACATCATTCGAGGGCGATTGTTTGGAACGTACGATCGGCCTTGAGCCAGTCTTTGAAGAAAACAAAGCCAGCACCAATTCGACGCGCAAACGGGGATCCCTCTTGACGATGAATGATTAGGACGTTCACCATTGGCTGCTGACTATCGAGCCCCTCGTTGGATGAGTACTTCATATTCTCCGTCATTGTCGGTTTGGCGCTCATTGCGCTAGCCAGTTCGCGAAGTGAATGCCTCAGTTCAAGTCGCGAGTCCCAGGAGATCAAGGTTGGATTAAGCCACCCGAAAAGACAGCTAACACCCAGCGACACACCGATGCACTCGATGGCATCGCCCTGTGAGATCCGTGGCATGGTATTGTCCATGGCCATTTGTAGCGTCATGGCCACACAATTGGGTCTAATCAACCCGATCCTCCGGCCTCCTGAATCTGTGAGGCACATCTGTATGCGAAGAAAACCGGCATGCTCCAATTCTACGGCCATGAACACCCTGAAATATGCTGTCTGTGCACGAGTCAACAAGACCCCAGGACGTAGCTTCTCGATCAATAACCGATCTTCACCTCTGAAACCATTCCTGAGGTTCTGTGTCTTCCAATGCCCAGAATCCCGCGCCTTTCTTATATCCGTCCAGACGTCTTCCGAACAGGGCCAGCGCTTCTCAATCTCATATTTGCATTCGGCACATAATTCACCAGTCGTATCTTCGAGATGTTCCCATACCTTCTCAATCAGGCGGCGCCGGGGCTCATTCAAGATGGCACAGGCTGGGAACCCTTTCTCGAGTTTTCCTCTCACGTCTTCCGGAATTTCGTGCTCGATGCATTCTTTCCACCATGCAACCAGAAGAAGGGCTTGAGTGTTGGCGTGAGACTGATGGCCAGAGGGGATGAACGTCTCTGATCTGACGGGTATCAGCTCTCCGTTCTGATCCTTGTAAAACCACTCGACGAGTGTTTCTCGATACAAATCGCCTAAGAATTCACCAGCTGTGATAGGCCCAATGACCGAAGCCCATGACCACGACGGAAGGCCAAGGACACCTCCAGTCGTGATATGGTTGCCCTTGCAGTACCAAAGCAGAGCTTTGCCAAAATCAGCTTCTGGAAGTCCGTAAATGTGGAGGCGGCTGTTGTAGAGCGTAGCCAGGATGCCCTGAAAAGCATCCAGGATGTCTGACTGCTGGGTGAGAGACCTGCGTGTGTATGCTTCAAGGTGGCGGGCGAAATGCAGGAATATAGTCCTCTTTTCAGCATGGCCACCGATTCGATATTGTTCTTGCCGCAAGGTTCCCAAGGTTATATTGTTCCTATCCAGCGAATACTGATGTTCTCGCTGATACGCCTCACGAGTGTCGTTGCATTCGAACCAAAGTTCAAAAGGTGTAAAGATCAGCTTTCTTCGGGACAAGACGGCTTCCTGGTAGGTCCATCCCCGCTCAACCCATCTGGACTTCTGCAGGGCGATTTGGAGATCAGGGTAATGTATCATGTACTCGAGCCCACACACCCCCTTTTTGAGCTGAAAAGTCTCACGCGCAGTCGAGACACCTGCAATCGGGTCGTGCATGCTGGTCCCGCTTGCGTGGATGATGGTGAACTCGGCCGCTGAATAGATGTCGCCCATGGCGTTGATTTGCTCCTTCTTTTCGCTCTCCATGCCGTCCTGCTGGATGCAGAACCGGTCGACCCAAAGGAAGCGCTGACCCAGCTGCCGACATACAGTCATGGCATCCTCAATAGCCCTGGGCACACTAATCTTCCCCAGACCATTGCTCGCTTCAAGTTCGTTCTTGTTGGACTCCAGCAATGCGTCCTCCCTTGAAGCCGCTGTCGTTCCCCAAACGTAGCTGAGGGCAACGAATTTGATATCGCGGCCAAGCCTCGAGCTGGATAAGAAGTCAGACTTGACTTTTCGATCGTTCACATCAATGAGTCGAAAGCCTTGCGGCATCGTTGAGTGCTCCGACCTGGCGCAGGCATGCTCGTCGCTGCACTTCTGGATCCACTGTTGGACAGCAGGCCAACTGATTTGACCTCGGTGAGTTGTTGGTCTTGAATCTTGCGAAGCCGCGCGCAAGGCAATATCAATTGTATACCTTGTGTCAGGCATGGTGATGTGTAAAGACATATGGCATCTGCCGTATCCCGATTCTACTTCCAAGGATAGCCTTGTCTTTTTTCGTATGACCTCTTCATCTCCTTCAAGCTTGCTGAACATGATAACGCATGAGTGGATGACGCTGGCCAAAAGGCAGCACAACGCACAACCATTGTTGGAGACAATTCGTGAGATTCCGTTGCCACTAGAGTCGCAGCCAAGCTCAAGATCGAATCTGAGGTCGTAGGACTTGTCACCAAGGCATATGGCAAGATGACGAAGTCGTAAATGCTTACAAAAGCCGCAGAGAGGTTCCACTTCGGCTTGGAAAGAGCATTTGCTGCAGAAGCCGTGGAGTAGGCTGTTTACGTCCTTCCCGTAGTTGTCAGAGAGGTACGCTGGTAAGACGTGAGCGCAGAGGTTGTCCGGGCATCTCTCGCTTGCACCATCCGCCGACCCGTTGCTGTCCATGGGCGAGGGTGCTGTGGGGATATGGTACGACATATAGAAAGAGCGGAACTGATGGTGGTGATAGATGGACTTGTCACCAATGTCGAGCTCAAACAGAAGGAGGGAGACGATTTTTGCGATAAGGGAAAAGAGAGGCAGGTCAAATAAGGCTGATAGCCCCTGAGAGATTCTGGTGAGAGGTACAAAGCTCACATAGGTACCAAACAATAGCTCAAGAGACACGATATCGCTCCGAGGAGGCTGAAGGGCTCTTTAGGCATCAATGTCCCCGATAAGAGCATGTGCAGCATGTTGAGTGGGGCTCAGCTAGACAAGAGGGTATGCCGTTACTCCGTATTGGAGGACATGCTGCCAGCTTGACGATTTGCTGCATTTCAGCTCGGCCAAGCATTATATTGACCATCCATCTGGTGGCCCCCAGAACGTGATAACGGCATACGTGTAGTTGGTTCTTATTGGGTCGAGCAAGCCTTGGCATACGATTAAGCCCCGCGTCCTTTACTATACCCTTCTATTAGGCAGCCATGTAGCTGCGGATCTGCCTTGTTGTCCTCCTGAGAGAGAGCCATTCCACTCTGAGATGATGACTCCTTGGCTGCAGAAGGTACTAGATGTCTCACCCAAGGAGAGGGCTTGGCGGGAGCCCAATCTTCGACTACCTACTGGTTATGGTTATACGTGGTCCTGGAGACAGTGGCATGACAAGGACTGAAGATGAAGATAACAGATCTGCCTTGGCATAATCAGGATCCATCGTGGTAGACCCCTTTTGTTGTCGACCAGCTCCTTCATTGTACTGCTGTCTCAGTCGACTATGGCCATAGGCAGTGGATGATCAGTCGACCTCTTGGGCAAGCCTATAAGTTCACCACTGAGGAAGAGACGTGTTACGCCGGCCAGGAGAGATGGTAAATTTTATTCCTGTGAAAGAAGAAAAGAGATCCGCCAATAAAGGAGAGAGGATAGAGAGGAAAACCCCCGTCCACACCCCCCTAGTGCTAATGTTTCCGCGAACAGAGCAATGACATTCAGGCTGCATCGATAGTTCTTCTCACGACGCTTAATTCTGACTCTCGCACAGTCAAGGGATCGCTTGACGTTTCCTGTCTCAATGATCCGTTTACTCTGATTGGCAGCCGAGTGTCCTGGAAGAAAGGCAGGTCCTAGGCTATTGTTAGCTTACCAAGTTGAACAGGAGGTGTTGAGGAGGATCTTACTAACAGCCATTCCGCGTTGACTGCCGTGACCGTCACTAAGAACTGCTTCCCACCCCAGGTTAAAGGAAGGTTGTATACGACCCATTCGTGATCGCCGTCCACAAGAGAGTTGTGCGGTAATAAGAGGCCACGGGCGTTCTCATGGACCGTCCTATATGCCTTGCCAGCACTGTGGATAGCAGTTTCGGTGCAGAAGGCAACGGCTGAAAAGTTTCCGAACACTCGTCAGGTCCGAGGCCGATGCTCGAACTGAGATAATCTAGTAAGTTGTCCTCCAAGAACACTCCCATTCTATTGCGACCTCTTCCTAGAGCCCGCATGTCCAAGCCATGCCTAATGCACCATCATTCAACACCCCTCTTGGAACCGTTTTCCTATCGTTTCACCTGGCACACACGCATACAAGTGTTGAAGGCATTTGTGAGGATGAGGTGGTTCGACAGTGGGTGCTGCCCTTCTGATCGTTGTAGAGCCACGACGAGTTTGAACTTCTGGCGAGCGGTTTCAACCCCTGACCTGGTGAAAAACCGCTCGCGCTGGATTGTCTGTCACGACAGCTAGTGCCTGCAGTGGGTTGGCCCATGGCGATGCCATTGTGGAGGTTGAAGGTGATGATTGTGCAGAAATTCGATGGGAAGAGAGGCAATCAGAATGATTCAGATACACATACATATTAGCCTTATGTGCGTGACTATTCAAGGAAAAGAAGATAGGTTACCACTGAAAAAGGCAGAAGACTCATAGCGGCAAGGATCTCGCATGGCATAACAAATCAACTGTGAGCAATCAGGTGAGGAGAAGGCTGTTACTTTCTGCCACTACTGCTATATATTTCCAGTCTTGCTATATACTATTGGCCCAGGAGATTTGTGCATTTATAACCAACCTCACTTCTATTTGCACAGAGTCGGAGTTACTGGATAGCCAATGCCCCCTGTTGAAGCCGCCTCAGACGGACTCTAGGCTTGACAAACCCCAGCGTTGACGCAGTCCCTGTACGCCGTGTACAAGTAAACGGCAAACGCTTGGCCCTCTGGAGATCCAGCAGTATACTTGTTCCTGTCATGCCAGTCATACGGATTCACGGCGGGCGAGAACAGCCCATTCCCATCCTGCTTCGTCGCCAGCGTCCTCCTGTTGGCATCAGCCCAGGCGACATACGACTGCGGAAACATGGCCGGATCGTTGACAGCCATCCGGTACGCCACGGCACTCAATACCGCCGTCCCGGAGATCTCGCCAAACCAACTCGCATCATTCAGATAGTTGCGCAACAGCCCGCCGTCCGAGCCCGCCTGCATGGCGCCGTCGAGAATCTCCTTGATCCAGCTCTTGAGCTGCGCAGCCTCCGCAGTCATCGAGGCCGAGCCGCTCCATTTCTGGAGCGTGTGGAGGACGCGCACCATGCCGTAGCCCGCCCAGCCGTTGCTCGTCGACCAGAGTCCCGTGTCCTGGGACTGGGGGCCGATGATGTGCTGCCAGCTGAGGCTGTTGCTGCTCTTGAGGATCTGGCGCTGGAGGCCGCATTGCTGCACGGTGGTGGACATTAAGGAGGTGCTGTTCTGCTCAACCGCGAGATACGCCACTGGAGATGCTTGTCAGACATACCTTCTATATCTCAACGCACATTGACGTAAAAGAAGACTTACAAAAGGGAAACGACATGGCCATGTTGTCCGCCCACAGCTCAGCAACATCCGGCCGGTGCGAAATCGCCCCATTGCTGTACCTCGGCGCAACATTCAACAGAAAGTCGGCCTCCCGCTCCGCCGCCCCGATATACACACTATCCGACTGCCCCAGCAGCACCGCCGAGACGCCCAGGGACGCCGGATCGCCCACCGCAGAGTCGTCGACCAGCGTCTGCGAGTTGCGGTTGATGAATTGCTTCGCGTAGGCGAGCGCCGTCGTGCTGGGGTCGGCCGGGGGGATCTTGCCGCCGGGGAAGGGGTTCGAGCCGAAGACGGAGAGCTCCGGGTTGTGCAGCTCGAGGAGGGCTTCGGCGGCGGTGCCCCATTCCCACGAGTGGGAGGCCTTGTCGACCATTACTTGGGCGGCCGCGTAGGCGTCGAAGCCGGCGTCGACATCATCGCTGGCAGCGGCGGCGGCGGTGGCCTGGGGGGTGGCGAGGAGGAGGAAGAGGAGTGAGACGAGGGATGGGTTGAGGGACGGCATTTTGGCTTTGGTCATGCTTTGTTTTTGTTTTTGCCGTATGTCATGATGTTGGCGGTGACTGGGCACAGCTTTTCCCTTTTATATGTCATAATGTCTGGGGTTTTCCATGCTACGGAAGAGGAAGTTGGTTGATGTACGAAGATTTTGGCTGTATTTGGAAGGTATCTTCAGTTATGGAGGTTGTCAGCTGAGGTACATATGTAGTATTTCTGCCGTCAGACCGCATATGGGGACGCAGGTTTATGACAGCGGCCAAGTCATATACTAGCTGCCATAAAAGGTAGCTAGTTGAATACGAAGTACTGTATCTGTAAAGAAAGAGGGCCATTCTTGGATCTCTGCATGCCAATGGGATACGGTGGTTTGTCAGTCGTGTTCGCTGTGGTTGATGCACAGTAGAAGTCGTTGCTGTGATGATGATGCTTGTTGCAGCAACTTACATATATATGGTTATCAAGCAGTGTGAGGGACGGAATAAAAAGATGAGTTCAGAACGATGATCACAAGCCAACCCCAATTCAATGGCTCGTTTGCTACGAGATGAAGCCATCGCCGAGAGATCCCTACACACACACAGCAGCTTCTCTCATGTTGTTGGTTATATGCAGCGCCGCCATCGCATTAGTGCCAGGTACCGCGAATTACTAGCTCCTCACACATCAGGAGGGAATGCCCATTGCCACGTGCCAAAGGCCAATACCTACCAACAGATATGTTGCATTGACATTGATGACGTTGTCAAGGAGCTATGACTGAGGCAGTCAAGTTACTGATATCAAGCAGGTCGTCCGTCTAAGCCGAGCTCACCGAGCTGTTCTCCCCCGGATTCACCTCCAGCCAGGGCCTCTCCATGTCCCGAGCGATCCTTGACAGCTACCTCCCTAGGTAGTACCTTATTTCGACCTCATCCTCGCATGCAATTGCTCTTAGTATAAGTCGAGTTCCATGTCAATATCCGTGATTTACATGCACTTTCGATGCGCAACAGCAGCAAAGATGCCCTTCCATGAAGCTGCCCCCTTGCTTGCCTTGTTGCACAAACACGCCCAAAGAGGCAAAAGGCAAAAAGTGGGTTTAGTTACCTTTGAAAAGATCGTATTCGTGTCTTGCCGCCCTGATTCGGCCCATACCTTATTAGTAGAGGTAAGATAGGTAGGTAGCTTAGTATTATCTATCACTCAACACTAACAATCCATCTTCAACTTCAGCTTCACCCTCATCTGCATCAACACCACACAGCCAATTGACGAGCTCAACCGCCCGCAATGGCTCGACGCAGCACTTTTGCAGCTCTAGCTGCATCATGTCTCTTTCTGCTAGCAGCTTCCACTGCCGCGTCGCACATCAAGACCACCCCAGCAGCAGCCATTGAGTCTCTAAGCTTGGAAGAGCTCGACGACCAGCTCCAGGTACGCCTTTCATCTACAGATCCAATCTCCAACGCCAGATTCTAATTCTAACTCTTCCTCCCCCTCCTCCAATCTAGACATGCCCCGTCGTCCAGCAGCTCAACGCCGCCAAGCGCGCCCACTTTGAAGCCTCGCCCTCCTCCCTCACGTCCACCCTCTTCGCCATCCTCTTCCCCGGCTCCCCCGCCGTCAACGCCCTCCTCGCCACGCTCTACATCTCCGGCCCGCCCAACTTCCTCCTCGCCCTCGTCCCGACAGACATCGATCCGTCCTCGCTCTCCGTCATGGTCGCCTTTGCCGTCGGCGGCCTCCTCGGCGACACCCTCTTCCACCTGCTGCCCGAGATCTTTGTCGGCGAGGACGAGCCCGACAGGGCGCGCTTTGTCCTGGTGGAGCCGAATCGGAATCTGGTTCTCGGGTTGGCCATCTTGGTCGGCTTCATGACGTTTGTGGCCATGGACAAAGGCTTGCGGATCGCGACGGGGGGTGCTGGGCATGAGCATTCGCATGGACATTCGCATCAAGAGGAGCACAAGGTGGTCTCGACTGATGTTGGCATTTCCACCGGCGCAAACGCGCTCAAGAACGAAGCCAAATCGCGAAAGAACAACAATAACAAGAGCGCCAAGAAGAAGCCTGTGGACGAGCAATCCCAGCTCAAGGAGATTAACCCTAGCGTAAAGCTCGGAGGCTACCTCAACCTGATGTAAGTCCCAATGACACGCCCACAGACAACACACAACACACATCCATACCTATATACACACACACACACACAATACCAAGACAACACAGACTAACACACAAGTCATCGCCAAACCCCCGATTCAGCGCCGACTTCACCCACAACATCACCGACGGCCTCGCCATGTCCGCCAGCTTCTACGCCTCGCCCACCATCGGCGCAACCACCACCGTCGCCGTCTTCTTCCACGAGATCCCCCACGAGGTCGGCGACTTTGCCCTCCTCGTCCAGTCCGGCTTCTCCAAGCGCGCCGCCATGGCCTCCCAGTTCGTCACCGCCATCGGCGCCTTCATGGGCACCCTCATCGGCATCGCCGTGCAAGAATTCGGATCCGGTGGTGCTGCTGCTGGGGAGGGCGATGGTATGCCGAGGAATGCTGGCCTTTGGGGGACAAGTCTTGTAAGTTTAACTACCCGCAATTACGCATATTCTCTTTCTGCCTTATAGTCTGCTTCCTTTTTCGTTTTGTAGTTCATACTGACATGTGGAAATTGAAGACTTGGGGCGACATGTTGCTGCCCTTCACGGCGGGAACCTTTCTCTACGTCGGCACCGTCGCCGTCATCCCGGAGCTGCTCGAGACGGGCCCCAACAAGATGCTCGAGCTGCGCAAGACGCTGACGCAGTTCACCGCCGTGGCCGTTGGCGCAGGCATCATGCTGTACATTTCATGGCATGAGTAGAAAAGAAACGCATTAGATGATTCGGCAAAGCGACACCTCAGGTGTTGGTCCAGTAGAGATTCTGTCATCCTTCCTACATATAGACCATTGAGCTTTATCAGAGCTTTACTCAGTAACTCATCGAAAGAAACATGTAATTCACACAAGACATGACAAGGTATGCTCAAACATCAATGGGACCACGGAATAAGGGTGCGTCGTATGCTATTCGTCAAAACGTAACCATAAGGAAACTGCTCAAAACCACAACATGTAGGTCAATCCTCGTCCTCCTTCCAGCCCTAATGTACCAAGCAACAAGAGGGGAATCAAAAAAATCAAACCACCCATCTATCAACCAAACACAAGATGCTTAGTCCATCCATGAGCGAAGAAGAAAAGAACTAATCATCGGTATCTTTAAGGGGGGGTAGTAAAAGAAAACAAAAATCAAGGGGGTAGTAAACAATGTGCAAAGTCATTCATCATGCCCTTCATCCGTCGCGCGTGTGCCAAAGAAGAACCTTTCCTCCCATTATCTCGTCCCTATCAAACTCCGCAGACCCCGTTTATCGACATCTTGCTTTTCTGTGTGCTTTGTTTTCGTTGCTTTTCAATTTTGTCTTTTTTTTTTTCGTATCTTTTATTCCCTTTTCCCTCCTAAACGTCCATTCCCAGTGGTATCATTTGGTATCGTGCTTCCTTTAAACAGACAAGCTTAGTCTTGGAAAAACTTAATGACTTGCTGCAAGTCACGCAGGCCGACACCGTGCTTGGGGTAGCAAATGTACACCTCCTCACCCAGAGCACCAAACTTGGATCGGAAACCCGCCTTTCGGCGCAGGCCGAGGCTCTCGACAATAGAGCGGTAGGTGGTGGCAAGGAACTTGGCTCGGATGCCGTGGAGATGCTCTCCGGGCGTCAGCTTCTCCGACACGCCGACGCCAAATGTCACTTGGGCACCGGTAACGCACGACAGCGCGTACTCAATGAGGACCTCGATGGCGCCGTTGACGGCTCCGGGGAAGTCCAGAGCCCACTTGACCTGCCAGCCGTGGCGGGGGGCCAGCTTGGCCAGCACCACCATGGCGTGGACCTTGCCGTCCTTCTCGGCGGCGAAGTAGCGGCGGTGCTCCTGGTCGACCCAGGGGCGCACCTCGGTCAGGTGGACCTGCTTGCCCTTGCGGTTGGCCTTCCAGGCCTCGATGCCCTCGTTGGCACGCCTGATGAAGTCGTCGTCGGGCTTGACCTCGTGGATCTTAACGCCCTCACGCTCAACCCGACGGGCCTTGGGGCCGCCGGCCGGGCTCTGGTGGCGGGTGGTGTCGACGCGCTGCTCCTCCGTGCAAGACAGCGTTCGCCAGCCGAGGTCGTGGGCCAGGATCTTCTGCACGTCGTACGAGACGAGCATCCAGATGGGGGTCAGGCGAAGCTCCGTCACGACGTACTTGACAAAGTCCGAGATAACGTCCTTGTACTGCGACTTGTCGCAGAGAGGGTCGCCAGTGACCATGGCAAACTTCTCCTGCCTGACGAAGCCGACGGCAGCGCCAGACTTGTGGCGCCAAATCTCGAACCGCTCGTCGAGCCAAGAGGTGTTGGACGCATCGCCGTAGTTGGCAATGAGCTTCTCGATCGGAGGAGTGTGGAGCGCGGCATACTGCTTCGTGGTGTCGGCCTCGGGGTGGGGCAGGCCGGGCTTGCGGTCGGGGAGAGACTTGGGGTCGCGGTAGAAGAGCGAGGCGTTTCGCACGTCTCCCAGCTCGAGCATCCACGTCACGATACGCTCGAGGCCGAGACCGGCTCCCGCATGGGGCGGCGCGCCGAGGTCGAAGCCGGCCAGGTACTCCTCCATGCCCTCCTCAGCAATGCCAGCGGCAGACATGTTGGCGCGCAGCTCGCCGGCGTCGTGGATACGCTGGCCACCGGAGCAAATCTCCTGGCCGCGGATGAAGATGTCGAAAGACCGGGTCCATCGGGGGTCCTCGGGGTCCTTGTGGGTGTAGAAGGGACGGGCGCTCGTGGGGAAGCGGTCCAGTACGTAGTAGTCGGTGTTGTACTTTTCACGCACGAGCTCACCCAGCCGAATCTCGTCGGGCGTCGAGAGATCCTCCTCGGCAACGTCACGACCGTCGTCTCGAAGCATCTGGAGACCGTCTCGGAAGTCGAGAATCAGCGTCTCGTCCAGGTACTTGAACTCCTTGCTGGGCCATCGCTGCTTGAGGACCTCGACCTCGGGCATGGCGTAGACGGCCTTGAAGACGTTCTTGAGGAACTCGTCGAGGAGCTCAATGACCTCGTGGTAGTCATGCTCAATGGCCATTTCAAGATCCAAGCCCGTGTACTCGGTAAGGTGGCGATGAGTGTTTGAGTTTTCGGCGCGGAAGACGGGGCCAATCTCGTAGACGCGACCAAAGTCGGACGAGATGGCCATCTGCTTGGCGAGCTGGGGGCTCTGGGCCAAGAAGGCCTTGCGGCCAAAGTAGTTGACCTTGAAAACGGAGGCACCGCTCTCGGTGGCGGCAGGCTGAAGCTTGGGGGTGTTGATCTCTACAAAGCCGTATTTCTCAAGAGTGTCCCGGAACTGGCGGGAGACCATGGAACGGATGCGGAATAGGGCCTGGTTGGCAGGGTGTCGCAGATCGAGGATACGCGATTGCATGCGGCTGCGCAGAGCCTCGGGGGGCCTGTAGACGCTGAAGGGGGCGTTCTGCGCAGGGTTGACGAGCCACAGGCCGTGAATGTCAACCTCGGCGTGGGAGATGGTGGCCGATCGCACGGGCTCCGGAGGCTCCTTGAGCACGCCGTTGACTTGGAGCAGCGACTCGGCGGGGAGCTTCTGCACCCACTGGACCATGTCCATGTTCTCTCTCGAAAGGACACCCTGGACGGAGAAGGTCTGGTCGCGGAGGAGGAGGAAGTCGAGGGCCTTGGAGAGCTGGCGCTGGGTGTGTATGCGGCCCCGGAAGGTGACCTCGGTGCCGATGGGCAGCTTGTCCAGCTCGGCAATGGTGTTGAGCTCATAGGGGTGCGTGGGCCAGTCGGAGCCGCTGCTGCGGACGCTGTCGAACGAGGCGCCCGAGTTGTCCATGCTGGACCGGGGCGAGCCCTGGGCCGACCTGCGGCCGCCGCCCTCGTTCATGGTGGCCAGGATCTGGCGCGTAGCCTCGCTGTGGACAGCCGGGGCGACGGGCGAGCTGGGGATGGACAGCGTCGACGCCTGAGGCGTGGCCGACGTGGGCGTGGCGTTCATCGCGTACTGGTGGTAGCTGCTGCGGTTGCTCCCCGTGCCGGTGTTGTAGTTCTTGGGGAGCTGGTCGCGAGGCGTGGAAAGGTCAACGCTTCCTCGTCTGCTGCTTCTGGTGCTGTTGGAGCGCAGGGGCAGGCCAAAGGCCGAGAGGATGGGGGAGTTCCTCCCGCTGTCCGTGGCCGGCATGATGACGATATATGTATAGGTAGTGGTGACAGGCAGAGTCTCGAGGGGCCTTGTCGAGGGGGGGGAGTGAATGAGCTATCCGTATATAGACACGGAAGCAAGGTACGCGCAATGCAAAGTAGCTCCTGGAGGTATCGCCGCTGCAGTCGAGAGCGATGGGAGTGATTGGCTCAAGAGGGCGAGTTGCAACGATGAAGGAGGGAAAAAAAGGTGTGGCAACAGGTGGGCAGATGTTCCGCTATGCCTCAGTCGAGTTGCGTCGCCGGAGTTCGCGGGGCTCGTTGGCGGGGGTTCGCAGGCAGTCGGAACCTGGAAGGGAGACCAGGGCCAGAAGATGCAGATGCAGAGCGCTGACTGGGGCTCGTTCGGCGCTCTTAGGCTCTTTGGTGCGGCGCTATGCTTCCCCTTCAGGCCTGATGATGTTATCAAGCTCGGCCCTGACAGCCTTGTGCGTCCTTTTTTTTTTTCGCCTCCGCTCTTGTGTGATCGCTTCACGGTCAATGACGTTGGACTGAATCACTCACTGCCGCGTCCGCGGTGACGACTGGCGGTTGTTGCAGGGGTTGATTCGCCCGCGGGGTTTATTTTTGGACAATGGGAATATGGAAAACCGGTAGTTGATGTCGTGAGGGAGGGTTGCTGGCACAGGAATAGTGGCAAATAGAGGGGGAGACAAGGCCAAGATTGGTCTGCCCAGGCTTGTGTGTTTGGTTATGAGTTAATGCGTGCGTAGGGGAGGTGTGTGAGTGGGAGTGTTTTGTGTGTCTTGAAGCCCCAAGCAACAGGGAGGAGGGATGGATGGATGAGAAGAGGGAAAGGAGGGAGGCGGCAGTGGCTCCTGGTGAGGCTGCTCAGGCCTTATATAAGACGGCCGGTCACTTCTGACGGGATGACAAGGGGGGGTCAGGTCAAAGAAGAAGAGAAAAAAGCCTTCGAATTCAGCGATATGATGGCTCGGGTGCTATCAAATGACAGAAGCTGCAGCAGGTGGTCGGCTGCCGAACCGACCTTGTTCCTCGGACCTCATGCAGCCACAGTCCCTGTTTGTCTGCCCTGTCCTTGGACTTTAGACTCCGCCCGACCCCGACAGCCTATCCGCAGGGCACGTTGGGAGCCGGAATTAAACCTGGACGCCTGTGACACTGACTGGGTCGCAGCTGATGGGGCGGCCGTGTCTGAGCTTTAGCACGGGCATCCATGGATGATGGGGACATGCTTGCAGATTTCGAGCTTAGAAACTACATACTAGTAACTGGTGATTACGAGAACAAGCCACAGCCAGCCATCACGGCAATTACCAGGCCATTATCTAAGCGCTGCCGTGCTGACCGAGCCTGCAAAAGTCAAGCCAGGGGGCGTGAGGGAAAGGCGCCGCATCTGGACTTTGTTCTGCATGCAGGAGTCTGGCGGTCTTGGCCCCATGTGCCTGTCCCTGATCCTTGGCGATGGCTTGTGAAGGAGCGAGCCTGTCAAAGCGCTTCCGGCCGGCATTGCACAGCTACAGTACTGGAGCTCTGTCCCGGCGTCACACAAGTCAAAGACACACGACATCAGCACTACGTGTATACCTTATACTGTAAATCAAGGCAAGGCAAGGTACCTTAAGGTAGGCGGTAGGTAATAGCTGTAATAGCTGTTAGGCGACCTCGAGTGCCCAGGCCAAGGTCGGGCCTCTGCAGACGAAAGCGGCCTGCCGGGCTCTTGCTCTTGCTCTTGCTCTAAGCGCGCACGAGGCAGATCGTCCAAGGCTCATCTCCCGCTTCCCAAATGATGAATAATGGTGATGCATATGCGGGTGAAATCCGCGGCCCTGCATCGGGTGACTCCGTTAAGCGACTGATGATGTAATTTTTTCGATGCGATGCCAATGCAGCACCCCATGCCCAACCTGGCAAGCCAGTGGACGAGATGCATCGCGTTGGTCGGCTTTATGCTGTTTAAGCTTGGAATTTCCTTGATCCCATTGGCAATCAGGCAAATAAGGTATGAGATTTGCGATTTACGGTGAAATTCGCAGGGAAATTTTGCAGTTTTATTCCCCGTTTGTCGCATCCTGCCCAAGGTACGAGAGACAAGCTCGCACACACCATCTTGGAGGTGCTGACATGAGGAATCATCGCGGGAGCTAGCCGCAGCAGGGCGTCAAACCATCTGCCGGCGTCTCGTCCGTTTGCCCTACTGGAACTCGTACGAGTGCCTACTAGGTAGATACAGCAGCAAGTGAATCCTCCAAAGTTCTATGCATTATCAGGGCGGTGCTAGCATGTGCCAGAGTGCTATAGATGCTGCTGCTGCTGCTGCTGCTGCTGCTGCCGACGTCGGACGCGCTGAATATCGGACATTGTAGACTCGGAGTACGGAGCGCTTCAATTTCCGTTAGGCTGCTCGTCGCAGCAATCAATCACTCGAGCACTCAGAGCAACGACCTGACAACTCTCCAGCACCTCTCTGCCCATGACATGACGTCAGGTCTTCTCGGGGACGGACAAGTCGTCCGCATCGAGGCACGGACGCGAAATCAATCGCGCGGCTTCTCCCGATCAGGGCCGCCAAGTCATGCGAGCAACAAAGACTGAATGTACAAAATCCGCCCAGGTCCTCACAGAGTCCAGACGTCGCTGCGACGAACCTCGGCCGACGTCATGAGTGGCCTGTGCTCGCGGCTGTTTCCAACGACTTCCATGCAGCTGGACCCTGCACGAATAACGGAGTCGCTGCTCCGTTTTTGTTTACCTTGCCAGGATCATCATGCTGCTGCAGCTTATACTACTCTAGTAGCAAGATTTATCGACATCGAGATTCTTGGTATGTACAGTAGAGCGTCTGAATGAAGAAGCATGTACCTGGTGGTGGACGATGGGTTTTGCCCAGTTTGCCAGTTTTCTAGAAAATCTCTAGCCTCGTGCCATGCTCAGACGCGACCGTGGCTGTTTCCTCTTGAGTCCATTGCGAGTTACTCTTCATTGATCAAAGCAAACCGCCTCTTCATTCAGACACCCGCCACCATTTCGCTCTCTGCAACTCGACTCCATCGAATCAGACAGGGCCATCCACGTCCTGTGGCTGATACCCAGCTAGCGCCCCAGTCCCGAGGCTGCCGAGCCCACTTGCGCCTGTCTCGCATCGCAGCGTCTCCACGACAATTAGAGCAACCACTACAACATACATTCAGCTGCTACCTAACGCTGGTCCGTTGCTGTTTTGGCGCTGCGCCCAGTACTACTAGTAGTTTTGATTGTCCCCTTCCAAGCCTTTTCTTTTGCTTCTTTCTCATTGCATGTCACTCTCGCCCATCTTCCAAGATAAGACCATCTGAGTGCTAGCGACCAGCCAATAAGCCCTAGCGCGGCAGCCACGAGCCCCGTATAAACAGGGCAAAAAAGATTCTCCGCATTCCCCCAGGTCCATCTACAAACCGGGCAGTACCCATGACGTGTTAATCAGACTGTAGCCAGGCGACCTCAAAGTGGCACGACACAGTCTCAAGAGCACACATCAGTCCATCTATCGCAACGTCTAGAAGTCTCTCCCCGTACCGCGTCCTCCCCCTTTTTTGCGCCTCATCTCAGCCGTACCTTTTCCGTGCCTCGTGCCGCCACCCCTCATCTGATCCAGACTTTTCCTCTCCTCATCTTCTCTCCTCATTGTCCATCTCACTCGCTTCAGTCCACGCCCCTCTCCTCCTCCATTCACCCCGCCTTGTCTCATCCCCAGCGCAGCCAATCCGCGCTCGCCCAGCGTTTCCGTAGGCCTGGAAGCAGTCGCAGCAACCAGCCCAATTCAATCGCTTTTTGTTGCCCGTGATCAGACAAGACTCGAGGGCAAGGCGCCTGCTCCATGGACGTTCCGGAGCCGATCAGGAAACCGACCGTCCCGGAGCCCGAGGACTATGTCAACCCCCTGGAGAACAGTTCTCGCTGGTCCCTGAACGCGCGCGCTCAGGCGATCCGCTATGCCTCCAGTCTCGGCTTCAGCATCGCCAACCGCACCGAGCCCGCGGCCCCGACGCCGTCCACCGAGTTCTGGGCCGACTCAACGCTCGCCGCATGCAAGGGGCCCAAGAAGATCAGGGTCGAGGTGTGGACGCCGCCGCGTCTGTCCGTCGGGCCTCGTGCCGCCGTCGTCGCTCTCCACGGGGGCGGATGGATCCTGGGCCAGGGCACCGACACCGCGCGGTGGGCATGTGCCGTCATGACATCGCTCGATGCCGTCGTCTTCACCATCAACTACCGCCTGGCTCCCACCTACCCGTTCCCAACCGCCGTTGAGGATTGTGTCGATGCCATTTGCCAGATAGCGAAGCGCGCCGCGCAGTTTGGCATCGACCCCAACCGCATCATTCTCTCAGGCTTCTCCGCCGGCGGCACCATGACCCTCGCCAGCTGGATTGTTCTGCAAGAGCCGGAGCGTTGGAATTACACGCTGCCTTTTATTCCTCCACGCATCACAGGCCTCGTGCTCTTCTATCCCGGCCTGGACTGGACCATCAGCAGGCAAGACAAGAGGCTGAGTTGCTCCCGTCCGGATCTGACCCTATCCAAGGGATTGACGGACCTCATCGATGCCTCATACGTCTATCCTCCCATCCCTCGTCCCCTGCGTGCCGACCTCAGACTCTCTCCGGGTCTCATGCCCGATGAACTCTTGGAGAAACTACCACCCGTCCATCTATGCCTTTGCGAGTATGATATGCTTCTCGCCGAGGGCCTTCGTTTCGCAGACAGATTAAAGAAGATGGACAAGGCGCATAACCTTCGAATCGTCGCCAAGGAGAAGCATGCATGGGATTGCCCCCCGCCAATGGTACAGAAGGAGAGCGTCGAGGTCGAATACGGAGAGGCGACTCAGGCCATTGCCAGCTGGCTCGGTCAGCAGCACGACACAGACAGAGAGTCGATGCGCTCCATGAAGACGAAGCGTTTGAAGATACCCCGGCCGAGCCTCATGCCGCTTAGGTCGAAATCAGCGAGCCTCTTGTCCTTCAGAACGACACCAGCCGGTCCTTTCTAATTCCTTTTTATCGGTCGTGTTTTATTTGATTGGCATCTTGTAGCGTTCCGTTTTCTTTTCCTTTACTTATTCGCCCGCGTCTCTCTTATTCCCAGCCATTCTGATGATATGCTGGGTAGACAAGAGTTAGTAGACAAGACAAGTCAAGACAAGCGTGCATGGGGAATGATTACGTTCAGAGGAATGCATTTAGCGAATGGGTATTGCTGGCGTTGGGTATGGATAGAAGCGGCCATCAGAGGGCCGTTGTTTGATATCAACCAAGAGTTGTCTGCGAAGATTTGTATACATGTTATTGAAACTTGGCAATTGAAGATTGCTTGAATCGATCGACTTCTCTTATACTTGTATCGATCTATGGACTTTATAATGGCACATGTACTGTAAGATGATCTTTTGGCTTATCTCACACCTGCTTACTTCCTAGCCCACCTCATCACATCTTGGCATCTCACGTCCATCCAGTGATTTCCATCTGTGGCGTCAAATGTTCTGCAAGTCATCCGCCAAGTCACTCCCCCAATTGTTCAAGGCTTTACCTTCACGGGATCAGAGAGCCGTAGTCTGGGGTGGCTTTTCGAAGCATGCGGAGAGAAGGACTACGGATCCTAGGGTAGATGCTTGCCAGCTTGGCAGTATCCACCACGAGACGGCGTCTTGGTTTTTTTATAAGAAAACATTAGGAAGTTGATAATTGATGCTTGGGCAAACTTGTCTCGTTAGGAATGAAAGGTATAGACTAGTATGCATGTAGACAGAGGTCGCGTGAGATATTTCTAGGTAAGGGATAGATCGAAAGGCGGGTGAGTTTGTGGGTTGGAGGGATATTGCGGGAGGGTTTCGGAAGGTTCGGATAGGCTATTGGACATTAAGGGGGTGGATGAGCACGAGCCGGTGGCTTGATGCCATGGGTTCTTGATATATAAGAATGATTAGGAGACGGAAAATGATTGGGAATTTTTGTGCGAATTTGGGTTAAATAGAGTGCTCACTTGAATGGTGAAGGAGAGGTTGAGATGGTGGGGGAGGGGTGTGGTTTTGAAGATGGCTTTCTCTGGTAATTCTGGGCTTAGCTTAGACGAAGGCGAATGAGACAATGTGAATAATGGCATAGATATAGACTAGTATATGAAATTGTTGGTTTTGATGAGATTGGGCGATTTGCTTTGGATATTCAGCCGTGAGTGGAAGACGGGTAGCTTGCGCAAGGCATGAGATGGTGCTAACCTGGAGGATATTCAGGGATAGTGGAGAATGATTGTAATTGATGCCCACTGCGGGCTTGGAAATGAATGGCTATTATCCAGGAACAAAATTCGATTCATCCATATCCAAAGTGTTTGGTATGACTCCATAAACGAGTGTCATGATTGCTTCTGAGTGTTGGCTCATTGTGTAGGTTGTATAGCGTTGGAGAGAGCTGTCAGACGCAACCGCATCGTGATCATGTTGTAGCGCATGTTCGATATGGGTCATCAGACTTACCATGCTGTTCCAGTTAACCTTCAATTCTAGAGGAATGATTCCTCTAGTCTAGAGGAATGATTCCTCTAGAAGAAGCAATTCGATACTTGCTCCGTCAAACCTCTCGAGTAGCGCCAAATGTCTCGTGCAAAGAAGCTTGTTAATATCTTGGTTGAGAACGAGTGAATAGTATACAGCTGGATTCTGGGCCCTGGACGTATTACAGTATAGAGCAAATCCCGAGGATATCCGTTGTGTAACATGATTCAAAGGTAACACGCATCTTGTCTGTTACACACATCAAAGACGTGCAACTCAATGCTTCAAGACGCTAGTATATTCGACCGGCTAATCATAACAATAGATATTCTCGCCTCCAGTCACTCTTCATAAATTTCCCAATATATACCGGAGCGTGCAGGCAAGCCGCTCCAATGCCAGTCGATGATACACCTACCACTTGCCCTCCGTGTCGAGGAAGCCCTTCAGAATGCCGACAATCTTCTCCAGGGAGGCCAGGTAGACCCTCAGGTCGGAGACGACCTTGTCCTGGTCGGAGCCCAGCTTGGTGTAGAAGTCCTTGCGGTAGGGGCAGGCGCTCATGGCGGCGCTGAAGACGGGCTTGATGAGGAAGCTGTGGTGGGGCTTGAGGGTCGAGCCGTAGGCGGTTCGGAAGGAGTCGGCGAGCTCCTCGGTGGGCTTGGCCACGTTGGCGCTGAGGGCGAGGCAGGTGAATTCGAGACCACTGTTTGGGACGTTGTTAGTGCCCGGGTTTTTTTTTTTTTTTGGTTATCGAAGGGCTCCAGGAGACGAGATTACGTACCGGACGAGCCACAGGAGGCCCTCGGTGGCAGTGTGCTTCTTGGTCTTGAGCTCGTTGCGGCAGAGGTCCTGGATGTTCTCGGACTCGGCGGGGGCGGCGGCCTGGCGGTCACGGAGTTTCTAGAGAGGGAATCGACACATCAGCTTCTGCTCGTTTCAATTGATGGATGGGGTGCTCCCAATGGATTGCTACCTTGACGTTGCCGAGCATGTCGTTCTTGACGGGGGAGAAGGCGACGGAGCCCAGGACATCTAGCAAGCTTGAGGTTAGCCACGAAGTTGTCATGAGCGTATTGGGAGATGCCGCATTGATGCAGCAGAGACATGACTTACCAAACATGGTGGTCAGAGACTCGGCAGCGTCGAGGAATGGGGTGGTGGCGATGGCGTTGCCATTCTCGGCGTCAATGGGCACGTCGACAAAGGACTGCTTGAAGGTGTCGACGATGGTACCGCCGGCGGGGATGACAGGAGCAGACATGATGGATTTTTGGTGTTGAGGTCTGTTCTAGATGGTTTGTAGAAGTTGGGAGATGAATTGAGTCGAGGAGGGAAGCTTAAGGGGGGGAGAAGGTAGAGGAGATAGAAAGGAAGCTGGTGCTTTGTATCAGGTGGTAAGTCGGTGAATGCTCGACATGCTGTCTGTCTTGTTTGGGAGCTGGTGGGGCAGCGAGGCACAGGTGGGGTTGATTGGCTGGGATTGTCTCAGGAGGGATGAGGTGCAGCGAGATGCGAGAAAGGGGCAGGGATGTACAGTATTCATACTATATTGATGGCGGTACGATTGCTATATTACTAGTATCACGAGGAAGAATAATCTTTTTTATAAAGTATGGGATTTGAACTTGCAATATCATTGCCGTCAGGAGGAAGGGGGAGGATATATAGAGCATCTTCTATTATAACAGACATCTGAGACCTGTAACTGGTGACAACAGGTTTATGTAAGCCATTGCGGGGATGCTTCAGGCCTGCATATGCACGCTCCCCGCATTTCTCAGGCATGGCATTGGCTTAGCTTCAGTTTGTCCACATGGGAACGGACGGAATGGACTGGCTCGGATGCTTACCTAAGGCAAGGGACCATTACGCGTCCGTCAGTCTCCAACAGCCGCTGACTCTGCCCCTGAAGCTCAGCCCACCCAAAGTCGGGGCTGTGTCTCAACATAATATCTGGAGCGCTTCAAAATGAGGATTAACGGCAGATCTTGACTCAGGAAACAAAGCCGTTCCTTCGCCCATCTTTGCCACCATCTACAAATACCCGCCCGGTGCCTTTCCACGCGGCGTCTTGCTCCAGTTCACGAGCGACTAGAGGAAGATCTCGATTTTAGCATCCAAGACCGATCGCCAGGTTACCTACACATCAGCCTCCAAATATCTGGTCCAGACTTGCTAGAATGTTTCATTGTAATACAACTTCAATTTCAATCGATTTTTCAATGCTCATCTCTTTAATCGCAACAGACAAAACTTTCCATGCTGATGGCTACGTCATTCCACTCAAGCTCTGCCTTTTCCTTTAGGTAACCTCTCCAGACCCCTTGAAATCCAATGACGTCACCCTTATATAGACCAAGCCGCTCCTCCACCCAACCAGCCTTTTAAGCCTGCAAGATGCGAGCTGGTGCCACATAACACGACAATGATCCCAGACCAGGTGAAACAGAAACAACAGCACACCAAAAATAAAAACTTGGAATCCAGCGGTCCCCGGATCATGTGAAGCTGCCGCCTAGCCAAAAGGCATTGATCTCTCTGCATTAGCAGCTGGAGCCAGATTTACGCCGACCCGAGCCCCCCCAGACGCAGCTGCTTGTCATTCGATGCCCAGCCCTGTGGCGCCGCCATCATCTGCTTCCGAGGACAGTTGCTGCCACTTGGTGACGGGCAGGGCTGGCTCAGCTAGTTCCGTTCGGGTCGATCCTTCGTCATGCTTCTCGTTCTTGTGAAAGTCTGCTGGGCTTCACCCCCGCTTCCCGCTTCCTCTTCCTTGATGGCCTCGTCTTGGCGTTGTAGCATGCCAGCCAGATATATATTCTAGAGCGTGGTGGTTGGACGTCCCCTCGTCTTTGACCTCTTACAACCCCCTTCGTATTCGCCCATTGTGAACAGAACCTTCTTCCCTTCTCCTGTGATTTCCGATCCCGCATCGCCGCCTATTGTATTTGCAAGATATCTATATCCACAGCGGGATAGCAGTCGCAGACCATGGCTGCCCCTAAGCCGGCGCAGAGTGGGAGCCACAGCTTCCACAGCCTCATGGACAGCTTGAGAGGCAAGCTCCACGAGTCCAAGCTCCACGACGCCAAAGCAGCCGTGTCGCACAAGAAGCACCAGATTGGAAAGTTTGGCAACCTGTTCAACAGAGAGCACCGCCACGACGAGGAGCACGAGCGCCGCTGCGACAGGAAGCGGACCAAGATCTGCGCGTCTCATCGCTTCCAGTCGTACTTCCCAGAGCGCGAGGGCAACCTCGTCAAGTGGTATGTCGACGGACGGGACTATTTCTGGGCCGTGTCTGTCGCCTTGGAGGAGGCCAAGGAGACCATTTACATTGCAGACTGGTGGCTCTCGCCGGAGCTGTTCCTGAGGCGGCCTCCTCACCAAAAGCAGGAGTACAGGCTCGACCAGGTCCTGAAGCGGAAAGCGGAACAAGGAGTCAAGATCTTTGTCATTGTGTACAAGGAGGTGGAAGCGGCCCTCACCTGCAA